GTTGAAATGATGATGGTCTGGCGACATGTGGTTTTTTAACCGCCCAAATGTGAAAATTGTGGATATTGCAAACCCCAGTTCGCTCAAATCTTGACTTGTCGGTTCACAAGATTTTATTAAAGTATCCGGGATCTTCTTTCTCTTTCTGCAACATAGTTCAACAGAACTCGACTCTCAATTAATAATCTGAAAGCTGCAACGCTTGTACTTTTTGTATGTGGTAGGCGTGAAATGATTCCTCAAGCAAAATATCCTGTATTGAAGATCTTGGTATGTCAAAGTTACGAGTTAATGCTCTCGTACTTGTACTACTATTCCGTTGCACTTCTTCCAGTACGATTTCCCTGCGTTCCTTATCAACCCTCTGAATGCTTTCACCGCCACGTTGGCCAGGAATGCGGCCTGCCATTAACGTATTAATGAACACACGATAGTCAAGGTAATGATCAGGTTGCGCTCCGCCTCGGCGTTAAAGTTGATCCCTGTAGAGTCTTGCTACTTCACGACCGTTGCCTTGTGCAACGCCGTAGAAATAATGCATTTCTGCATATTCACTCAGAGTGTAGGGCAACACTTCCAAGTAACTACAGTCCAAATCGTTAGGCATAACGGAATCCAGTAACAAGCAGAGGTCAAACAAGTAAGCAGCGGCGGTATCAGTAGGCAAATAGTGGCCGAGAAAAACGGCAGAACAAGACAAGTAGTAAACACAGGGTGAGTACGACTGAGGGACGGTACGCAGGTGTACTCATTGTTAGCGTCAACGTCTCACACAAACCTGTTTCTAATATTACTGTACTACTCTAACCCACAGACACAAACTAGAGAGAGTGAGATAGCAACATTTTTTTACCTGAACCTTTTGTCATGGTTAAAATCACAACAATGAAATCATACCTGTGTTTCTAATTAAATGTATGCCTCTAGAAACGCGAGGAATTAGAATTTAGGTCATTAACAACTGTGTTTTACTCAAATCCATCATAACTAAGAGAAAGGCAAAGATTAAAATAAAAGAAAATAATTATTTTTTTTCCTTGAAAAATGCCTTAATAGGCTAGTTTACTCATGTCGAATTGTATTAAATAAATGTTTATTTCTTAAAGTATTTAGTCTAAGGAACCTTAATATATTGATTTCACTTCATAAAAGCAGAAGATTGCTGTAGAAATTTAATTTTAAAAAATATTTTTTAGTCTATATTTTTTTAAACACTAAAAACGCTGTTCGCCACATCCGCCATGATTTTGACGTCTCTTGTGGTAAACAACTAAATGTCATTCGCGTGTTACTGTAGGTGGATTCTTTCGTCTGACTAAATTTATCTTAAAACACTTTTAACTTTAGGAAAGAAAAAAACAGTAAACTTAGTTTTTTTTGACTAAACAAATTATGGATGCCGGCTTTGTGAAAGCAGAAATCACAAATCTGCCAAGAATTGACGCATTGATGGTTGGTGAATTTGTTGCACTAAACCCCGATTTCTGCTCTGCGGACAGAGAAACGACAAGGCATCTATGTAAGTACAGTGCATTTAGTATTACAATGTAGTAATAAACATAAAACTGATACAACATATGAATAAGTGTAATAAAGTTGCGTAGGTTAATTTCTTTCGGCACTTTAATCCACAACTTTCCTGGAGTCTTCAAGGATGTGTTTTTATATTCTCGTACAATACAGTAATGATAATTACTTTATTTTTCGTGGTATTTATTAGAAATCATGTTTTTTTTTATTATAAACTCAGTTAAAAGTAATTTTCTACGTGTTTACGAGTTTTTGTTTACCACAGTTCACGTCATAGCATAGACAATCTATAGACTAAAATGGCCGACAGCGTTTTTGTATGTCCATGAAAAGTCTATTTTAAAATTAAAGATTTGTAGCTTTCTAGGTTTAAAAAAAATACAATACATTTTTTTTCGGTCTAATTCTAACATTTATTAACCATTTAAAACCTTTTTCCAAAAAGGGTCAACTAGCCTATTTACTTTGAAGGTCAGTTACAGAAAATAAACCCCCATTAACCCTAACTTTATTTGGCTTTGTTTTAAAGTTTAATGTTTCAGAAAGTTTCTAAAAGCACTTTGAACTCAAAATCCCCCTATTTACATTTTTTTGATACTTTGAAAATTCGTGTGTACTGAGCTCATCGTAATTTTGAACTTTCGAACAAATTCTAAGTAAATTCTGCAATGCCTAGATAAACCATAAGTTTTAGGGTGCTAGGTTAAACTATGTTAGTCAGTTATCATAAAAAAACTGAACCAGAAACGTCCAACAGAATGAGAAAAAAATCGAAAACTAATGTTAAGTGAAAATTACGAAAAAAATCATTAAAAAAATTTATAACTCGAAAACTACGCAAAATCGTAGAACATACATGGGGGTGATTTGGATACTCCTCATCATAAGTAATCTAAATTTTATATCTAAATTATTTTAAGTATCTAAATTTTACGCTGACGTTCAAGCGTAAACTCCCCGGCCACGCTGTATACTAACTGGAATGCTTACGCGACCCTCAAAATCGTTCCGAAGAGCAAAGCTGAATTGGTGGAGTGTCTCGTTCTAGTAGTGTGCCCAAATAGTTACTTCATTAATGAGACAATTAATTTTCTTTGAGTGAAGGAACCTTAATTCTATATCATTAGCTTGAACGTCCAAAAAATATTAAAATCTTTTAAAGACCTTCCGAGCTTATTAAAATATGTCGTTATATGTATTGCATCTGTTTTTTATCCAACACTGAACACGATTAACGGTTCTCAAATTTTAATTTGTCAAACGATTCGTTTTTCAATAATTCTTATGTATACTTTAGATACCTACCTAGGGAAAAAAATAAAGTATAACCACTGAATAATATTTAATTTATTTATTATTTAAATTACAGATTATTACTTTAAAAGCTTTAAAAAACACAATGCACCGTTTTATCATTTTTTTTTATACCACTAAGGTAGCAAACAAGCATGCGGCCCGCCTGATGGTAAGCGGTTACCGCAGCCTATAGACGTTTGCAACACCAGAGGTGTTACTTCCGCGTTGCCGACCCAAACCAACCCAATTGATGTTTAGTTTTCAACTTAACGAATTAGGTAGTAGTTTGTCTTTATTTTTTGCCGTCGAAAATAGTAATATAATATATTTTCCATAGTGTTATAGTAGTATAGTATAAATAAATTGTAATAGTAAAATCCGTTCAAAAGTTCATTCATAGCCGTATAACATGTTATTTTTTTGATGAGCATATATTTATATGTAACTAGCGGCCACCTGCGACTTCGTACGCGAGGAGTTAGTTATTTGCACATACTTTTTCACTGCAAAAGGGGGTTTATTTCTATGGATACATTATTAATACATCTATCACTTTTAAAAACAACTATTGAGCTCGCCCACATGATCAAATTTAAATTATTTATATCCAAAAAGTGCTTACACATGTAATTCGACTTGATGTTTTTGAAATCTCATAGATGGCGCTGCTTAAAATGTTTATCGGTCTAAGTTACTTATGGTGTGAAGCTAGCTTATAGCATGGATCGTGTAAATTAAGCAACTTTCGCAGTGGTCGGTTATTTGATGGGTGACCAAAATTATTCATACTCAATGTTTATCTTATCCATAGGGAAGAACTGTACCCCACGAGTGGACATTAATACGCTGATGATGACGATGACATATACTTTCCGTAAGAGAATCGAAAATGTTTTGTCAACCTAAAGATGTAATTTGTAAACAGAAGTCAAAAATGTACCTATTATTGAAATTCTACACCCAGCATATGCCTCACTTTTACACCATTGTGCATAAAAAAATATCATGTTGCACCAGCAAATTACAAGAATTTGATCAAAATAATTCGTAGCTAGCATTATAGGACTTCAATCCGAAAGAATATGAGCCATTTTGTTTATTGGAAGCATCGCAAGTGTTCTCGTGCATAAATGCAAGTTACTACTAATGACTACCATTTTAAACAATTTTATTAGATATGTTATACGTTTAAATAAAAATAAACTCATTTTTGGTTGCATTTAAATCAATAAATTAACTGCAATCAAACATAAATTCTAATGTAACTTTCAAACTGTATGTTCTAATTCTTATTAATGGTGATCGGGATAGTGTGAAAACTACCACTTGATTATTTTTATTAGCGATGTTACGGTCTTTAATTTTGACAAACCGGATTTGATCGGACTTAACAATACATGCAAATCGGTTTTCGAACCGACTTCGTAAACCGGTTTACGAAGACGTTAACCGATGCAACTTGGTCTATGCTCAAACCGGTTTGAACCGGTTTGAAAAGCGAGTCGTTACATCTCTAATTTTTATTAACTCTGACAATTGTAAGAAAGGGACAAACTCCACTTTCGTCGTTGTCCTGCTTATTTTTATTTTTCCCTCTTAAGAAGTTAGAAACAAAAATGTTCTATATCTATCACTAGTTACAGTACATTTTTTGAAATCTAATATTGTTTCGTAAGCATTCCAGATAGAATATAAGTTCCTTGGCATCAGCCTAAGGGTGCGGCCAGAGTGCACTCAGATTCAGATTTCGAAAACAAGCGCGAGAAATAAACAGTGTAGTCTAAGCAGGTTGCCTGCTTTTTCTCGCGCTTTGTTTTCTGAGTCTGAATCTGAATCGGAGTGCACTCTGGCCGTACCCTTCGACTACACTGGTGTCGATTCTAGCATGATTCTCTAAACCTAAACTTAAATTTGACAGCAGTATATCCTTGTCATTCTCTATACAGAATGAAAAGGACAGACTGATGTTAAATTTAGTTTTAAGTTTAGAGAATCACGCCAGAATCGGCACCACTGTTTATTTCTCGCGCTTGTTTTCGAAATCTGAGAATGCACTCTGGCCGCACCCTAATTCGGCATTGTGCGCCACTGAGTCGCATTATGCTGTGTAATTGGAAAACTACCTTAGTGCTTTCGGCACTAAGTTGACATCATTGCCTTAGGGTAATCTGTGGTCAAATTTGACGGGACGTCAGGTCAGTCATTACAGTAAACAAACTTTTTTCAACTTTTTGTTTCAACTTTTTAAGTTTTTATGAAATTAAAATGGTTTTTATATTATATAAGTCTTCTGTGATCATTTTATTATTTATTTGCCAACATCTAAGTTTACAAAATGAAATCAACATTTACGGTCCAGGGTTGCAGCCTAAGAAAATTGTCATGCCGGCAAGATACTTTTTTGTGAATTTTACTTCATATAATGGGAAGTAAGTGGATAACCTGATCATTGTTACTTAAACGAACGTCTATGTATTTATATTAAGCGAATTCACACTTAGTTAAGCTAATGGAGTTTAGCTTCTTTGATAACACTGAAATAGTTTCTCTCCCTGTTAAATAAATTAATCTTTTAAAAGAAATGAAGTGTAATCAGGAGTATCAGGCAGAAGGCATAAAATATACAAACTTTACTTGTTAAGCTAGTGCAGCTTGCTAACTTAGCTTCTTTGATAACAGTGTAAAAGTTTCTCTTCATGTTAAATAATTAATCTTTAAAAAAGAAATCAGAAGTATTGGGCAGAAAGCATAAAATATCTAAACTACTTGATGGGCCAGGGAGTTGACACTTACAAAAATCTCTATGTTAGGCTGGCATTGTGACCATAAATTTACTGAAATAAAAATATTTCGACTAAATATTTTTAAGTGTTTAGTCCGGGCCCCAACAAGTACAGTTTTACCTCTCTAAAAAAGGTTTTGTTTCTTTAAAAATATTGTATATCGTCATTTACGTAAACACAAATAGCCAATTTAAAAAATAATAAAATATCCAGTAAGTCCCACAATGTACAAACCGACGCAGATGGCAGTCACGCAGATTTTAATTTGTGTAGGCATGTACAATTAATAATAATAATAATTTGTATAGATATGTTCCCTAAAAGTAAGGATAATCTGGATCCGTTTCGTAGCAACAGTTCCCATTATAATTAGACTTGTAACGAATAGTATATTCGGCAGTATACCGAATATTGGGCAAGCTAAAATGCGGCTAAATGACAAAAACAACTTTTGACATATGGCCAAAAACACTAGTAAACTTTAAATTATTGCTATTATGTAACCATTCATCACATGACTGAATGAATTAAAAACTGTTAACTTGTTTAATACAGAAAATGATTAAATTATGTACCTGTTTCATGTACCAATGACTACTTAATAAATGATTATAAAAGAAATGAGAACCTTATCCTTCTAAATTTTGATTACCACAATAATTCAAATACATAGAATCCTCCATTTTTCCAATACAGAAGATGATTATGTACCTGTGTTATATACCAATGACTACTTAAATGATTATATAACAGAAATGAAAATATGAATATATACGTAATTAATCGATTTTCATTTTTCATTTTACCAATTATTTCTCTATGACAAAATATATTTTTTAAGTATTCGGCCGAATAATATGTAGATATTCGGTATTCGGCCGAATATAATAAAAGCAGCCGAATAGGCCGAATACCGAATAGTAACCGATATTCGTTGCAAGTGTAATTATAATCAAAATAATAAAAATATTTAAGCAACAAAGCTTTGATAGGCCTATCTCTTGCTAAACTTGAATTATTATTGACAGTAACTTCAAATCATTAGGATTTATTATAATAATTTTATGAGGATCCTGTAAGAATGAAATAAAATAAGTGTAGATTTGAAGTGCCATTTGATTTAGTAATATGTCATAGTTGTTTTTTCATCTACATCAGTGTCACAGGACCTACAACAATATAAATAATAAAATAAGAATTAAGAACACTCAGCAATTAGCCTAACCCCAAACTAAGCAGTGTGAGGCATACCTTTTGGAGTACTTTTCAGAAATAAATAAGGCTAATATTCATCATTCATTCAAAAGGTGTACCTACACTCAGCATACAAATCACGCAAATCTGGTATTTCAAGAATGTTTTGTTTTATTATATCTTATCATGACTAATAGTGCACAAAACAAAAAAATGTGTTTTTATTCTTAAAAAGTTAGAGACATAGTTTTACCTGATGAGTACAACATTTTCATGCATCTCAATCATAAGTATGTATTATATTTGTGCCCAGAAATAATTTAAATCTTTGTTATCATGCAGCATGATATCATTAAGGCTGATTATACTGAATGTGATTAGGGTTTCTTTGGCCAGTTATACTTCACATTTGAAAGCAAAGGCTACAGACCACAGTGCCAGACTTTCCTGGCAAATTTCCAAAGATAAATCTTACTCCAGACTGTATGATATGTTTTCTTCCTAAAAATACTACAAAAAATGTATGATCACATCACTACAAAAACTTTGCAGCAAGACGATATTAAAAGCACTTAAGCACTTTTTCAATTTGTTATTCTCGAAGGCAGAACACCCAAACCGAAGACATGGGACAGATTAAGGTTTGGTTCTGTTGTAATCTGTGTGAAAAGTTATCTTGAAGTCCACTCGGCTAGAGGTAGGCGACACCACGCCACGCTTACATCGAGACGACAACACCGACCTCACGCACGGCATGCCTAGGGTAATCTTGATTCTCTACCGGCATTCGATAAATTTTGTATTTGAAGTGTAAGAGGCGTAAGGGCGAGGAGCACGCAAGGACTTCTATACCTGGACTAACCGCCTACCGTTGCTAGCCCCGGTGTAATTAACAAACCTCCATAGTATCCATACCTAACTGACGACGAAGACACGGTTTAAAACCGTGCCTAAACCCTCATAGAAAACGTCTCGTTAACAAGCGCACTAAGCGTGATTCGTAACTTTGAGTTACGCGCCGCTAATTCAAGTTGTTCGTAAGCATAAACCAAGATCCGCTTATAGTAAAACAACGTGTCAAACTAGTAAAAAAATTATGGCCATCAGTCTAGCCTCGCACTAACTACTATCCAGTTCTGACTCTTAACTATTCCAAGAATATCTGGAATGCACACATAAAATATCATTGTAATCTGTAAAAGATTGATATATCTGTATATATATATATATGTTGCAATATTTATTTTCAGGTATTCTTCTACACTTTCTAATGACTTTGCTGTAGAAATTGAAGGAACATCAATTAAAAAGAGTCATTGTAGGATTTGGGTGAACAAATTGGACAGAAAGGATGGTACATTTATTGTAAGATATAAGGTTTACGATACTTGCCTCGATTTAAATATTAGTCTCTATTACAAAAGTAAACATATAAGTGGATCCCCTTTTAACTTTAAGGGTATGTGCATTGTTTGTAAAACTGTTATTAGGTTTTCCATTTACCAATCACATACAAATAAATTTTGTTTCTTTGTTGCCACATTAGGTCCTGTACAACCTGATCAATGTGATTGTCCCCACCAGCATTTCGAGACTTGGTTAAAAGAATATGGCTGTCCATCAACTTACGAACAAATTGAACATGATCTTAATAGATATCAAGATCTGGACATGAAAGATCAGGTCAAGAAAATTATAAAAAAATATCATAAACCAGAAAGCACAAGTTTTTGCCACTATGCAGTAAACAAAAATCAAATATATAGAAAGTGCTATGGAAAACATGTAGGATTTAATATGTTTTCTGACAATATTCTTCTGTTTCTCTCACGCAAAGTAATATTACCTAACATGGAGTTGGTGGTTAACCTAGGTGACTGGCCTTTGGTCCATAAAACTACTCAACCTTTCCCTATTTTTTCATGGTGTGGTAGTGACGACACTGTTGATATATTAATGCCAACTTATGATATAACGGAATCTACTATAGAAAATATGGGCCGGTGAGTTATTTCAACCAGTTTGTTTTCACATTTGTTATTAGATTTCAATGAAGGATACATTCAAAGCAAGTAAACAATTAATTTTTTTTTAGAGTTACATTAGATATACTATCAGTGCAGGGTAGTATTGTACACAATTGGTCAGAAAGAGAAGAAAAAGCTGTGTGGCGCGGAAGGGATTCTAGATTGGAACGTTTAAAACTAATAGACATAGCCCGTGCTAATCCTAGCCTATTTAATGCTTCCCTCACCAATTTCTTTTTCTTTAAAGACAAAGAAGCCGAATATGGACCCAAGCAACCTCACATATCTTTCTTTAAATTTTTTGATGTAAGTGTTAACAGTAATAATCAGCTATAATATAAGATTTTGTAAGAGTGCGTTTCCACAGAATCGGAGCTGTGTGGAGTTGAGCGGAGCCGTGTAAATAAGTCCCATTGCAGCTGCGCGAAGATGAGCAGAGCTTAGCTGTATAGCAGGCTGAAGTAGATAGCCGAGGGGCTATGTGAAGTGCAAATGACTGGAGTGGAGCTGAGTGAAGATGGGTGGATTAGAACTTTGAAGTAGAGATGCGCAAAGCGGAGCTATGCATACAGATCTGCATTCATTTAGGCTAGTAAGTGCTTGACCGACGAACAGCGCTGATGGTACGTCCTGACCATCAGCTCCGACCGACGAACTGAACTGAGTCGCGTGTGTACAGTTCATGAGTTCATACAGGCGCGTGCGCTTCCTCGGTCAGCGTAGCACTAACGCATACATTCATTCTCATAGTTCGTCGGTATAGCTACGTCAGTCAGCGCCGACCGCCAGTTGAGTACTTTTTCTAGTCGCAAACGATGTTTGTCAGACAGTGAGGACCGAATGTGGTCGCTAAAGAAAAAAAAGCTCGGCTCCACCCAGGTCGTCCCCGCTACACCTCGCACAGCTACACAAAGCTGAATTTCGCATAGCGCCACGCGGCTGTCTCGCCGGTCAGCTAATCTCCCCTAGCTAATTACAACATAAATTTTCATGTAATTGGCTATTTGAAAGTATGAAAAAATAAAGTAGGTATCAATTATTGGCATGTGTATTTAACACGACGATTGGGAGCGATTTCACTATTCTGAAAATAAAAGTGTTGGCAAAATATTACTAAAACTCAAGAAAAATAAAAGTATTTATTGATCTATCTATTGTCATGTGACTTAAGCCTAGGATTGGCGGAGCCTAAAATGGCGTGACTTGCTTGTAAACATGCTGTAGAAGTGACCTTACTTTGTACTGTTTGACGTTTTAAAGAGAGCCGTGTGACGTCCCCGGGCTGTAAGATCCCATATTTGTTAGAGAAGCGTTTCCGCGGCATATTTGAAAACAGAATTTTTATTTACTGCTTTAAGCAAAATATAAATACTTTTTTTATGGAGTCATTCTACACAAATAAATAACGTATTAATGTTTTCAAAAACTTGTCAAATAACCTATTCTTATCAATTCCACTAACGCTTTTTCCACTGCAGGGGAATGGGGATGAGATGTGTATGTTGAGCGATATCATTGGCAATTTCTTTAAGTCTGCTCAGCTCTTCGCAGCACCAATTCTGTGGTAACGCAGTTTCGCTGTTGACGAAATAATAATTGAAACAAAAATTTTCAGTACAAATACCAGATAAATGTGGATGGGACAGTGGCAGCTTATAGACTTCCATATCTGCTTGCTGGTGGAGGAATGGTTTTGAAGCAAGACTCTCCTTATTATGAACATTTCTATAACCAACTCCGTGCTTGGGAGCATTACGTGCCAGTATTTAGAGACCTGTCGGATTTAAAAGAGCGCGTATTATGGGCGCGTAAGCACGATGACGCAGCTCGTACTATAGCTCAAAATGCACAGAAATTCGCAAATGAAAATTTGTTGCCGCAGCACATTATTTGCTATCATGCAGTTTTATTCTCTGTGAGTACCGTGATTTTTATTATTTCAGTACATTGTCTGTTTACATATTTTATTTCTTGTTTAAATTACAAGCTCAAAAGTGAGTTATAAATCTTTTTTACCATATCATCGAGTGTTCACGCAATAACTCTAATTGATATTAAGTTATGCTTACGCAAAACATACCAATATGCACCCCGTAATGAGAAGGATATACAACATAGTACATAACAGCAACCTTATATAATTCACTATTTTGTGTCCATGATTGTAACCGCCAAGGATAAATCATATAATAAAGCCAAAAATATCATAAGAGATGTTAACTAATAGGATATCCAATTTGCGGTGAAGTAGAACGTTACAGAACCTATAAATGTATGTTTGTATGTTTGTTTTTTGCAAGTATTTCTCCTGTCGACGGATCACTTGAGTGACATTATGAAATTGTTCACAAAATCAACATTTTAAGGCGAGCGAAGCCGCGGGCAAAAGCTAGTACCTAATTATACATTGCGGTTATGCGTACCGGTTGTATGTGGTGTGAACAGTTAAGAAAGTCTTATCTATTACACTATTGTTTTTTCAGAAATGGAGTAAGAAAATCAAAAGTGAAGTTACGATTAATGATGATATGACGCACGTTCCCCAACAGAAATTTTCCTGTCATTGTGATACTAAAGAAATTCCAGACCACATAGAATTATAAGCATATCACTTTATTCCGAGCCGAGCCTGTGGTACCGGTATATGACCAGTAGGAAATGAAAATTTCTGTTTGTTACAGTGCGTTTTTAGTTTATTTTACTAGTCATTCCAGAATATACTGTGTAATCTCATCATCATTAACAGCCTATCTTAGTCCACTGCTGGACATAGGCCTCTCCAATTGCACGCCACTGTGATCCATCTTGGGCTACTCGCATCCAGCTCCAGCAATCTCATACTTTTTTTAATCGTGGTAATAATGTATATTTTTTTAAAGGCTTTTTATACCAAAAAACCTCGACTAAAATGATAAGAATAACATTGTTCATACGAATAAGAATATAAATTTAATAATAAAAAACTGAAAACACCCAAAATCGAAGTTTTAGTTTTAGCAAGTAACAACTCTTGCACATTCATTTGATTGATAGTGTATCTACCTTCAACAATGGTGGTATAGTCAGACAGCAAAAAATAAAGAAAACTCCATGGACTGTTTGATAAACTGTATGCCAAGCACACCCCTCTTTCCCAGTGGGCACTTGCCCTTGATAGGTCAGATCAAATACAAAGTCCCTAGTTCCTGTTAAATCACCAAACGGGGGTCATAGGGGCCCGCCCCATTATCCTAACATGCCCAGGGCCTCCAATAGGTCGAAGACGGCACTAATGCCAAGCCAGGTTCTCAGGTAAAATTGGTGTAAATTGTCAACAATCGCAAAATAAATTTAATGACCTGAGACTTATAGAAAATAACTAAAATTTAGTGCAAAGACTAAAATTATCATTTAAATAAAAAATAAAAAATGTCTATAGGCCTTTAGAAACCATCAAAGTATTAAAGTCATCTAAATATTGTACACAACCAACCAGTCTTATATTTCTTCAGATCAAAAGTCTCCATATACATTATACACTATAACAATGATCATTAATATGTACGCGTCGTAACTGTTCATTGTTCTAAGCCAGAGTACTCATAAATATCTTCGCTTACATGGAGTATTCAATTTAAATTAAAGATTAGCACACATAAACTTGGAAAGGGATCGTCACTTCTTTGTGTAAAACTTCATACTGCAACGCACACTGATCGGAATCGTCTCGACTCGGGACAAGCTCCGAAGCCGCGGTGCATGGTCAACTTGTAGTTCCCGCGTTTACGTCTCTTCGTCCAAGCCCCCTCCCGCTGACTCACGTTCGGATTCAAACTGTACCCTAGCACGAACCATTACCGAATTCGAATTGTTTGCGAATGTGAAATGTCAATGTCAAATGTGTACTAATTTTTAGTTCTCGTTACGTACTTTGTGGAGCTGCTGTTCAAGTTTCCATACATTGACATTTCGCACTCGCAAACTATTCGAATTCTATAATGGTTCGTGCTCGGGGTACAGATTAAACTAGTGCCGCCTTACCGGCAACCAGCGGTCGGCGAGCGGTATGCGCGGCGTCGCGTCGCCTAGCTGTAACCTAGTCGACGTACTGGAGCTGCTTATTCGCTTTCTTTAATAGACTTAAATATAGGTGGACGCCTGTTTGACAGCAAGCCGAAAGGCGAGTCGGTAACAATCCGCTTCCAAGTTGACATGTGTGCTATGACCTTTAATCTAATCGTTTCAAAATAAAATGCACGATCCCTTTACCTAAGTTTTGCATACAAGTATGACGTTACATATACAAGTTGCTAGCGTTGAAAATATGTTTTCAAGAGTGTGTAAACCGTATGCAGGTTTTACTTTGCATATAAGTGGAGATGTTCCCAATTGAAACGTGCAAATAACGCTTGCAAATGCTTTAAAAATGTACAACTGACACAAACTTTGAGTTGCATCTTACATACATAATTAAATTATAGTTGCCTAATGGAATCGCGCCTTTAGGCCCAAAAAAAGACACCTCAATCACGTCATGCACGAAATGAAAACATAAGAACCGTAATACCTCAGATTAATTTTCTTTACTATGATTTTATTTTTGATAAGTTTGAGTGCTTAGATACCATTGAACAGTTATTCGCGAATGAGTTATGTTGTTTCGATAATATTTACTACTCTAGCCGGTTACAACAATAAGATTATCTAACAGCACATATTTAATTTAATTTGTCTATCTTCGATAATTTTGATCAGTACCCTTAGCACGAACCAATATCGAATTCGTATCGTTTGCGAGTCCGAAATGTCATTGTCAAATGTGTACTGATTTTTAGTTCTCGTTACGTATTTTGTGCCGCTGCTGTTCAAGTTTCCATACAAAATTTGACATTGAAACTTGAACAGCAGCGTTTCTGGTGGTGTTGATTTTGTTAGTTAATAAATCTTATTTCTTTTGAACAAACATAAGGGTAGTCTTAATAAAAAGCGTCATCCAGCTCCACTAACCATTTTAACTCATCAGTTTCCTTAAATTTGTAACGATTTTAAATAACATAGTTTGATTGTAAATGTGCATGCATTTTACATGCGTCGCCTAGAGTGACGGGGCTAGCTTAGAGCTCAATCTATCGAATACGCGCAAACCGTCGTACGAGTTCATCATCGCTAAGCAACAAGTCAAAATAAAAGCTTTAAAAACTGTAAATAATAGATATATTATATTTTAAGCATTAAACTGCTTGATTTATAAATCTAAAGAAAACTTAACTACGAAGAAAAATCCACTCCGTCAAGTTGCCATCCTGTCTGACACCTTGACCGAGTAGATTTTGTCTAGTTAAATTTTGAATATAATAATATAATGGTGTCGATTCTAGCATGATTCTCTAAACCTAAACTTAAATTTGACAGCAGTATATCCTTGTCGTTCTCTATACAGAATGAAAAGGAGAGACTGATGTTAAATTTAGTTTTAAGTTTAGAGAATCACGCCAGAATTGGCATCAATATTTGGTTATATACAATGTTGGTGCGGTACGTTATCTCGGAGATGTATAATGTTGGTAGTTCGTTATCTGTACATGGCGACTTCAGGGCTGTGGTAGAAACATGTAGGCATCGGCAAGCAGGCGGGCGCCCTCCTCGATGAGCCACGCCCCTAGCTCGGAGATGTATAAAGTTGGTAGTACGTTATCGGTACATGGCGACTTCCGGGCTGCGGTGAAAGCACATGTAGGCGTCGGCAAGCAGGCAGGCGCCCTCCTCGCCGAGCCACGCGCCTAGCTCGGAGTTGTATAATGTTGATAGTACGTTATCGGTACATGGCGACGTCGGTGCTGCGGTAGAAACACATGTAGGCGTCGGCGAGCAGGCGGGCGGCGTGAGGCGATGCGGGCGCAAAGTGAGGCGGCGCGGGCGCAGCGTGCGGCGTTCGAGCGCCCTCCTCACCGAGCCACGTGCCTAGCTCGGAGATGTATAATGTTGGTCGTACATTATTGGTAATAGGCGACGTCGGGGCTGCGGTAGAAATACAATACACGTAGGCGTCGGCGAGCAGGCGTGCGGCATGCGGCGGCGCGGGCGCAGCGTGCGGCGTTCAAGCGCCCTCCTCACCGAGCCACGAGCCTAGCTCAGAGATGTATAATGTTGGTAGTACGTTATCGGTACATGGCTACGTCGGGGCTGCGGTAGAAGCACATGTAGGCGTCGGCGAGCAGGCGGGCGGCGTGAGGCGGCGCGGGCGCAGCGTGCGATGTTCGGGCGCCCTCTTCACCGAGCCATGCGCCTAGCTCGGAGATGCTCACTATCTCCGGAATGTTGTAGCCGTTGCGTTCGCCTGGTGCAAAAAACAAATGCGATTTGAAATTAATGGCGGCTGTGAAGCTTGTGCAAGTCGCGGCGCAGCAACGAAATGTAGGTATATTGCAACGAGGATCTTTATGAATTGAAGTCTTGGTCTTGTTCTTGCATTTTTGCAAGACCAAGACCAAGAACAAGACCGCGTATTTTTAGCAAGACCAAGACTGACCGTGCAAGACTTGATCAAGAACAAGACTAATCCGGCAAGACTCTTGCGTCTTGCAGCTAGGACTTAGCGCTATTTCACGGAGTAGTTAGGTATAACAGTTCGGTATATAGGTACGCTTAGGAATTCTATGAGACGCAAAAAAGTGTATCAAAGAATATGAAAAACTGGACCTATGCGCATTACGACCAATACCATAAACAAACATAGCGAATAAAAAAATATCCATTAAAATCAATTAGAGTGCATGCTTAGTTTTGTTTTAACCATCGGCACTCACACATCACATCACACACAAGAAATTTGCCGCTTTTCGGAAGTACATGATGATGATACACGCGCCAGCGGCGGCTTCTATTGAAATCACATACAACAATCATTGCCGCCGCGCCGAAATCACAACATTTGACACTATTTGATTGCCGCCACAGGGCCTAGGTATACTTATGCAAAATTCTAATTTCGTGTCGTGCCGTCCCACTCACGCTAATACTATTTAATATATGAGCGAGCGAGACGATACGACACGAACTTCGATTTTCGAATTTTAGAGTACAGGTGTTCCAAAAAATAAATAAGTTTCAGAGTGCTTAGAATGGAAACGGATTAATGTATCCGTTTCCATCACGCAAGTAGTATTATGATTAGATAATGGTAAGGGTAGGTAGTAGATGTCATAATAATTTATTCTAGTAAGTATATATTATAATATTGATTATATGGGTTTAAACTAATTACTTAGGTACTATTATTGTACATTTAGTCAAAATATTTCTTAAATTTCTTAAGTTTTTACAAATAGCAATAGTCTAATAGGTAATTGCAAGACTCTTGCTGCAAGACCAAGACCAAGACTGAGAGACCAAGACCAAGACCAGGTGTATTGGCGCAAGACCAAGACCAAGACTGGCTAAGTCTCGTCTTGTTCTTGCATTTGGGCAACACTAATGAATGTGCCGAAAATTGGAACTAACGCCGCCGTCTTTGTAAACGTCATATTTTGTATGTCATTTACATAGACAGTGGCTACATTCCTGAACTATCACTCGCATTCATCAGGATCAAACGTCACTTAGAAGTGATGTCACCATTGAGGTACCTATCAGTATGAGTCACTTTACGATACATGACTCACACCATCACCCGAAACAATTAACTGCCGTAGGAAACTCTTTGTTTCAGAGAGCACGGGGTGTCTGTGACAAACAACACCTGGTAGCTGAACTTCAGCATGTCGAGCAAGTACTGAAGGATAATAACCTGAATGTACCACGTCGCCGTCACAGTCGCGCCAAACCTAGCACAGTCGACCGACAACCTGCTATACTACCTTACATGAAAGGAGTCACTGACAAGATTGGGAGGATTCTGAAGCGTGCTTCAATCAATACATACTTCAAGCCGCCAAAGAAGATCCAGTTTCTACAACCGGTCAAGTGCAATATACCCTTTCAAGTTGCTTGCAAATCAATGCCAGCTTTCTCAGATACAACATTAAAACTATTACCTGCACGCAAAAGATACGAATTCTGTCTAAAGTTTGAGGTTGCCTGTGGAACGCATATAAGGGCTTAAATCTAAGTGGTTTTTTGTAGCCCTAAGGGAAATCCTAGACAGTAGTGCTGGACAGTCGATAGCACCAGAAGCTATTTTTAATAAAAATACTAAATCTATAATTTGGCGGTGTTTTTGCAGTGGTAACAAGTGGGGTTTCTTACAAAAATATAAATATTAGTTTGAATCATAGTGCTCTTTGGTGCGAAAACAGTGATATTTGAAGAATTTTCTCTGAATGTTTTCAATTCGCGTTATATAAGTTAGATACAGAGGGTTCCAGACCCGGGACGCATACTCCAGATGGCTTCGAACAAATGAACAATATAAAATCTTTAATGTTTTTGCATTTTTGAAGTCTCTGGAATTACGCATCACAAACCCAAGAGCCCTGGAAGCTTTACTCATGATATTATCTATATGAGCGTCAAATAAGAGCTTATTGTCATGAAGGACACCAATGACCTTTGCGACAGTATCACCTTGCAATGTTGAGCCTCTTAATTTATAATCAAAAAGTATCAAATTTTGTTTACAACTATAAGTGACAACAATAAACTTTGACTGATTAAGATCTAAATGGTTCTCAACACAATAAATTTCAAGTCTGTTAAGGTCCTCTTGCAACGAAAAAGCGTCAGCGATAGAAGATATAGGTGCAATTATCTTCATATCATCTGCAAAGCATAAGAGTTGTGATGTGTTGAAGCACAGCTCAATGTCATTCACAAAAACTGCAAATAATAGAGGTCCGAGCAGAGATCCTTGAGGAACTCCGCTGAGCACTGTGAGCCAGCTGGAGATATAGTTTTTGACTACAACAGCCTTCGATCGAACGCTTTGCTGCAGTCATTGTATACAATATTGACTTGGAAGCCATTATCCATAGACGAGGTGAACGATTCATTAAGCAGAGTCAAGTTGGATACTACGAACGTCCTCTCAAAAAACCATGCTGAGTGGGGCTGAAGGAATGCTTAAGTGCTGAGTATAGCTGCTCATACACAATCTTCTCAAGAACTTTTGAGACTATACAAAGTTTAGAGATTGGTCGGTAATTGGTTATGTCAATCCTGGATCCTTTCTTGTGGACAGGTGTGATAAAAGCACGTTTCCACAACCTTGGTACAATACCTTCAATCAATGATCTTTCAAAAAGGATAACTAATGGAACTGCAATAGTTTTAGCGCTAGATATAAGGAACTGAGCTGGTAATAAATCTGGACCGGCTGACTTGGATGGATTCAGTGTCGAAAGAAGCTTCGCCACATTTTGAACATCGATTTCAATATTAGTTATATTTGGGACGGTGATATTAGAACCAGAAGAATAAACGTTCATTTGAATGGTAGAACAGTTCAAAAAATTTGAATGAAAGTAATTAGCAAAAGCATTACTGATTGAATTTCCTGTATTGAGAATAACATCACCATGTCTCTTACTGCTAGGAATATTATTCGTATCCGATTTAGATTTAATAAAAGACCAAAATAGTTAAGGGTTATCCTTTAAAGAACTCTCAACAGACTTAATGTAGTCAGAGTAGTATTGCCCCTCCATTGCCCTACCCGATCTCTAAGCAATTGAAATGTTAATTCGTCAGCGAGGTTCCCGTATGTTTTGAACTTTTTCAGGTATTTATATTGCTCTTTAATGGCCTTTTTCAAAGCAGAACATTACCACTTTGGATAACGGCCAGCAGTGACTTTTTTACTGGGTATGTACTTATCCCTCACTTAAAAAAATGGTATAAAAGTAATCAACAGCACCTTCAAGAGATCACGTCAGTTCAGACTGCTAGTCTACTTTTAAAATTTCCGAATTAATTGCCTCATAATTACCCTTTTAAAGAGATACTTAACATACGGGCCATCAGCCAAACAAATAGTGTTAGAGAACTGTAGGTCAACTCGGTCGGTCACTGTTGACGACGATTCTTTGAGTATTTCCCACAAAGCCAATATCCGAAGCTACAAACTCTTTTTTCGCACGGGCTGCAGCAATAAACTTTTCCTTAATGTATCGATTGTTAAAGTTAATAATTATCGACTTTTCGTTACTATTATACACGGGTAACTCTGGTGATGTAATTAATTTGTGTTTTTACTGCTACAGTCAATGATTCAGTCAGTTCGAACAAGTTTTCTCCAGACTTCATAGGTACGGCTTTAATTTATTTATTTATTTATTCATGGCAAACAAACGGCATGTTAAAACAAAGTATAAAACGAAATAATGTAGCATTGATAAGCTTTAAACAGTTTTCACAAATACAAATCAAACACAATATACTTTATCCAATCGAGGCAGTAGATTGTCTCAACATTATTGAGCCGTGCCCACTGTTCCTTTAGTGCTAACTCCTTCTTAAGGGCAGTGATTTCATTGGCAGCAGAGTTAAAAGAAGATTGAACATTGATCCCGGACACTGTTTTCTAAGTCGGAGATCCTCAACTCTTCTTCATCTAATTTGGCGCTGTTAAAATCACAAGACGATTTAAGATCTTCCACCTCTCTTTTCATGCATTTGACGTCTTCAACAAGTGTGGGAAGACTGGAAAGTTGTTGCTTCATATCACGTATCTCGCTAAGTATAGTCTTCAGGACGGAATCACCTCCTGGACTAGGCGAAGATGATCTTGACAGCTTACACTGGGACATTTCCACGCGAGTCTGCGTTCAGGTCCCAGTTTTCTATACCCTGTTTCAGTAATAATTGCACAATTGAAGTGTAAATACTTTTTACACGCCCCACACTGGACTCCGTCATTGAATGATGCATCACACATAGCACACTTCATATTCACGGCAAAGGAACCAAGCCTAACAAACGACAAAAAGGTTGACAATATATGAACGACGAGCAGATAAGTTGTACACGTACTACCTAAGCGAGTGCGCACGGCGAACTGAGATAAGATAAAGTGTCTATATATAAAATAAAGTTAAATAATTTTATTCTCACCTTTTCTGTCTGCCATGGAGTCGAAGAAACACCACGGAGCGTCATGGCCGACTCCGGCCTTCACGAAAGCGACGTAATGACTGGTCTCGATACAGAGCACGGCGAACAGTTCCATGTAAACCCGCGGCACGGGACACGATTCCAGAATACTGACGAACTCCTCGCACACCGTTAACGGCGTTGCCTGCGAAACATTTGCTGCGTTAATATTTGTCATTTATGATAGTACTAGTGTGTGTCCGTGTCAGACTGTAAAAACTGTGTTGTGTTACCTATACAACCTTCTACCCCCTCCAAAGATGAGTTCTGGAATAAAAGCTATCCTATGTTCTTTGTTGGGACTCCAAACTGGCAAGCATATGATGGCAGACTACATACGATATCAGGCGTACGATACCAAAATGTCACTCGCACCGTTGCCTATCCAGACCCAATCTTCTAACTCCTACTCCGGCCCGCGCCCGCGCACTGACAGCGTGTGGGGCCTACTACCTGGTGCTACGGGCGCGCGGCGTTTGCCAGCCGCAGACACGCGTGGCAGAGCGCGCCACCCTCGAGCGCACTGCCCGCGCCCGCGCACTGACAGCGTGTGGGGCCTACTACCTGGTGCTGCGGGCGCGCGGCATGTGCCAGCCGCAGACACGCGTGGCAGAGCGCGCCGCCCTCGAGCGCACTGCCCGCGCCCGCGCACTGACAGCGTGTGGGGCCTACTACCTGGTGCTGCGGGCGCGCGGCATGTGCCAGCCGCAGACACGCGTGGCAGAGCGCGCCGCCCTCGAGCGCACTGCCCGCGCCCGCGCACTGACAGCGTGAGGGGGCCTACTACCTGGTGCTGCGGGCGCGCGGCGTGTGCCAGCCGCAGACACGCGTGGCAGAGCGCGCCGCCCTCGAGCGCACTGCCCGCGCCCGCGCACTCGCCGCACTCCCACCGCGCCAGGGACCCGCACACCGCGCATTGACGTGGCACTACAACCGAACACATCACAATTAAGGCTAAAAACTCACAAAGCAATTTTAGTACACGCGCCCGCCACGGCGGCGGCATCGCACGCAACTGGCGTAGAATATGAAATTGTATTAATTTGTACTCTGTCGCTGTACCATAAATAAAAAATAAATAATAATAAAAAAAAAACTGTTTTGACATTTACAGTGTGTAACTCAATGGAGCAAAAACAAAGAGGAATACCTCGTCTCATAAATGCAAATGGAGGTATTGTATTGTATCGCGTTTTCACTAAGAAATCAAGTGAAGCCACTGATAGGGTAGCGGGGGGAGGTGCAGCATGCCAACAGCGCCAACACGACGAGTAGCGAAACTAAAATTAAGTTACTTGTAAACACGACGACACACACGCACACGTCAAATGGCTATTGACTTAAAAAAATTGACATGTATTGTATGATTATTATGTGTAATATAAGGTATAGTTATTATGACATCTGGAAGGCAACTATTACTCAATTTAAATTTGAATTTTTAGATAATTTATTAGTTTTTTTTTTTATATAGATAGGTCCGACAAATGACTCCACCCCACCTGATGTTAAGTGAAGGTGAAGTCCAGACGCGAAGATAGCTGATACAGCAGTTCTACCTGCCACACCAGCCATCCTCACCCTGCCGGCCTGCATGTTGCTTCTTCACGCCTCTTTTAAAGGATCCCAGGTTGTAAGAGGGAGGGAACACGTGAGCGGGCAGAGCATTCCATTTACGGATAGTGTGACAAAGAAATGAGTCACCAAATTTCCTTGTACGCGTTGGAATTGTGGCCACAGTAAGACGATGACAACGTAGGCCAGCGCGCGTGGTCCTCTGAAGGAAAGGGGAGATAGGATAAGAGAGAATAACTCCTCAGAACACTCGCCGTGGTACAAACGATAGAACGCGCTTAGTGACGCTACGTCACGGCGTAATTGAAGAGGCTCAAGGTGTTTAGTCACCTCCTCATCGCCTATGATGCGGATCGCGCGCCGCTGTAGCCTATCCAAAGCATCGAGCAAGTACTTGGCGGAGCCATCCCAGAGGTGCGAGCAATATTCCACGCAGGACCGCACTTGCGTTTTGTACAACAAGCACAGTTGATCGGGCGTGAAAAAACGCCGCACCTTGTTCAGGACTCCGAGTTTGCGTGAAGCTGTTTTGATCACGGTTTCGATGTAGTCCTTTGGATTCAGGTCTGAGCGAACTTCAATACCGAGCATGGAAATGTTGCTCTGCAGCGGTAGTGTTGTGCCCTGAAGAGATGGAAGGGGAAGGAATGGCGATGTTTTTGCCGTGAAAGCGCAAGCCTGAGTTTTCTTGGCATTGAACTCAACCAAGTTCCTGGTACCCCATTCGGAAATGTGGTCCAAAGCCTGATTGAGTTCAATGACAAGATTTTCCCGTTTCTCCTTGGTTACTGCCTGCCCAGCCGCTGCTTGTCCGAGATACCCCGCATGCACTGTACTATCGTCTGCATAGCAATGAATATTCCCAAGAGGAATCAAGTCATTGATATGCAGCAAAAAGAGAGAGGGGATAGGACGGAGCTCTGGGGAACGCCGGCATTCACTGACATGAACCACGAACTACTACCATCCGTAAGGACACGAATTCTACGCTCATGCAGGAAGTCAACTACCCAAGAACAGAACTGGGCTGGCAGACCGTATGCCCGAAGCTTGGAGAGAAGGCTTTTGTGCCAGACACTGTCGAACGCCTTGGCAATGTCAAGGTTGATAGCCAACGACTCGCCACGCTTGTCGATAGCCTCACCCCAGATATGAGTTAAGTACGCTAGAAGATCACCCGTCGATCGTTTCGGTCTAAATCCATATTACTAGCTTTCCGGACGTCGAGTGATTGCAATTCGGCACGAACCTCACGCTGCCTGATTTTAATATCAGGCATCGTTGTGCCACAGTGAGGTAATGATGGTGGCAGTGCATTGCAATCATCGATTCGGGAGTTAGCCGCAAAGAGTTTTGCCAGTAAATCGGCTTTCTCCTGCGGCTTATGAGCTAGTGTTCCGTCTGGGCATCTCAGAGGTGGCAGCGAGGGCTGGCAGAAGTTTTTTTGCACGGCTTTGGCCAAACGCCAGTAGCTACGGGAGCCTGTAGGATGCGTTATAAGTTCCTGGCCAACACGTGCAACACGCTGGGCATCCGCTCTGATGTAAGCCTTCTTACAGGCCTTGGAAGCAGAATTGTAGGCTGCTTTGAGTGAATCGACCCCGGGATCCTTCAGAGCGCGGCCTCTGATCCAAGCACGATATGCCGCTTGCTTACGCGAAGCAGCTTCAGCACAGTCGTGAGTGAACCAGAGGTTACGTGTGCCCTTACTGATGATGTACTATTATTAGTATTTTATATGCTCTTTCAAGGGCGAAACATATGGAACTTTTTATATTATTTACCAGCTATAACAAACTATGTTTCATGCAAATAAACTTTCATTTCATTTCACGAATCGAGGCTGAACTAAGGATGTTATTAAATAACCTTCCCCTATCAGTGGCTTTACTTGATTTCTTAGAATAAACGCAATACAATACAATACCTCCATTTGCATTCATTAACCTTAAATTTTATTGTTAATGAATATAAAAATAAGCCTAGCATTAATTTGCATAATTTAACATGGAGATAAAGGCAAAAATGTTTCTTTCTTAACGTTTAGTAACGAGATTTTCATACAACTAGATTAATATGTAAAGTACGATTATTAATTAGAGTCAGTAAAATGACAAGTGCAACTGTCACTGATACAAAAAAGGGTGACCCGCTACAATAGTGATGTTCGGCAATCAATAGGCTTATACATTTAGTCATGCTTTATTTTATTAGGTATCAAAGAGTTTTCTTTTATTGTAAATATGTAATACATACCCTTTGAAATAATGTGATTTTAGAAATATGGACCTTACCAGCATATTAAAATTGCTCACTACACATTATTACAAAAGCTGGAAAAAATGTTTAAAGAGGTTCAGAGGAATTAAGTAAAACAATACAAGTCATTTTATACGTTTTTATTCATTACAGTTGATATTGATTCCGACTCCGATTCTGAATCGGTATATTCAGAATCAGATTCAGTTACATTTATAATGAATGAATCCATAGATTCATCTATGATGTGGTCGAGTTGCCACATTTTGTCTTCAACTTTTATGGCATGGTTGATGCACTGTCTCCAATTTTCAGGTGTCACTTCCTTCAGACCTTCTTCAATTATTTTTTTACGTCTATTATTTTACAAGTTTTATTGTTCCTGGCGACGTACCCCTTTGCTTGAGCCCAAACTAACTCTATTGGGTTGAGCTCGCAGTGATAGGGGGGCAGACGCAGGATTGTGACACCGTATTCAGCGGCTAACTCTTCCACAGCATAGCGTTCGTAATTAGTTTTTCGTAATTTACTATTTCTATTAATTGAGCCTTGATCATTGTAGGTTGATATTGAATTTGTTTTTCATCCAACTACTGAATAATATCAGCCTTCCGCCAGTTTTAAGTGGGGATACGCTCGACTTTTCTTGAATTGAAAAGGTACGGTGCGTTATCTAATACTAGCACTGCATTTGGCTTTAAATTTGGCAAAATGCTTTTAAGCCATTCCTCAAAACACTCCCGAGTTCATTTCTTCATGATAGTCCATACTATTTTTCTTCGATTCAAAAATAAGTAAACCGGCTTCTACAAAACCTTCATCACTGCCTATATGTGAAATTATTAGGCGTCGACCTTTACCAGTTGGGCTCTTTAGGCCTGTTGTCAAACCTTTAGAAAACGCTTGTTTGGAAGATTCAAATTGTTGTATCCACCCAAACATTACCAGTTGTATGACCTGTTAATACACAAAATCATATAAATAATATAATACTGACACAAATACATTTTGACACTGAAAAACTAATCACAAAATACAGTTGTAAATAAAAATATTCAATTACCTTCATTAATCCAGGTCTCATCTTAATAATAAATTATTTTTCCTTATTTGTTTCTTAGGTTTTCACGCACATCACTCATTAAATAAAACTAGTTTTTACGGGTTAATGCACGAAACTTTATTTATTTATTGACGTTTCGCAGCCTTTTCATTTTTCCTTGTCTCCGATATTCTTTGATTGTCGTCAAGTACCGTCTATGCCACAATTAAGTCTTGACGGTCTGTCAAGCAGCTGCGACGTTTGCGACTGCCATATTTAAATTTTAAATGTTTTAAAACTGCTCGCATGGTACTCTTTGACATATTTGGTAGGTCAGGGTCATCATTTACAACCTGATGAACCTGTAAAATATAACAAGTATTTAATTTTTGTAAACAACAGCGAGACAATGACAATGTATATTAATTATTATTATGTATGTATGATGTACAATTATATATTTTGTATTGTATTATAATTTTATAGATTTACATACCTTGGCAATAGTTGGAGGATCCTTCTCATAAAAGAATTGGTGAACTTTACGACGTATCGCCGAAAAGTCAAAATCATCAATTTTATCTTTGAATGTCAGTTTGGGTCCAGATTTTTTCCTATTTGATAACTGAACGTTCTCCTTTTGTTCTTTCAGTATCCGATACACAGATCTAGTCGAAATTCCCAAAATTTGAGATACTGTCTGCACACACTCATCTTTCTTTGGAACAGCAAAAGGTTTTGTTGCATTTTGATTCCATACATAATTATAAGCATTGAGATTGAGAACCATTTGTTTCTCACTCACAACAAATGATCGACGCTTTCTTTTTGGAGGGAGACATCCCTCTTTAGAGGTGGACGGTTGGGGATCTATCTCAAACACCAACATAACAAAACAAAAACGTAACGTTAACAAAAACAAACGTAACAAAACTCAACAAAAAAAAAAATAAGTTAACAAGTAAGAAATAAACAAGAAATTGCAGAGGACACCAAATACTTCTGACATCGTCGGAATTCGGGAGCAGAATGAAAAACAAAATGGCGTCCATAGCGCGACAAGTGATGACCATAGTGCTTCCAATGACCAAAAATTCACCGAGTCAACACAATGAGATATTTAACTTAATACAACAGTGTTTTATGTAATATTAAATAAATTACTTACCGTGTATGTGTTCTATTTAATTACCGTAAATTACATATTTTTATTTATATATTATATAAATGCAATTTGATATTGAATAAAAAAAAAGGTAATCTCGACTAACTTTTAATTGTAAAAACTCGATTCTACCACATCACTATTTATTTGGGACAAAAAAAAATGCAACATTGGAAATGTCATTTTACTGACTGGAATTAATAATCGTACTATAAGATAGTTATTATATCGATATATTTAAAACATAATGAAATGAGAACAAAGAAAGTCGTCATTTTGATGCATTCCGTGATTATACACATTTAATTATCAAATTTTATTTACTTTTATGCATAACTATAATATCGAAAGGTAAGCATAATATCAAAATTTAATCAATACCAAACAGTTCTGAGAAAAAGATTTTGAGGTATTGCTAATACCAGATACAAGATTTTCAACAAAATTTAACATTTGCAGTGCGTTTTCGCTTTGATTCAAAAGAATTACATAGCGTCTTAAATCATTAACTACTGATAATGCCTGGGCGTGTTACAAAATCGGAGTTGACTCAACTTCTTATTGATCATTATCACTCAGGGCCTCTTCTTGTGTGTTATTCACATTCTCATTGAATTTTATACTATGCCACATTGTCAATGGAAAAATATCCAGGAAAACCCTAGGGGCCGCTTAGTGTGCGTCGCTCAACAGTCGTCACGTCAATCGCTGGCCGCTGCCGCAAGAGGTAATGTGTGGTACGTTGGCGATTTAGGCGTATTAAACGGGATGACGAATCATATTAAACGTCAAGAAATGTATGAAAACATGTCTCAAAAGTTGTAGGGACTGACGCAAAATGCCGTATTATGCGAGAAATCGTATTAGGCGTGATCGTATTAAACGGGTTCTACCGTATGTGTTAAGTGATCTTTTTTTCTAAATATCAATAGTACATTGCGTTCAACTCCTGGCAGGAATTTTGTTATCATCGCAATCACAAAGGTTTCTGTCATGATATGGTACCAGTGTTTCCACTTTTAAAGATTTCGCCCTTTTTTAAGGCGTTATTTTACAATTGTTTTTCCTTTTTACGTAATGAGGGTAATTTGGCGTATAGCATTTTGTTTTGTTTGCATAAATTCATAAGTTTAGAATTATATTTGGATACCTTATTTCCCCTCTTTAAAAAACTTTCGGATTTATGAAAGTTAATAAGTTGTAATTTTTTTAAGTAAGAAATGATCTGAAGGGCTTTAAACCCCTGAACATATATATTCATTAATGAGAGCTAAGAACCATTTTGATCACATTCGTTAACAAAATAAGGGCATTAAAATCGGTCCGTTCGTTTGGATGCTACCATGTCACAGATATCGATAACATAAAGGTGCAAAATTCCTTTCCACGTAAAAATGATACTACTATACCCGAGATCTTATACATAAGCGTTTGTTAAACAGAGCATGTTAAATAAACTCTTGAAACTTACATCCTTCAATAAGGTCGGTGACGTCTAAGAGTGGCGAAGGCAATACTTGTTGATATAGCTTGTATTGTTTGCCGAACCGTGGCATCTGGATTATAAATGCCGCAGGAACCTGAATAAAGAAAATAAATGTAAATATTGAAAATCAAAAATTATTTCATATTTCATCATCACCATCGTCATCGGCCTATATATGTCCCCACTGCTGGGGCACAGGCCTTCCTTTTGGATTGAATAGGGAAATTAAGCCATGGCCATCCAATGATCGACCACTGCGAAAGTTCACTTCAACGATCGCAGCTGACCGCGCTTACCACTTGCGCCATTAATTCTGCCATTAATTTCTATTTAATATTTTGTTTATATAAAAATAAATATACCTCACTAAGTTTAACGCCGGATGTTGCAAATGACTGCTCCAAAAGTTGCTGGACAGTTGGCAACGACACGTGCTCATCTTTCTCAACAAACAGTTGGTAACAGTAAGACTCCTGTCCTGAGGACAGCTTCAGAAAAGGCTCCGCTCGCAGCAATTGCGCAACTAGCCCATTCAAAAATTCCTCTGGATCCTGTAGGAAAATTTAGGGGTGATAACGGGGTAAAACAAACGAAATTATATTTAGTTCGTCAGTAAAATCATTAAAAAATAGTAGACACATAATTTTTCTTTTGTAGACACATATTTTTTCTAATCTACAAATCCCATGACAACTTATTATACTATAATTCTTATATATAAAAAAAGTAAATAGATTGTGAGAGACCGGTGCCTGAACTAGGCAGAACGCCTGTATCTCAGAGCACCAGGACTCTCCCTCCCCTAGAGAATGCACATTGATCAAATTATAAGTCATTGATCTTACATATTAAATTGTAGGTATAGGAAGAAAAGAAAAACATCTTAATCACAAAAGTGACACGACTACGCTTAAAATAAGATTCGCAAAGGGATTTATACACCGATAGGACCAGACTCAAATCAGCTACATGACGGAGATTTTTGAAGACGTACATTAGTTTGCGTAGTCTACCTGCAATGAGATCCACATGGGCAAGGAACGTTAGCTTGGAATCCACAGCGACACCCAAGTATTTAACAGTCCCACATGCCTCCAATGGAGGACAGGCACATGGATTTATTGAAGGGTTAGGATGGTAATGGGCTATTATCGATAGACCCTTAGTCATTTTAGGTGGATTGTTTTTAATTGACATTATCATATATTGGGTCTTCAGGATATTTAAGGTCAGGAGTTTATTTCGGAGCCAGCAGGATACCAGATCGAGACCATACTGTGCGTGACTGAAAGTCTCCTTCCATGAGCCAGATGAAAAAATCAGTACGGTGTCATCAGCATAAGAGATGATCTTGCAGTTGGGAATTTGAAGAGAAGACAGATCATTGATATAAACTAGAAAGAGTGTTGGGCCAAGAATACTTCCCTGTGGTACTCGGTATTCTATGTGACAGTCAGAGCTCCTGATACCATTAACGGTAACACACTGATAATGATCAGTGAGATAGCTACTGAAAAGCGATAACTGTCTGCCTCTAACTCCCAGTTTTTCTAGTTTTTAGGGTTCCGTACCTCAAAAGGAAAAAACGGAACCCTTATAGGATCACTTTGTTGTCCGTCTGTCCGTCCGTCCGTCCGTCTGTCAAGACCGTTTTTCTCAGGAACGCGTGGAGGTATCAAACTGAAATTCATACCTTATACTCAGGTCTACTGTCCCTTGGAGCTATGAAAAAATCAAACTTCTAAGCCAAAGCAATCAAAAGATACAGCCATTTATGCCGCAAATTTTCGAAACTCGCACGGGAATCAAAACCTACAGGGTACTTCCCGTGAACTTAGAATCTTGAAATTTGGTACGAAGTAACGTCTTATAGTACAGATAAAGGAAAAATTGCGAAAACCGTAAATTTTTAGTTCGTCATAAAATAAAAAATATTTTTGAATATTTTTGTACGGAACCCTCGGTACGCGAGTCCGACTCGCACTTGGCCGGTTTTTTTCAACAGGTTGGGAACTGAAACCGTGTCGAATGCTTTAGCAAGGTCTAAGAATACAGAGATAGTTTTTCTGTTCCCATCAAGGTTTCTCGCTATATGATCAGTGAGTTCATGAACGGCATCTGCCGTATATTTACCCGGAGTAAAGCCGTATTGTCCAGGAGCCAATGCGGATGTGCTCTTAAGGAAGTCCATTAATCGGTTCTTGATTAAGCGTTCCAATATTTTGGAGAGTGCTGGTAATATAGAAATGGGACGATAATTATTCGGGCACTCCTTTTTCCCTGACTAATAAATCGGATGGACAAGAGCCTTTTTGAAAGCGGAAGGAAAACAGCCTGTATCAAATGCTAGATTACAAATATAAACAATAAGAGGTATGAGTGTATTTTTATAACGTCTAATGAGGTTAGTGGAAATATCATCCCATCCAACAGCACAGTCCACCCTAAAGACATTATGGTACTCTCAACCTCGTCCATCGTTGCACTTAGTAGCACAAAAGAATTTGCTGGGGACGATGAAAATGTAGGTGATGTCAATGTGAAAATGGGATTTGGAGTAACTACAGGGGGCATTTGACTATTAATATCTTCAGCAAGTTTTTTGCCGATATTGACAAAATAGAAGTTTACGTGATCCACCGATTGCTGCTGAGAGTTTTTGCACGTTAGTAAATCACTGGAGAAGTTGTTGGGTTTATTAAGGTGAGCAACATCGCGAATAGCGTTCCACAACTTTTTGCTATTTGTTCCTGCTCTCCTTAACAAATCTTTTTCGTATGTGTTTTTTACTTTTTTAATAGTGAATTGCAGAAATTTCGATACCAACGAAAAGTTACTCTAAGAATTTCATTATCTGGATTAGATTTCAGACGTTTATGCATGGAGTCCCTGTTTTTAATTGATCTTAATAATCTAGGGGTGATCCAGGGTTTTAAGATTTTGCGGCGACGTGTGACTATAATCTCATTGGAGTGTGAATTGATGACTGCCTGAAGTATACTTATAAGACTTGCAGTGGCTGAGTTTACATCGGATGAGTTTAGAACTGGAGAAAAGTCTGTTTTGCTAAGGCAGACGGCTAGTTCCTGATGATTAATTTTCTTCACAGTATGAGAAACTTTTTGAGTTTTAATTGTGTTAAGAGATAGGAGTACGGCATCATGATCAGTCACCGATGAGTGGATTACAATAGTTTGCGCTGCCAGCTTAGATTTTAACATAACATGATCGAGACATGTGTGATTCCGGGTGGGTATGTTATGCGCAGGCAAAAGGCCATGAAATGCTAAGGTGTTTAAGTAATCCTCACAACAAGGGTCTTGCGTTGAAGGGGAGATATTAATATTGATATCAGCCATTACTACAACGTTTTTAAAATTGCTTAAGGATGTCAAGAGTGTATTTAAGGAGCGAATAAAGTTATTAGCATTTTGAAAAGCACAGGGACGATAAACAACTATCAGAGCAGTATCATTACCAATTTTTACCAATAAGCTGCTGCATTCATCAAGTGGTGGTTCAGATATGGAGATACCTCTGAGGGATGAGCTGTAGTAAACCACGACTCCATCGTTTTGATTGGAAGGATTAGAAGATGTATGATAACAGTAGTCGGGTAGTGTGGGGATCATCGGATTTTTTTGGAGCCAACATTCTGTAAAAACCATTATGTCCACAACGGTGTTTAATTGATCTAATAGAACACAAAAACTGTCCAAGTTAGCAGATATATGCATTGCAGAATTCATGCAGAAAGATGACAAATACATTAAAAAATCAATATACTTAAAATTATGCGTATACATAAAAATATAAAAGGACATTAATCTTTGTATAATATACCAGATTATTATATTTTTACCATGGTAAAACAATAAAAAAAGTTTCGAATGAACAGGGTACAATCGGTAGTTTTGAATGTCACAGAAGACAGATTCTAGTTTATTTATTTTACCAACAAAACATCGGAACGCAAAACGCGATAAGTATTCTTCTGAAGTATATTGGAAGAACAGGTGTAGTTTATTTGTATTTATGATATAACCATTTATATAATACTAGCGGACCCGACAGACGTTGTCCTGTCTACACGTCTTTAATTTGAAAATTTCAAACTTTTTTTAATAAGCTAAAACATTCTGGACCATTTTGATGAAAATTATTATTCAAATGTTTTCCAAAATCAACAACTACTAATAAATTAAAAATTAATTAAAAAAACATTGTCCAGCGGACAAAATTGTGAATCTAAACCATTCTCAGATCCCCTTGAACACACACAAAAAATTTCATCAAAATCGGTCCAGTCGTTTAAGAGAAGTTCAGTGACATACACACTCACAGAAGATTTATATATATAAAGATATAAAACAAAATGCAGGGTAATCGTATGCACTAAAGAGGTAGAAATGTGTTTTTATACATATTTTCACTTTTTTAATTATTTTTTATATATACTATATAATAAAAAAAAACGTTGACGTAAAACCTTAACACTAACATAGATTTTTGTAATAATGAAAAATAAGAAAGGTAGATTAGTTTTTTGCCTGAATATCATTTAACTGAGTCTCCTTTAGTAGTCTTCTTTACGGAGAAGAATCCTCCCATTTGCTGTCCAGCAATGCTTGAAATTGTTTGTTTTAGCAAAGTCTCGCGCAAGATGGAACAATCTGCGTGCTCGCATTGTCAGATTTTCTGATATATATATATATCCATTGTTGTGGTAGGTCTGTTTCCAGTATAGAAGAGTTTAGTCTTATATTTGTTTCTTGGCGGTTGTAGTCTCGGAAAGTCTTGAGGATTTTATTTTTCAGTATTATCGAGTTTAGATTCAAAATAATTGTTTTATTGACGGATTTTGTAGGAATGATACGAACATCATAGATATTCGACATGCTCACATCAATTGACAGCTCCATAAAGATTTTCATTGAGATGGTGATTAAATCTTGCTGTGTGGGTTTTATTTTAATAGGTAAATTTCCAATTTCGATGGCACTCGATCGGAAATTTCGCTCAAGTTCTTCTACACAGCCCTCTAATTTTATCAGCCGTTCATCGCTTACTTTGGCTTTTTCCTGGAACCCGTTTAGTTGTAGACATAAATCGTCATATTTTAAAGCCAAAAATTCGATAGACTTTTCTATTTCTGAGTTTGATAAAATCAATTCTTTATTTTGTGCCTTGGAATCATTCATGGAAGTTTGTAAGCTCGATAACTTATTGTTAGTCTCATCTCTCCAGGACGAGAGTGTCTGTATGTACGCGTCAAGTTTGGATTCCTCGGACGGCCCGCAATCGCACCGACGTCTTTTAACAGAGCGTATTACAATATCTTGTTCGTTTGGTGCCTCCATACGTTGCATCTTGTTTTTTAGCCGGCGAGCGCATCATTTTTCTATAGTCTGACCGCGAGTTTTATAAGTAGGCCTAAATGTCCGTCGGCAAATTACTATCGCGGTAGGTTAATCCGTTGGTTATGAGTCACGTCACAGTTAAGAAGGGGAAGCGAGAGGTAACCGCCGCTGCCAAAACTTGCTCCTGCGACGATGGGTGTGATGCGACACTGACCATTAGTGATTATCTATTTGTTGAGAGTAATTGTTATATCGTGGTAAGATAACAAGTAAAATATGATTGTCGCACTCACACTCGTATTGTCCTTGTCAGGCTGCGTTAAGAAGCACTCTTCCTAGTCACTACACTCCTGGTAGTTTGAAGCTATTTATTCGGCATTTATTTTGCAATTATTATGAGAACAAGCAAATATGACACGACTATTCAAGCAGACATCCAAGGCGGGAGAGGATCAAAAGAAATTAAGAATAAAAGTGTGTAACAGGAAGTTTGGGAAGCGCGCGCTATTTGATTTGATTTTAGAACATAATGTTCAAATGTAATGTTATTCCTTTTGTAGAAGGTTTTATTTCTTTTTTTACTAATATAAGATGAGGTTTATGTTAATACGCGACTACTGTAAGGCTCGCTAAGCTATTGTAAATAAAAATTATAAACACAATTTTCGCCATTCCAGTACCTGCTTAAACGGTGCAGTGTGTTAAATTTTTGCCACGGGACCAACGTTCGACGCATCAGCGCGGTCGTCGGTTCAAATACCGACCTCGTATTTTTTCTTATTACTTTTTTATATCCTTTTTTTATTATTATATATTTATTTTAGATCCCAGCACCTGTTCTTATTTTTATTTGTCTCCATTTTATTTAGACTTTATAATTATAATTTAAATTGGGAACTAAAGATGGTAAACTGTGGAGCTTGTGGAAGTTTTTAAGCGCCGGGCAATGCTGTTTTTGCTGTGCTTGCCCAATAAAATATCATAAGGCCTGCCTCGCCATCCTGGAAGTCGCGTCTCAGCAAGGACGGGATATGCCCGAACTGCAAGAAGAGCACACGCAGGGGTGACAACACGCCTGTAAAGGGTATCAGCGAATCTTCAGAGCCCTAAAAACCGGTTGCTGCACGGGAACCTTTCGACCTGAGCAGGGGCTCTCCAAAGGAAGATGAGGTCCAGGGTAAGGCCAAGAAGAACGCCACGCTGGCGGGACACAATGTCGTATCAGCTAGCGCTGAGTCAGGGTCCTGGTTAGCCCTTACTGTATGAGTTCCTTTTAACATGTTGTATTTATAAGAGTTTATAAAAAATATTTTCTTTCTTTCTTTTAAAACCCCCCACTCCGACCGGCACAGCGGTGCGGCGTTGAAAGCCGTGCATCGTCTAACGTCGTTTCAGTTCGGCAGGCTTCTGCACGGTGTTTGTATGCGTGCGACTAGACGTATGGCTCATAACTGATTCTATCTCTTTTAGACACAATGAAAGGTGAGACAGCGTGCTTTTTCGCCGCGTCCACGAGTTAGTTCGAGCCCGCGACTAGTTGAACCTTAACATGCATGTATAAGGCAGCGCGGAGATGTCTTTACCTATGGTGCAGGGTGTGCGTTGCACACGGGCGCAAAGTCCTAGTCCTAGGGGGTGCCGAGCGCCGACGCCGCTCGCTACGAAGCCCCACTTGCCACACACGACGGCCGTGTGCCTTTCTTCTTCAAATTTAATTTCCAAACAATAGAAGTTATTATTCATTTTTCAAATTTGACAGTTTGATTGATGTGTTTTTACTTGTACTTTTTACCCATTACATTGTGATGACACGCTTACTAGGGGGCGCTAGGATAACTTTGCATACGGGCGCCACATGGGCTAGAGACGCCTCTGATGGTACGACTGTACGAAGCTCGCATGTAAAATTACAAAAATATTTTAAACAATATTAACTTCTCATTTATTAAATGAAAGAAAAAAAAATGTTTTCTTATCGGTCACCACGCTTAAAAAGTATTTAACTTGAATTAATATCAAAAAGAAAAAAAAATACTGCATAAATAAAATAAATAAATAATTATAATTGCATAAGCTGATAAAAAATGCTATGCAATAGCTTTACCGCGGCAGTCCCCGAGTGCCACACGTATTTTTTTTTATCTTATTTGAAGACGATCGTTCAATTAGTATCCGTAAACCTTCGATAGCCCCTCTCTTACTCTAGAGAAAAGAATGGAACTCACTTTCTCCTCAGATGTGAGTCCTGGAACGTCTGACAATCTCTCTAGTAAGGTCCTCAGCTTCATGACGCGGTCCGCGCGCACGTACCCGTGCCGTCGCAGAGGGTTTACGATCTCTTCCCTTAGCACGCGCTGTACCTCAGGGTAGTGTGGTGAATCCTATAGGCAAATAAATGTCATTGGTTGGTGCCAGTCAAAATAGACTAAAAATACGCCATACCATAGGAATAATTCGCATAGAACTGAAAATTGGCAGAAACGTTAAATACATCATTATAAATAAAATGTCAAAGATCCCCTTCGATCCTACTTCTGCACAAAAATATTCAAGGTCAAACCTTTCAAAATTAAGGTTTTTTCCATTTTTCTCGAAAAACAAAAGTTGTAGATCTTATAATTCTCTACAAAAATGGACCAGTCACCTTTTCTCTCACGACTCACCATTCGTGAGATATCGCTGTTTTAATACGTAAATAGAAAATTCATATTTTACATAATGAGTATGACTTAGTTGCTGCTGAAGCTAAGTACCACAATAACTGATAAAATATCTTTCTGAGGCCTACTATGGGATATAAATCTTCATGGAACAATAAAACAGTACAGTGGTATTGTCTGCCTCCAACATCTGCTTCTGCCTTTCAACACTTGTATCGTGTGTATTATCAAGTTTAAGTGTGGCTAGGCAATGAGCTGGACCCAGAAGGATGGGGTTGGAAATTATTTGGAGTCAAATTTCTTTTTGAAAATTTCGACGCTGCCATCAGGGCCGTGGTAGCATAATTGGTCAGTGCATTCGCCCGGATTGCGAAGGGTGCGGGTTCGAGTCCCGTCCGCTGCCTGGTTTTTTTCTAGTAACACTTTTCTTTAGATTTAAACATCTAGCAGTTAAATGCTTAAAAAAATAAAAACATAAAAAGTGTTATTAAATAAAATCTTTTTTTTTGCTCACTCTACCTATTTGGTTTGAATTGACAGCTATGACGTAACAATATGGCGCCCAGTCGGTCCTATTCTTAGTTGAATCGCATTATAAACTTCTTCATGTGTAAGACTCATTTTATTTAATGAATGATGATGAATGTTTATATGTTTTAAGAACATTTGTACGTTGAAGTTATACTTTGTTTATTCATAAGAAGTGTGTCTAATTATATGACCACGACGGTATATTATATAACCTCCTGAGACCCAGACCACAAAAAGTTTATTGATTGTCATGAATTTTGGAAATAACATTAATTGTGATACATATAACGTAAAAAAAATAGTAAAAAAAATCTATCCGCCCTAAATACTCCAAAATGGGGGGTGTCACCAGTGACACAACCGGTTCAAATTAGATTAAAACAGGTTCTAATTAATCAACTTTTTTTTAAAATAAATTAACTTTTTCATTAAATAAATATGAGATATTTTGGTGTTTCCGAATGATAGTCGTTTTATTGACTAACCAGTAATAATCTAGCTTTAGTGAAATCATTGTGTAGTATGAAAAGTATTAAAAAAACGGTTTGCATTAAAACTTAGAAATATGTTGCAGCTTGAACACTTAACGAAGGGTTGTTGATTACATGAAGTAAGCCGACATTTTGACCAATTTTCCTTTATAAACATGGGCATGTGTTGAGCTTCTTTTAGTCGCTTGACAATGTGGGGAATGGGTTCGACAATTCTACGTTTTCGGTTTGAAGACAGGGCTTCAACTTCGAATTCTTCCTCTTCTGTTTCAGTAACAGGGCTACTTCGAGGTCTATTCCGAGTGACACGTTTCTCTGGCATTAGGTATTATGCCGCTTCTATGCTGGTTCCCCCTTCCTGGTACAAAAAAAAGTCCAGTGGAAGTCCATTAGGATTTTCCTTGGGTTTTTCTTTCACGACCTGCTTCATTTTACACTTTCCTATAAACGGAATAATTTGTTCACCTATTGCCACATTTTGGCATCTTTGGTCTTGTCTACAACCATGCTCAATAGTGGATACCAGAGGACCAATTTCATAGATGTTATTAACTGATCGTCAACAACTTTTATGTTGCTCCTCAACTGAAAATATCTGTTGGCGTCATAGCAGTAGCCACTAATAGTGCCCTGATTTCCGCAGCCTGGACCACACGAAGTTTGCATTTCTTCTGGGTTTGGGATCTTAAGATCTGCCAGTTCTGTGTATGCTGCAAATATTAGTACAAAGTGATATATGTACAAAAAATCAGGTTTGATGTTTTGGTAAAAGTATTCGTATATCAAGTAACGGTGGACCCTCATGAAGATTGTTTGAAGGGCTCTGGAAGTTGTTTGTACGATCCCATGGCAAGGGGTGGCCTGTATCCACATCCATCCACAAGGCTATCCATCCTTACGATACGAGAACTCACTACAGAGGAAAGCGGCTCCTCGTCTGAATTATCCTACTCGCTACAATCAGATGACTGAGGGATTTACCCTTCAGACTCGTCTTCTTCTTCTTGAATGAAGTTTTCCTCTTCATCTTCATCAACATCTTCGATATCGGAGTTATTGAAATTAAGAACTGACTCTTCTATTTCAGCTTCTCTCAGTACTGTAAAAGTTCACATTTTAAGTCACGAGTGACCAAAGTGTCACCTGTGACACCCAAATAAAAGGGTTAAAATACGGGTAAGATATATATTTTTTTTAATATTTATCATCATTTTTGAGAGATCAATGAACCGTGTACACAAATAACACAAAACAATAACGAAAAACGTAATTAAAATAAGTTTACCTCTCCGGGATGTCTACATGTCGGTATTTGCACTTATTCAAAATTGCAACTAAAATTTTCGCTAGATTCAAACTCCGAATAATGAGCCATATCCACCTAGCGATTGAGCACAAGTCGTAATCTTTCATGCCATTGATTTAGTTTGCAGTTACATCAATAAATGGCGCGACAAAAAAAATATATCTGCAAGTGTCACGGGTGACACCAGGGGTCTCAGGAGGATATGGTAAGTGATACAAATAAGGCCTACCAAATTTCAAACACTCATATCATGATAAATTATTCGAAGAAGGTGAAAAATAAAAGTAATGCATAAATTTTAAGTAATTTAAAAAACCTATTATAATCTATTATTAGAAATCACATAAAAAGAACTAATTCTGGAACCTTAGCTTTAGGCCTTTTAAAAACATAGTGACTTAACAAAGCCTATATACTTAAATTATAGGAATATTGTTATTAGAGTATAAATTATATTAAAATATTGTATTTCTGAGCCTTTAATTAAGTGTTTCCATGGGATCCTTGAACAAAATTCCAATTTATTTTACTAATTAAATTGCTTAAATTGCTAGTCAGTTTGAAGTCGCATATTAACAAGAGATAAAGAATAATATAAAAAAACATATCTATACAAACAAAAATCATTATGATATACAAAATAGTACATTATGATATAAGTGCGGTAAGTTGAGAATTACAGCTGAAGCGATATTGTTAGCCCGGGTCGTAGGTGAGGGCTATAAGAAGGCAGAGGCTGTAATTATCAAACCGCACGTATGTCATACGACGTTTTATACATTTGCGAGGAAATAAAACTACCTACGTACGTACTTTCTGAAAATGAATTTGCACCTTTGTTTGTTTTCCATAAGATGAAAATTTGATACGCTTGACTGTAAGTATCTATCCGTGGATTTTTCGGGTTTAGCGTGGCCTTTTTCGACTTCTGGCAGTGGCAAATTAATAAATTCGTTACTACTTGACAATATTTTCAAATAAAAACAATACAGCGAAAAGAAAAAGAAATAACTTTTTCACAGATTAGTTTATTTTTTTAGGCAAAGGAACAAAAAACAGTCATATTTTTGTGAATTTGTTACCGATATCTGGTTGTAATTTATTGTCAAAATGAATCAAATTAACAAATCAAATGTCCATATTTTATATTTTATCTCCCAAAGTTAATTTTATTAAGAAAATGTTACTACTTACTACTTTACGCTACCTTTCTGACATAAAAACTCTTTGCTAAGATTTAAAAAAGTATCGTTCGTTTTTAGATGGAACATAATAAGCCCTGCGTTTTACTTTACATTACCGCACGCGTGTGTAATGTGATAGATTATGATATTGAAATAGTGCAATATGAGACGCTTTACGAGCAAATGTGTTATAAATATTATTAAATATTTTCCAATATACAATACAATGAATATATTTTGATACATATATATTTGATAAAAATAAGGCCTTTTATAAAAGTAGGCTTTATTTAGTACATTATACTTCATAGAAGTTATAAGTAGTATTTAATTCGCATATTCTAAAAAGTTCAATTTTAAGCCATAGGCAACTTTTTGATTAGTTATATTGTGATCCGTATACATTACATGAAACAAAACTTCAGAGAATAACGTATTAAAATTCATTAAAGATTACGACAAATTAATAACGCGCTATGAAAAGATCGTCCTTCACAAAGTACCGCCACTACTGACGCTATGATCTCGAGCGGAGCGCTCGTGCACAGTTTGCCGAGTTGTAGAACAGGGAAGATGCAATATTTTTATTTTTGTTTTCATTTTAAAGAATTCCATGTAGAATAAACCACAGATATATTAAAAAATTTAAACATTGTGATTAAAAAATGCGGTCTTAAATTGACAATTTAAATTTTCGCGCGAAAACGAACCTATGGTTGCGATGACGTCACTCCTGTCTGTCACTGGTCGTGCTTGTTCGTCGCTGGCTTTAAATTTTCACACTTTTGTATATTTTTTCGACTTTCGAAATATTTTTTTGAAAAATTTAAAATGGACTATCCATCAACATCATGTGATCATAACAATACCACTAATATTCCGAAAAAAGCCGTGTTGACTCATGTTTTGTGCCAATCTACTTCAACAAAGTTTCCAAATAAATTGTTTTTGACTGGAACTTCTGACCCAAAACTGAAAAAAGTGGTTTTTAGCTGCGAAGAGAAATGACAATTATTCTCCAAAGACCATTATTCGATGCTGTGAAGATCACTTTGACGTAAGTCGGCGAATATACTTGTTTAATGCTTAATTAATCTGCTTGTACGTAAAAACGCATTAGTAACCTACCTAATACAAAACCTGTCTATAACATATTTTTAATTTTACAGTTGGACAATGACGTCGAAAATTAGATAAACTTTAAAATGTGTGGCACAATCTTCACATTGGCAGGACTGAACCAAGCTTTGCGTTTCATTTAAAATAACTGTAACACGATAATCTTCTTTACGTACTCTATGCTCCGGAGAACTCGACCTTTTACTGTACATAATTCTCCATCTCTTTTAATTTGGACATAGCCGATTGCATTATCGCCGTAAGATTTGTAGAAGCCGCTGAATAAAATACGAAGTTTAACAACTACGATTTTTACAGACCGTAGTAATTTAGTCCATTTCATTTCTACACTTAAAAACTCTGCACTTTGGACAAAAAAAGTTATAACCATGTCAGCACTAACTCTTGGTAAATTCCTGGAGTCTGCTTTGATAAACGCAACTTCCATTTTTATTTAATGTAAAAAACGCAAATCCCATAAAATAATATTTACTTTAACAACCATAACCTCAAAGAAGTTGTCATAACAGGAGTGACGTCACTAAACGCTGATTGGTGTTTTAAAATACGTTCTGTTTCAAGTATTTTTAATTCGTAATAATTGTTAAAAAACAGCATTATGTAAAATAAAAACGTTGCAGTGGCATTTCTTTTATATTTTTTTAACATTTTAATCATAAAATTTTCATAAATATTATATATGCATCTTCCCTACTGTCATCTATGCGTGTGTAAAGTATTTTTGATGAAAACATATTTTAATAGAGTTTTCTGCACTACATGCCTTATTTTAGCATAGGCCTTATTTGTATCAGGTACTAGATTCGGTACAGAAACAAAAATGAAACGAGCACGCGCCGATCTGGTGAGGAAGGACGTTTATCAAAATAATTTTTTACTTACAAAATACTATGTTACCTCTGCTTCCGGTGGCCTATAAAGCAACGCATCGAACACGCTGGTAAACGTGAACATAGCGAAGAGCGTGGCGTCCAAGTAGCAAGAGTTGTGGTGGCCCTGTATGCCGCGGTTCTTGCCGGCCAACTCGCCTAGCGATGTTAGCGGGGGAACCACGCCAGGGACTACAGGGCAATCGGGCTGGAAATTTTCGATAAAATCAATATATTGCTTGAGATTGAAAAAAAATAACAAATCAACCATACAGTTTCGCGTTATGGGGCATGTATATGTCCCCTTATTATGTGACACCTGCCCCCCTAGCAAAAGCACCGTGATATAATAATAATAATAATAAAAATTTTCAAAGCATCGAAAGAGACCTTAAGAAAACCAAATTGCCAAAACCGACAACCCAGGACAGATCAACCTGGCGCCGTAGAGTGAGGAGACACGACCCCAGATAACGGGAACAGGGACGGAAGAAGAAGAAGAAATAATAAAATTTTGATTCAGTATTAATTTTGACATATAAATAACTTAGGTCTAAGAAAAAACACCAAAGGTAAAGAAAAATACATACTTAGCCTGAACTAGGAATATGTTGTGTTTCATATATGATATACCTATAGCTCATTTTCTCGCGCTCATTTGTCAAATTACTATATTGTGGTGGTCATGCTACGGAGAATGATATGATTTTTATCTACTCGCAAAGTCTACCTACAGTAGCATAAATAGGGAAATAAAGGTTTTAGTATGACGTTCATTAGGTTGGGTTTGGGTTAGAGATTGCAACTAGGGATGCAAAGATTTTTGAAATATCGATATTTATATCGAAGTCAGGAAAATATCGATATTTTTACTTTTTTATTTTTTATTGACATTAGAATACGGGGTGAGTGTGACACATTCATATGTTTGATGGCGAGTTTCTCGCAAAATGCATTAAGCCAGCTTTTTCGTTAAACACGCTTGATGAAATCGCGCCAAGCAGGATTTATTTTTATTGGCTCGCACGGTTTGTATTTCAGCCACGACAGGAAACCAAAAAATTAAAATTATTATCCTGATCAGATCACTCACATTCGTTAGCACGAATGCGCCAACCCGCATATGTGGGACGACATTTGCGAATGCCTTCGCTAAGTTTTCACTACATTCGTGCTTTTCCAAGCTATGTCGGTTTTTTAGCGCACATCAAATACGCAAATTGCTTAGTCTCCCACACATCAGGGGCGTGCCCATGGCTTCAGAATAGGGTAAGCCCAAAGCTTCCAAAATTACTATACCTATCTTACTTTTTTTGACTTGGCGAGCTTAAAAAATTTGCGATTTGTATAAGATTCTTAATTTTATTTGTGTTATATTACAATGACATTAAATTTCAATTAATCAGTAGTAGACAATTATCTAGAAAGAGAGGCAAGGATTTTATTTAAGTGCATGAGTTACCATTAGGTATACGATTATACCTATATGCAAGGCCTTGCAGCTTAAGAATAGCTAGAAGAGTTTCGACGTGGTTCGTAAGGGCCGCGGTAGCATAATTGGTCAGTGCATTCGCCCGGATTGCGAAGGGTGCGGGTTCGAGTCCCGTCTGTTGCCTGGTCCGCGTGGATTTTTTTCTAGTGATATTATTATGTTCAAATTTAGTCTACGAAATATCGATATTTTGGAAATTCCGATATCGATATTATCGATATCAGTGAATTTTAAATATCGATATAAATGTCGATATTTTGGTCTCGATATTATCGATATTCCGATATATTGTTGCAATCCTAATTGCGGCTGGGTTGGCGGTTGATGTGTTAGGATGAAACCTTTAAAGTATTTTATGAAAATTTGCTTTAAGTAAATGGAGGAAAAATACAATGATTGAAGGTTACGGAATAATATTTATTTCAAACCAGCAAATCAACAATAATCAGTCTCAAAATCACGAGTTTTCAATACAGAATTAATTAGTTTCACTTATAAACGGAATAGTAACATTAGTGTTACTAATTAAGTTTAAGCAAGCATTAGTAAGTATTCAGTAATTAAGTTTAAGATAGAAATGATCTTCCACGCGCTGATGAAATGCCTGGATTTAGAGGATTTTGATTTGCGAAAAAGTTTGGAAAGTAGTCAGATTATCTAAGAAGTTGCTCGCAATTTAATAACTAATACTATACAGAGTAAAGAGAAAGACCTGCTTGCTTAAAGTTAATTACTAATACTAATGTTAATTTGAAAAAATAGTATTAGAATAAGAAACTAATAACACAGCCAACATCGCGGTTCGCAGCGCTTGTCATGCCAATTTTGTACAAGTTGGGACTTCCGTGCCGCAGTTTTCGTACCTATCGGGCCCGGTTTGCAATCTCTAGTTTGGGTTGTTACTGCACGAATCATGTATAGATGGCCAGGGATTGGCGGGGATATTGTGCTCTCGTTACCTGGTCGAACTGCTCAGCGTGATGCAGGTCGAGGCGGTCGGGCGGCGGCGTGTCGCGGAAGCGCGCGTCGCGGCGGCACAGCGGCAGCGGCACGAAAAGTGCGCGGCCGGGCGCGCACGAGAACACGCGGCTGCCGCCACGCGACCCGTCGCCTAAACCGCACACACTCTGCTCCAACTCCACGCCCGCCGTCGCTGTATCTGTATTGCATCATTATTGATGTGTAATATCTGTCCTCATGCTTTCGTGCAATATGTGGGAGTGATTACGTGAAGTGGGACGGAACTGTGTAACAGGAAATTTGAGAAGCGCGCGCTATTTTATTTGATTTTAGAACATTATGTTTAAAGGGTTAGTTAATAGTTATTCCTTTTGTAATAGTTTTTATTTCTTTTTTTACCCGGCTGCGCAATGCAAGAGCGCGAAGCGCGACGCGCAGACAGGGTTATGTGTTTAACAGTCTATATATGTATGTTTGTTCCTTTGTGGCACACTAGAGACCAAACGCCTGGACCGATTTTGATAATTCATACATCAATCGATTCGTCTCAATCATGGGAGTGCTACTAAAGATATGATAGTAATCAAAATTCAATATGGGCAAAATTAGGCGCCATATTGTGACGAAGTAAAAAAAATAAGTTGACAAAATATGTCGAGTGGGGTATCACTGTCTAGATAATCAAAAATCATATTTAGGTTCCTAACACCATTTTTCAATTAATATGAATGTTCAGGATCTACAACGCTTTAAAGTTGTATATTAACCAGTTACGCTTTTAATTTCAATCTTACGTTTGTATGGATCTTTGTTACTCTTTCACCTAAAAAATACTGAATGGATTTTAATGAAACTTAACAGTATTATAGCTCATATATGATAATTACATATATATAATAATTTATGTAGTTATTGAGTGAATTGGCCATTATATAGCAATAAGTGTCACATAAGACGGGAAAAAATGTCCCATCTGCGAGCCATTTTGGCCTGCACTACAAAAACAATAAAAGTTACATGAATGTAATGTAGAGTGAAAATGTATCTCTTAAATAGTTCTAAAAAAAAGTTCGTGACACCATATATCTATTTTTAATGTGTAAGTCATTACCGCTAAAATAGTGAATCAAAACTAAAATATTATTTGATATCTATTTCCAAAATGCACATTTTGTATTAACAAATCATTTTTTATCAAAACAAATACTTTTATCGGTTTTGATATTTAAAAACGATAAACTTTGCTTTTTACACTATGTCATTTCGATAAATATTTAAAAAGTTATAACTATGACAAAGTGGTAGCGCGGTGTACTATGTAAAAGAAAAAAAATGGGCTATTCGCAGTAACTGATCCTATACGAAGCACTAACAATAAAACTGTGATACAGTTCCTTCTTATTAAATGATGAAAAATATATTATCATAATAGGTATTTATGATTATTGAATTTTAATGAAAAACTCAGAATTTTACTGTTTTTCATTTTTTTAACGATATTACTTAATGTTACAAAAAAGGTTTACTTATTATAATGACAAATAACCCATTTCCGCTAGTAAGTACATACTTATTGGAATCCCTGTATTTATTAATCAGCTCGCGATAATATTGGTTTTGTAATAATTCTGCAAAATTCAAAGTAAATAATGTGGATTTTTAAAGGTAAATCACCCCTTTCATCACCCTATACGTATAAGTATTGCGATGTTGTAGCTAAGAACCAAGTTCCCATCTACTTCTGTATGGGAATTCATTATATTCGATTTAGCTATTAGGGCACGGAATCAACAAACAAACTCACTTTCACATCTATAATATTATATTATACTTACTAGTGATCCACCCGGGCATTGTACGGGCGAAATTTATTTATCGGGATAAAATATAGCCTATGTCACTCGGACAAAATGTCTTTAAATAAAGAAAAATGTAATAATAAATAATGTAGCTACCTTATGATGAATTAATATTTGAAACCGGTTCAGTAGTTTGACAGATTATTTGTATATAAAATGTTTGTAACATACAAATCTTGCCTCTTTATAATATTAGTATAGATAGATAAGTATTTAATTGATGAAAAAGATTTAAAAATAAAGTAAGTAATAGGTTTAATTGATTATATTTGTAAAAGTTACTTAGCATTTGTGCTTAACAGTGATACGTAATTCGGTATTTTTTTAAACAAAAAAAAATTTGGAAAATAATTGCCATGATTGCCCTACTGTGATTACTCTTCATTGGAGCTTTACACTACCAATAAAAAAGGGTCGATCACAAAGTCTTTGACCTGTTATATGTGAACGCTTTAAAAGAAAACCACAAAGAGAACTATAAATTGATAATAAATGAGATTGCTATGGTGCTCTATCTAACGTAATGAAAATTTTATTATGCGCCTTTAGTTTAATCAAATATTATAAACTTTGCTTTGGTGATTGCATAATTATTTAATTTAGTGATCTAAGGCAGTTGCCACCATTGTCCAAAACAGCAAACGGGAATTAATGCTTTCTTCAACCTGCGACATAAACGTCATTGATTGGTATTGTATATAGGGTGATTAAAAACATTTGAAGTTAACTTTTGGCATCTACATATTGGGTTTCTGTGAATTATGTAGGTATATCAAATTATGAGACTAGGGACTGACACTGCATTTGTGTATATCACAATCTTAGACGTCCGGCATTGACATGACAATGCAGCCACTGCCAATTTTAAATAGTCGACGAATAAAGGTAAATGAATTTTATATTTACTGCTAAACTATTAAAAAAAAACATAAACAAAAGATGACATTAGAGATATTTATGTAACGACTTGATTTAACTTCACACATTTGTGCGAAAATTGAGGCCCATCTGTAGCCTTGACTCCGCTGGTAAAGTCTCTATATGTCTTAATAAATCAATCTTTTTGACCGACGCAAGGTACTTAATAATTCCCGCGATATTAATTCCCTTACTGAAGTAACAAGACTACAGTATATACCGTCTTAAAATACTAACTAACTAAAAAGTGTGAAATAAAAAAGGTAAATTTAAAAAATCAAAAAACCCGACTGCTTAATTATAGGTACTTCAAATAAAAACTGAAAAGAAAAAAACAAGTCCAGTAGTCTATAATTCTGTTAATAAGGAACAAAGCTACTTTAGCAGTCGGGACCCACTGTTGAAAAATATTATGTATTCTTGAATATCTAACGGGTCCCGACTGTTAAAGTAGCTTTGTTCCTTATTAACAGAATTATAGACTACTGGACTTGTTTTTTTCTTTTCAGTTTTTATTTGAAGTACCTATAATTAAGCAGTCGGGTTTTTTGATTTTTTAAATTTTTACTTATATAAGGTGTGGTTTCACATGTTACACATCATACGCGACTACTGTAAGGCTCGCTCGTTTTTTTTTAAGTTGTGTCGGCACTTCGCTTAGCTATTCGTATTCGCTATTTGTAAACTTAACAACAGTCTGTGCTTTATGAGGAATGAAAAGGACAGACTGATGTTAAATTTACAAATAGTAAACACGAATAGCCAAGTGAAGTGTCGGCTAAAGAGAGTGGCAAACAATTATATATATGGCCCGCCTGATGGAAAGCGACCACCATAGCCTTTAAGACGCTTGAGACAACAATATTAAATACCCTAGATACAACATCATGAAAAAATCGTGGCCGAAACCAGTCCAAAAGTACATTGGACTGTCCACGGAGCTCCGTAACATGATCGCGTAGTCAAAAACATTATAAGTTATAAGGCAATATTTAAAAATTAAAAGTCAGCTTTAATGCATACTGTATAAGTTGTTCGTGTTTTTCATTTTTCCCAAAGGTTGACTGGGAGAGAATGCTTTTAGCATTAAGTCCGCCTTTTGCACCAATGTTATATATTTATATTTTGGTCAATAAAGTTTAAAAATAAAATAAATAAATAAATATAAGGTTTTAATTAAAACGCATGTGTCAAAGAGTTATGACGGTTCGAAATGCAAGCACGTAAAATTTTACGATTTATTGCTATACGCAGAAGAATATAGACCTTATTTCTTAGACTCTACGCGCTACTCTGAATGCGCTGTTACCAATATAGCAGGTACGGACCGCAAGGAAAAGAGAGGGCGATATTTCCGACCATGCATTTGAATATCACAAATATTTTCTATTAAATCAGTTTATAGTAAATATTAGAACAATATTTGCTACAAATGCGTTAAATTAACAAACATTGATTTGTTACTTGTCGAAGAAAGGAAACTTTACGTACTATAAGTATTTATTTCCCATTTTTTCACGGAGCTTTGCGGTATCTTGACTTTTCAACGGTCTGCGCGTGACTGTCAACCAAGAAGAGCCGTGTTCAAGCACTTCTTGATTGGGACACATTTTGAGCGCGCGTCGTGTATCTAGGGTATTCAATATCGTTGGCTTAAGATACTAGAGTGTCAATCTTGCTCCACGGGGTCAGGGAAGGAAACGCCTTACACGTAGAACCTCGGTACATTGAGTCCTGGTATTGTTTTACCAAATAAATAATAATAAATAGTTTATACATGATTACGAATACAAGCATTTGTACTCCAGTCATGGAAGTTTAATATGTATTTCTATATAAATAAAAAATATTGTTAATTTGAATGTATAGCAATAATTATATTCAATCATCATGTACTTCATTTATAAAGCTGTAAGGTCATTTTATCATGTACGGCAATTTTTTTTTAACATGATATTGCTAAATACAATTGTTATCTAATACATCCGTAAGAAAACACGAAAACACTATTTTTGTACGGCACTACCGTACAAAAATAGTGCACCACAATTAAGTTTTAAAATTTTTCATTAATCATTATTTTAAAAGTGACGAGTACTGGGACAGTGTCGACATTACCAACGTTTACCTTATCTATTTTCAAAGGATTAAGAAATTAAAATTATCTCAGCTAAGAGTTAACAAAACGTCACAGATCGTTAGAGCCACTTACACACCTTACATTACACCCGGCACCGCCTCATCGAGCGACGTCCACTCGTGGTTGACGAGCAAACACAGTTTGACGCCTCGTTGTCAACCAGTGAACGCCATGTGGTCGCCGGGTAAACGCTGTCCACTCAGGAGCAGTTTACAAGTTATAACCAGTGGCCAGCACACGGCAAGCGTGCGAGCAACGTGTGGTCACCGAGTTGTTCGCCCGCCGCCCGCGCCGACGACTTGGAGCGAGACGATCCGGTGACGGTACGGAGTTGATGTGTAAGCGCATACCCATAGAAATCCATACAAAAAATAGCAACCACACGAATTGAGGCGGTGCTGGTCGAGTGGGGGGGGGGGGGGGGGGTCAGAACTTAAAAGTTAGGACGACTTGACTTATGACTGTTGACTATCGTCCCACAGTTACAACGTGCACAAGTGTCAGCGGACGAGAGGATTGAGGGACCAGCTTTAATAACGGCTATGTTCAAATTGCGTCGCTATTTTTATTCCATTTCTTTTTTTACAAATAAGTTCAAAACTACTCTTGTTAATTTAATTTACCGAAATTTGATCTGGTTCCCCAGTTCACACGTACTTTTCTGCCGTTTGATAAACTTTACATATAAATAAAAGTAAGGATGATCATTAACTTACCATCTATTATGCCAATCCATCTAACGACGCCGTAGTAATGTTGATCAACATCTGTAGCTACTTCCACCAGTGACCCCACGCCGATATCTTCTTGTAAGTCAATAGGAGATCTGGACACTGGAGCTGAACGCGGCGAGCCTGGTGGCGGCTGGTCGTATAGCTCTTCGGGTAACTCTCCACTACAAACATCTGTATCACAAAAACAACACTAAACAAGTATAGAACACCCCAATAAAGCACTATTTAACTGCAATCAAACATACTTTGTTGCAACTGCAAAACGCAAAGAGGTATATCATCAAAATTAACATCCACCAGGTAGCCACACGACATTATTGAAGTTCTCTTTATTTGAACCAGCCGGTCGGTCACCCGCCGCGCTATTTACTACTGTCTATATTTAGAAACTTTGGGAAATCTATAATCGGCGGACTATACACGCATGTTAACCAATGGACGTAGTGGGTTATTTTAAATTAAAAACCTAGTGCATAAAGGAAGACAGTCTGTAATCAAGTACCTAAAGTGGACAGAAATGGTAAATAATCGTTTATCACTTTCAAGATTTGTTTTTAATTGACTATGTTGTGTGATATGTGCTGGGTAGTGTATCCCTACAACGTAGTATTACCCGTATTCAAAATTATACATTTTCAAACTAAAAACATAGACGTAAGTCTAGAGATGGATACAGATGTGTTGTCTTAACTTATGTCTGTGTAAGTTTTTACAAACTTTAAGTCGGGAAGACAGTGCTAAGCTGTCTGGTCAAGGGATATCCAGAAGTCGTAACTTTCCTAACTTATCCAAAGCAATGAACATTATAAATAGTCTACTAACCAATCAATATACCGGTCTCAACTTTCTTGGTTTCCTGAACCATTTTGTTTTTGTTGCTCAAATCTTCAGGAACTGTGGGTAAGATTCTGCCAGAATTTGTTTGTTTGTGTCGTCTTCGTTCAGGGGCTAGGTGAGCCAAAAGGTTTACAGATTTGACACGCTCATGTTGCGAAGAACGCTGCATAGTGCGAACCAAACTGCGGGGCACTGATCCATAATCTGGACACTCAGGCTCACGGGGTGCTGGTGGCCAGTTGCCTCCAATAAGATTGAAAAGATCTATCTAAAATGGAAAATGAGTTAAGTTTTAATTTCTTGTTTATTTCCAATTGATTTACAAATGACGTGAGCAGAGATGCGAAACGATTTTTATTATAAGTACACATACAAATTTAAAATGCAAATGCATTGTTATTTTTATAAATTTCTAATATAAATACAAAATGGTTTCGAATTAAAACTTTGCAACAACAACAACCTTTTTCGTATATAACTCCTTAATTTGGAACCCCTTCCTAGAAATATTGTTAAAATACTCTCAAGGTCGAAAACTCCCTCTGTTTTCTACTACTACTACTACTAGCTAGTGTATGTATAATCAAATTGCATAAGTATAGCTTTTTATTTCTTTCTCTTTAGGTACAGTTAATTGAAGTCTTATCATTTTTTTATACATATCTCTTTAATTATTTTCAACAGTTCAAAGAGTAATAAAAAAAACCAAGGGGTTTTCGCACTTCGCACATTTAGGTCAGGGGCCACGGTCAACTAAACATTGGGCACTGTATATATTGTTGCGTGAGCCTTCAGATCTCGTTACGGGGTGTACTATATGTAGCGAAAATATGAAAAGCCTTTTCATATTTTCGCCGATTTTCGTATAACCAACATTGAGTAGCGCCTTCTGTTGTCCAGGATGGTCTTGCTCCGTTTTAGTCATGTCTATATCGTTTTAAGTGTACGCACTCCCTAATTAACGAAACTACTATAAATGAATAAAAATAAGTTTAGAATGTGTTCATCATGGCCTTCAATTTGATGTCCATATTCTGCCTCCTCCATCTCATTTTTTTAACTTTTCGTATTCTGTGGCTCTTACGTATTGTCTCTTTTTCTTATACATCTTAATCTTTTTAGTAATTAGGAAGTTATGGTGGAATCAATGCACATACGAACATTCAAGTGAGCTCTGAAAACATTACCCTCCTTTTTCAGCATGTAAATGTGTGCAATAGACAGTGAACAGTTTGACTTGAAATACATATGCTAATTGTTGTTGGCAATATTAAACATGGGATAGGCGTGTGATTACGCAAAAAAAGAAATTTATGAATTGAAGTTCATAATGAAACCATTTTGTATTAACTAAATACAAAATATTTAAAATATAAACACTGGAAATAAAATATAAATAATTGTGAAAAAATATATTTTACAAAATAATTATATAAAGAGAAGAGATATTTATATTTGCATTTCAAATTTATGTATTTCAAATGAACCCATCTCTGGAACATTAATTATGAAAGAATAAACAATTATTCTTTCATAATTAATGTTTTAAGATATTTAATATATAAAAGTTAACAAAATTGGCAATTGGTTAATACAGATGAAGAAATAGAGGTGTATGGATGGATTGTAGCAAGTGTGCATAGGTGTTATCATAAATAAGAGCTAATCCAAAGATTAAGGGTGCTGAGCCCTGTTATTCCACTATCCACCACCCCCCTAAGAACATCCAAGTAGTCCATCCATATTTATGTGATTTATTAATTATTAGTACAAATATTCATCTGGACTAATGCCCCTAAACACTACAACCGTGGATCCAACACTGACCATGTTGTAATTTTTATGTGTGTACATACTAAGAATATATATTAATTTAAATATAATGTCAGTGCATATTTATTTTTAAGCATGAGACTGTTCAATTTTTATATACATCTAGTAACTTTTTCTTTGGGTATTATTATATATTTACTAGCTGTCCCAGCGAACTTCGTCCCGCCATAAAAAAATAGGTGTTGGTGGTAGAAAGTTGAACATTTAGGGAAGTATGTATTTTTGTATGATGTATCATAAAAATAGTAAAAAAAAAATTTTTTTTCTTAAATAAAAAAAATTAAAAAAAAAACCTTAACATTTAGGGGGATGAAAAAAAAGATTACATCCGATTCTCAGACCTACTGAATATGCATATAAAATTTCACGAAAATCGGTCGAGCCGTTTCGGAGGAGTTTAACCACAAACACCGTGACACGAGAATTTTATATATTAGATTTGCAAAAAATATATATCTAATTTAGGTTAGGTAAAACATAAGCTTCTATAGTTTTAGACTATTGATATTGGTATGGTGGATATTTAGAAAAATATAAGTGAAGGTTAAGTAAATAAATAAAGGTATATTAAGGCAGTAGAATAAATTGCTTTTCATAAACTTAGCAACAGTTAAAAAGATTTTTAAGGATTTAGCTATGATTATTAATTTAAGCCCATCCTGAAATTAATAAAAGCTGAATTAGTAATAAAATTCAAATCTTTGTCAGAATAATCTGACAATTAGGATAAAAAAAACCTGTGAATTGCTGGTGCTTCCTTTAATGTCCTGGTGAGATTCATTACTCATTTTTGTTGAGATTCACTTTTAACTTTTCTTAATAAATTTCACACTGACCAAAACAACAACTTCATCATTGTCAAGTTTCAAGCTTTGTATAATTCTTAAAGCAAAAACAATAAATATCAATGGTGTAAAGCATACAATCTACAAGCCATAAGTTTATATTCAGAAGAGTATAATCTGTGCTGAATATGTACAGAAAAACATAATAAAGAGCACAGGCAGAGGGATGGGGGTAGCATAGTACAAATTAAAAATATTGTAGCAGTAGAAAATTTACAACAATATACTTAAAGTATGTGTACTTAAAATTACTTCCCATAAGCACACTATTTAAGTTGTAAATATAATCTGATATTAGGCCCAAGCCTTTTCCAGCATAAAAATTTGATGACAAACATACTTTGAGTCATATTTTGCACACCTTTTGAATACCATAAGGAGTTATATCACTAACAACAATTGAAAAGGTACTGATATGTACAGTATACTATTAGTAAGAAGGAATTACAAATTTAAAAATGTTCTAATACTTATTTGTATAAATGAAAGGAGCTCGATGGTGCAGGTGGTTAGCGCGTTTGGCTGCGATTGTTGAAGATATGCAATTTTCGCAGTGGTCGGTCATTGGATGGGTGACCAAAAAATTTTCTATTTTGAGTTTCCCATGCTTCGGAAGGCACGTTAGGCTATTGGTCCTAGCTGCATCTGCAGTCATTGGCACCCGCCAATCCGCACTGGGCTAGCATCGTGGGTCATGGCCCAATCTCACTTTTCCATCAATAGGGAAGGCCTGCGACCCAGCAGTGAGGACATTAATAGGTTTATGATGATGATAAATATAAGTTGTAACCCCCCTTGCGATTAATAGTTCAATACCCTTCCGATGAGTCTATTGAGGTAGATCTGGCATCCGAGTACTTTTTTAATTTTATTTCAACCTCATATTGTTTTAATACAATTTTTGTCTTATTAGTCCTTTATCTATCTATATCATCAACCTTTATTTTTTAATATGACAAAGTTAAAAGTGGATTTTTCATATAGACAGGGGAAAAGAAAAATCACTTAATAAACACCACTTTAGTAAACTCTACATAAACAAGGATCAAAGGTTTCTTGGCTTTTCACAAAAAATAAAACATTAATAGAGCGTAAGGGCCATTGGTTAAAAAAACACCAAAATTTATGTTGCTTTAGCATTGTGAACAATAAAAATCTTTTGAGTTGCTTAAGCGCCAAAAGAGTACTCAAATCACCACTAAATATAAACAGATTGACGCAGAAAAAAAACTGATTCAAATGATGTATATAACTCATTTTCAACCAGAGGTGTATAAGCGATTTTGCTTTTCCATTGTCGATATACTTTTTTATAAATCATTAGATTTACATTTTCTGACAATAATATCACTTTTTTTCTGATTTATTTGTTTATTTAAATAAATACAAATAAACTATGCAACTTAAAATTTATTCACTTTGTATTTAAAACTAATTGATAATTTATAAATTAAATTATCTAATAATATTGAAAACCTGCACACACAATTGACTAATCCCAGAGTCGAAATGAACTAAATTGTTTACTAGAAGAATATTTATCAGTTTTATTGCTTGGTGTGATGTTAAGATCTTAAAGGAATTCGATAATATCGAACTGAAGACAGGTATTTTGAAACTAAAGATGTAAAATTATGTAGGACTAAATATCGTATTTAACATTAGAAATTGGACTTCAGAAACTTGTACTTTTTACCTTTAAATAATTTATGATAACATTTCTACTTACAGTATGAAATGGCTGCAAAGGTGTGACATTGAAACAATCAATAAGTATGAACTTATTTACTTCTAGTAAAGCAGAATACGTAGTAGAGATGATTTTTAAAGTAATTCAAAATTGTCTTTTGCAGTGTAAAAAAGACATTTCCTCTGTAAACAGTGTTTTTGATTCGATTTAATTCATTTCATGCCAAGATTGCTACAAATCAACAAGCAAGTGTCAAGTCAACAACAAAAAATGACTTCATGTCATGACTGACATTGACACCTTCAATTTGCCAGATGATTTGTGTGACCTTCAAAAATATTACAAATCTGCCGAATTATTTTACAATATGCCAAAATTTCCTGTTTATTGTTCACAGTCATAATTTTTGACATTCAAAGGATTTCGTTTTCAAAGGAATTATTTCTTATATTCAACAACTTGAAATAATTGACATTTCTTGTTTATTTATTCTAATGCTACAAGATTTGCTTCAAATTCTTCATATTCCTTGATTATCACAACACAACACATGTTCCATTTATTTTTTCGATAGCTTGAAGGAGACACTACTTCGTGCCAAAACAGCTTGGCAGCTGGTTTTATACTTGAATTTCCAAATAGAGATTTATAGAATACAGAACTCCGTTCAATACCAATGTTGAGTGCAACTTTTTAACTTGCGGTCTATCCGCTAACTTTTTTCACATCTACAGTGTGTAAATAAAGAGAAAATTTTATATCCATCGATGCTTTTCAGAACAAGTATATTAGTGGCATTAGAATAAAACAGTAGAGGATTACTAAATAGCTCGGTGATTACCACTTTCATCTGTAAAAAGCTGTAAGCGAATAAGCCCACTTGACGTTTAAATTTTGACATAAAATGTATGAAAAATAGGTTACTGTTCGACGCAGCCCAGTACTTTACGACCATTGTTACTTGCTTGTTTTTTATTGAAATACCAAAATGGTAGAAATTACTCTTTAATGGTCACATTGCGGATGGCATTAATATACTTTTTATTTCTCCAAATGTAGGAAAAGGAAAATCAAATTAAACAGAAGGAAATAAAGTAAAGAACTTGTTTTCTAAAGTAAAGTTCATCCATGGGTTAACCTTTCAATGTCAGAGATGTCAAACTCCCAGTACCTACTCTGGGCTTCTGAAGTCAGCTCATTTCAGTAGAAAATGATAAATATAGTTCACTGAGGTTTGTTAATTGAAATTTTTAGGTTCCTATTAATTGGAAAAAATCTTAGCAAACTTACGGTATCACGTATGCTTGCTTTGTTCTATGTAAATAGGCAATTATAAACTTTGGTTGCAATTATTGTAGAACACAATAATAATATCAGGATCATAATTATTTACAAAGTTTTATTTCAGGCTACTGCTCATAAAATGATTCGCCAAGGAAGTATAGATGATATAAATGCACAGCAATTTTTGAAAGTCTCAAATTATGAGGATACAGTGCGACAGTTGGACATTTATTATGCCATTGGTAAGTTTAATAATTTTGAACTTCTCAAAATTATTTACTTTTCTGCTACCCTTTATCAACAAACTTGAGGGCATCACCCCCCATCAATTCCAACCACTAGGAATACATTGTTAAAATAAAATTAATTATAAAATGTTGTGAATTAACCAACACTTTTTTTTATTAATGAATAAACCACAATAGCGCTTTAATCAAACTAGTTTCTGAATGCACTGACCCAGATATCAAAGAGTGCTGAGTACTTGGGCTGAGTTAATTTCTTCTAAAAGTATTTCTCTCATAATCTTAGAGTGAATTTAGGAAGTAGAATTGGCATAGGTCCCGGCATTTCTGGGACAACCTAGGGAAAATTTTATCAAGCTGCGACATATTGGCTTTTAGGGGTTTTTTGGAAGGACGAGGTTTTCCCTACTCATGAACCGAAAGGAGAATAGGAAATAAGGAAGAAATGATCAGGTAAAGGATCAAAGGAAGTAGGGTTCGTGTTACCAGAGGCCTGTGATTTGGCGTTCGGAAACTTCTATCTGGGGCCTATATTAGGCACTTCGGATGTCCCACCGCTGGAGTTGGGTTACTCGCAACCTGCCCTCCCGCTCTGGTTGAATGAGAAGAAGGTGCCCGGCAGCCTGAGTCCATCCATCACTGAACAGATCTCAGACCGCCGTCCTAGTACAAGACCCTATTACTAAGACTCCACTGTCCACCAGCCCATTTGTCTGTCATCAGGCTGTATGTAACTCAATCCACACTCAGTGAGAATTTTAATAGACTATTGATAAGCTTTTCATCATTTATTCTTTACATGTTCCTTTAAAGTTCTAAATGATATAATATAATTCTACTCGTTATTTATAACAAATTTTAAATTTTTAGTAAAAAGACAGCTGTTGCGGTTTCAAAGCCCTATCACTGGGTTATTTCCAGTCCTTTCATCAGATCTCCACATTGGTAGTGTTAGAGACAGCGTATACTGTGCAGCTGCCGTATGGGGATTATATCAAGCCTATAGGTGAGCAGGAGATTTTAACGCTTTGATTAAAACCAATTATGTTATTTCTAAATTAAATGTTGTGACAGTGTGACAAAATATTATTTTCATTACAAATTAACATATCGGTAGGTATTTGTCATTTTGTTTTTACTTGACTTTAAAATGCAGTTGTATCATTTTTGTCACTTAAAGTAAGGGATAAAAAGGCCCTTTATTTAGATTAAGAAAATCTATAAAAATAACGGTCACTAGGTACCCTGTTTGATACTCGTCTCTTCATTGATATAAACATGTCCTTTGCTATTGCGTTTTATTTCCATTTTCGCAGACGTATTGACGATGACCGTGGTAAGTCGCACGAGCTTGGACAGAGCACAGTGAAGTGCATGCGAGGCATACTTGAGTGCTGGGTAAAGCAGGCGGCGCGCGTAGAAGCGTTTAAGACACGGCAAAGTGCGGCCCACGCACTCCATGTCAAGTTCCATCTGACCACTGGCGAGCCTGTATTATCAGATGACCAATACCATCACCTTCAAATAGACGTTGTCTCCCTCTATCTGCTGTTTCTGGTACAAATGATCACTTCGGGACTGCAGATAATTTATACACAGGTTGTACTCTACCATTACATAACCTCGTTCGTAAACTAGCAACTCCAAAGCCCCCTAATAGTCCTATTTCATCAAGTCGACTTATGTCACTGACATATGTAAATCTACGGTTTGTTGTGAGGTGATATATTTACTGCAGCGATTTCATTAGTTAAATTTTCGATGGTGTAATTGCTTATGCGGAGTTTCTCTTTAAACAAAAAAACAGTGATATTAAAGGAGAATTTATTCGTTCTTTATAAATTTTCCTGTATAAGAACACAGTTTTTCAAACTTTTTTCTTTCTTTATTCCAAACTTTCCCGGAGAGCCATTTTGTAAGTAACAACGAGAACACGACAATTGTCACGCAAATCTGACACTCTTACTCTCCCGATTTCATGGCAAAAATTACCGACAGTTTGTTTCAATTCTTCTTCTTCTTCTTTTGATGGCTTGCGTTGTGAGTTTGTTTCAATATTATTTATTAAAAAAAAATACCCTTGTTTCACAACACAGTTATCATTGAAGTAAGATACAGACAATTGTAACAAATGTCTATCATTTTTATAAGAACTATCAGAAATAATTCTTAAAATTGATATTTATCACCTGTTATTCGACTCGTCAGCTTACATATTATTATGTCAGTGACATATGTCGACTTGGTGAAATAGGGCCCTGAAAGTAGCAACCATCGCCGCGTTGGCCACCAAGTGAACCATCATTAATTAGCTTTTGAATCTTCCTGCATTCATAATGTTCTTGCTTGTAATTTTTATATTGTAACGCTTTACTCAGAAATATAGATGGGTGCATTATGGGGGTCTATCGAACGTAACGTTATAAGGTTGCATAATATTTTTTCTAAGTACAATTAATAGAAAGCAATTGTTGTACACATTCCTTTTTATTTTTAACGTGATACAAGAACATAAAACATTATACTTATAAAATTTATTCGATAAACTATCTTAATATGTAATGTTGATTTTCAGGATGAAGTGGCATTTGTTCAGAATCTAGTATATTATGTGGAACGTGCCTATCGAACACCAGATTATGGAATGTGGGAAAGGGGAACCAAATACAATGATGGCAAACCCGAAATACACGCTTCATCTATAGGTAGGTATAGAGATACCTGTCAATGATTAGAAGAGTCTAATCATTGACAGGTGAGATTATTTTAGCAGCGCGCCCTTTTAAAGATCTATCGCCCAGGGCCTCCCAAAGATCTATCGCTCGCGGCCTCTCAATGATCTATAGTCCGGGCCTCTTAAATATCTATCGCCCAGGGCCTTCCAAAAATCTATCGCCTGCGGTCTCACAATGATCTATAGCCCGGGCCTTTTCAAGATCTATCGCCCAGGGCCTTTCAAAAATCTTCAGCCTCTTAAAGATCTGTAGCTGTAGCCCGGGCCTCTTCTAGATCTATCGCCTAGGGCCTCCCAAAGATCTATCGCCCATGGGTCTCTTTGCAGATCTAAAGCCCGGGGCTTTTTAAACATAAATCGCTTTAATTCTCAAAGATCTATCGCACGGGGCCTCTTAAAGTTCTAATACCCCTTCCACACGACACAATTTGATTGCCAATCTGATTGCCGATTGAATTGGGTACAATCTGGTCGTCCGTCTACACATACACAACAAGATCGCCAATTTCAGTTTTATTTGTTGCCTCTGCTGAACGGACTTGTTTGTATTAGGATGCCTCTTACCAAGAAGCAAAAAATTGGATTAATCTTGGCTCTAACTACAAATGTATATGAGAAAAAAAGAAAAAGAAGACTGTGGACAAAACAATGGTTATTAAAAAGAAAGCAATTGAGGACTTAAATGTAGTTATATTATATTTAAGTGACTCAATTAATAAACTTAAATATAGTTATACTTAAAGAGTAATATTTTTAAAGAAAATATAACTAGAAAAAAATCCACGCGGACCAGGCAGCAGACGGGACTCGAACCCGCACCCTTCGAAAACCCTTTAAAATATTACTGAGTTATATTTTCTTTAGATTTAAACATCAAGCAGTTACATACTTTGAAAATAATAAAAGTTATAACTATAATTGCTATTTCTTTTTTCAAATGTTAAATACTTGTAAAAGTATTCATTTGACATTGTGGGTTACCTATAATGCGAAGAGATGGCGCTGCCTTGCAACTTAAGAATGGCTGGAAGAATTTCGACGCGGTCCGTGAGGGCCGCGGTAGCATAATTGGTCAGTGCATTCGCCCAGATTGCGAAGGGTGCGGGTTCGAGTCCCGTCTGCTGCCTGGTCCGCGTGGATTTTTTTCTAGTTATATTTTCATTAGATTTAAACATCAAGCAATTACATGCTTAAAAAATAAAAATTATAAAAAAATATATATAATATTATTTCTTTTTTACCCCAGCATGCGCGCATATCATTGAGTAGAATATAAATTTAATTAAATGATTTTTTATTTTCAATAACAAATAACTGCCTGGTCCGCGTGGAATTTTTTCTAGTTATATTTTCTTTAGATTTAAACATCAAGCAGTTACATGCTTTAAAAATAATAAAAATTATAACAGTAATATTTTTATCAATATTTTCCCACTTATTCCGCAAAATCTCTAAGGAATTATGCCTTGCTTGTTTATTTTTATATAATGGGTTAGACACATCCCAAAGGCATGGCAAGTCTTAACATATATCTAAAATCTCCTCCATTACTTCCCGTTCAGATCGAATAGACATAATATTGTCGTCATATTGCATCTTTTTCTCAAAAGACAAGTCAACGCACACACCCGCTCTGAACGCCGCTTGCACAGTGACTACGTTAAAAAATTGGCCAGTTAGCGTCCACACCACCCAATTTGATTGGGCAATCCCGAATCGGGCGATACCGACCATCCAATGACCTTCGATTTCATATTTCCGTCCACACAACACAATTCGATTGTCAATCTAATCAAATTGGACGTAAAATTGTATCGTGTGGAAGCTATTTAACACACAGAACCTTTCGAATACCTGTCACCCGGACCCTCTCGAAAATCTATCGCTAAGAGCTTTTTAAAGATTTATCGCTCGGACTTTTTGAAGATCGTTCGCACGGGGTCTATTAAAGATATATCTCTTAAAGATCTATAACCAGGAACCATAGATGACGTGAAACATTTTTCAAGAGATCTTGCGGTGCACTTAGAACAGGTCTAGGACAAAGTATATATATCTTGGGAATCAGATGAAAATAATTGTCAGATTTTTTCAAACAGATATTTTTGTCTGTCCTTTGGTTAGATAACTTCGGGCATTTCGTTATTGAACGTTTCTATAAAGATATCATGCTGACAAATATCAGCAGTAACGGAATATTTGCATGGTACTTGACCCATTGAAGCCGAGTCGGATCTAAAATGACTGTATATGAGCAAGTTAGGTACAGTGTTGTGTTTATTTGTTTTGAAAAAGTTTACCCAGTCATCAGTTTTGACATTTATTACATCATCAAACTTGTTTCCAACAATTACGGCAGTTAGTAGTAATAACGGCGGCAGATTTTTAAAACCAAAACAATACCAGTCTATAACCATGATTTGTGGCAATACGTGTATTATTTTGAAACCTTGAAACTCGACCATAAGGTACATTTTCTACTTAACTTTGAAATTACATTATGAACAAAATCAAAATATGAGATTATAGGAGATACACCATGTATTTTCATAATAAGCAAAAAATAAATAAAAGTATTTTCATAATAAGCAAAAAAAATTGTGTGTTGTCCAACGCACGACTGGAGTTTACTCCTTAAGTTCGATAGTCTAACCAGACGCAAAAAGAGTTTATTTAACTTAAAAAAGATTGATACTGTATGAAAGGGTAAATTAACAAATTAATGAAAATAATATACATATATAAATATATATTTATTAATTTCATATACATTTATTATAACTAATCGACGAAATATTTTACATTAAACTTTTTACAATAGTCAATTTCAGATGTGCATAAATATATCATTAGGAATGTTGATAAATTATGTAATTATTATTATCAGACTATTATCATTTTTTTAAATATTAATTAAATCAACATTGTCTGCATTATTAATTACAGTGACAAGTGGTTTATGGTAACTAAAATAAGACACATGGACGTTCGTAGATACGTGGTTCACGAATCTTGAAAATAATATATTTATGTTCTTTTAAAATGAAAATTTGTTATTTTAATTTATTGTACATCTTAGTGTTTTTATTTGTTTTGTTACCTTAAGTCATGGTGGGCGATAACAGAGTCATGTTGTTGAGTTAAATATTTGTAAGGACAAATCTCAGTTTGTCCTTGGTGGGCAATTATGCATACGCCATTTGTGCATTTAAAATTTTAGTTCATATGTATCAAAAAAGATGGCGCTGTAGTTCGTTGCATCACGCTTGTAAATATGTTTAGAGTTACATATAGGCAAAACGTCACCTAACTAATAAAGAAATCTATGGTCTAACAAAATACACTGTAGTTTCAATTTAATTCTTTTGCACCTAAGCTCTCGGATTTAAGAGTCATTTTGGCTCGAACAGGATGCGCACCAAAAACGTAACGAGGTCATTCATCGATAAATTTTACTCCTCACATTTTTCTCATACCGGGCCCCTTATATATGCAAATCTATTCTAAAGGAGTAAACTCCAAAAAAAGTTTTTGCACCATTTTCACAAAACAATAAATATCTCTGAAACTAAAAACCTCCATAAGGTACCTTTTTTTCGTGGAACGTCACAAATATACTTTTACCAGGTATGGCCAAGGCAGCACTAGAAGCAATTAACGGATGCAACCTGTTTGGCGACAAGGGTGCATCGTGGAGTGTCGTGTATGTCGACATAGATGCTCACAACAGAAACAGGAGTATATTTGAAACTATGCTCCCTCGGGAATCGAGCTCAAAGGTATTCTTGATTCTTTCAAGTCTTTTAGATTTCAAACAAAAAAAATATACGAAGGACATTATTTTTCCATTTCTTGTTTACAGGGTGTTGATGCCGCTCTCCTACCAACGATATCTTTTCCGGCGTTTGCCACCCATGAAGAACACCTTCTGCAGTTAACTAAATCGAATATGCTGCGGCGTCTGCAAGGAAAATATGGATTAAAAAGATTTAGTCGCGATGGATATAAATGCGTTCTTGAAGACCCGACCAGGAGGTATTATCAAGAAGGAGAGTTAAAAGAATTTGATGGCGTAGAGTCTGAATGGCCCCTATTTTACGTGATGATGATTATCGATGGAGTATTTCGCACATTGCCGGAACAAGTAGAAGAATATCAGAGATTGTTGAAAGCAAGAATATACATGGATGAGTATGGAGGTTGTTTCTTGTATATGTTTTGCTTAATCGAAGATACGAAGATTTTTGATAATAATTGCCCATTCATACTTGTTACAGACCCAGTTATACCTTGGTATTATTACGTGCCTCGCGAATTAATTGATAACGAGCGTAACGAACCAAATTCCGTTCGCAGACTGCCAGCTAGTAAGTATTCTCGCATTCTACAAAAAACACAAAATATTTTAGTTTTTTTTTTATAAATTGTTAAAAATAATCTAGTTATTTAATGAAGTACTTCGTTTACGGATGGTTTGACGAACTCTAAATAATTACAGGCCAACCTGGTGAAGTTGACAACGAAGGTAAAAATTGCCATGCCCATGGTGAATGGATATTTGATTCTATTCTATTTCTTGTGTCTAACTTTCATTTAACTCACTCAGCTATAGAAAGCTTGCGCTTTTTGCCTTTATTTAGTTCGATTACGAATCAACAAGTTTTTCCACATTCCAAAACTTTTCCATAATAAAGTAGTTTTAAATTCGTTCACACGACCAATGTTAACTGTATCGCACCATTTGGCTATGGAAAGTAAACGACTATAATTAGGCAACAGGTATTTCTCTTCATCACACAAATGGTAGCAGGATTCGAACCAAGGCGTTTTTATAGTAGAACGCAGGATCGCTGCCTTGCAGAGGTTGCATTGGCGGGTTTGGTATCTTAAAATTTTAATTTTATCCAAAAAAGGCTATTTAACAGTAAGAAAAATGAAGTACCAATTGTTGGCATCAGTATTTAATATGAATATTAACAGCGATTTTACTTTTCTGTTAGAACAAATAAATAATAACCTCTCAAAAAAAATCATTAAATAGAAATGATTTTTTTGTTCTATGGTCACGTAACGGAAAACGCCTGAGATTGGCAAAGGCTAAAATGACGTCAAGCTTCCAGTCAAAGTGACATAACATTGTATTGTTTGCCGTTTTAATGATAGTCGTGTGACGTCACATTAGTATGTGACGTATTATGGCGTCTCACTAGTGTGAGACGCCATAATATCGAGAAAGACGTTGTCGCGGGAACTTGAAAATGGAACTTTTTACTAAAAATAACAGAATGATGATTATCCACTTTTTATGGACTATAAATATTAGCAAATAACGTGAGATTGTTTTCTAAAACATGTCAAGTCCCTATACTTGTTGATAAAACATTGTTTCACCTTGTGTGTAGGTTACTCAGCTAAAGAATGTGGAAAAATGAACTGATTTCGAACCATCTAAAAAATAAAATTCTTAATAAAGAATAGAACTTTGCATTTTTTTTTCAAAAATCAGTAAATTATAATAAACGCAAAAAAAAAGAAAAAACACTAGGTGCAGCAAAATTCTTACAATACCTACCGACCCTATATAGGAAACCGCTCATTCTTCAATCATAAGTCACAGATCTTGATGAACAAGATGATTCTAGAAGATCAATAACTATTAATGTATAATTGATCAATGATTGTCATTACAGATCTATTAGATACATTAATCAAATCACTTTATTGAAGGTGATGGTTTATTTGCTATGAGCCTAAACATTGCGTTTTAATTTTGAGACGAGAGATCTTTTCCAACTTCTGGCATACTATCTTTCTGTTTGGTTACGCCCAATAACACCAATACTCGTGATCAGTGATACTCGTAAGTAAGGCAGTCGTGGCTGATTGATGAATAGAATATAGACTTGCACTTTAACTTCATATTTCTTTTGCATGATTCTGTAAAGTAAGTATCTACGCACTTGATTTTGGTGATGGTTAAGATGGTAATAGCGGTGTCGCGCGTACCTCACTTTCCATTTTATCAGAATGTCATCTACACAAGCTGATTCATTTTCTTATCCTTTATATCTATAAAAGAAAAATATGTGGGCATATACATGTATCCCTTTAGTATGTATGACCCTTCTAAAATTCTTTTTTCTCTAAAAGTATAATCTAGTTCATAATTCCTAACGCTAGTGTAGTTAAGTAATTTTTCATAAACTGGCTTATGCAAAATTATCGAATGTATTTTTTATAAACTTATTTAATAAAGCTAAAGGCATTAATTAAACTAATACATTTAGCTTGTACGCTTATAATGTAAAAATTTAATTCGCATGAAAAAAAGTAGTTTGTGTTTGTCTTATTTAAACAAAAATATTACAGACTTAACTTTGACTCTCGTGCGATTGTACGTACGTTTATATTGAAAACTCATAAGGTACTTGCCCCGACGTAAAATTTTATAACTAATTCATTGTAGTACTACCACAAAATTTATAGTATTCCTACTACTATAGCAATGTCTGCTCTTAAAATGGGTTTTCACAGCCACTGCTACTTGTACACAGATTTTCTTTACAGAGGCGATGAAACGTAACCACTATTGCCGTCGCTACGGTACTTGCTGTCGTCCAGTTCGCAGCCTTAGTTAGGTGTGACTATTGAAGTGATGTTTAGATATTTTTTAAATCTTTTGTTCCAAGTTAGATGCTCTACCAACCCCAAAACTGATAAATGGCGTGAAGGTATGTTACGTAGGTGTAAGTGAAACAAAATAACACAATGCGTCAGCGCCTAGCTTACTCAAGCTGTAAGTTCTATCAACGATCTGGGAATTTTGGTAACTTTTGTAGATAAGTCTGACAAACTGGTTATCTAACATAAACTTGGTGTCGTGAAAATGTAGCTGTAGTATACACTTATATATTTTGTAGTAGGTAAGTATTGCATCTTTAACGTTATAGGCGCATAGGTGGTAGAGAATGTGGCGGCGTTTTCCTGTCTTACTCGGGAGCATGTAAGGTTGCGGATTCAGTCTGCATTTTCGCATACATTTGTCCTCAATAATTTTAGCTTTAATTTGAATTCCGCATCCAGTAATATGAAATTCTCATCCACTTGCACGCGTGCAAGTCAGGATTCACCCTTAACTAAAAAAAATATGAATATGAAGCTGATTGAAGTAATTTCATATTTTTGGATAATATGGCCTGCTGCCTGCTGTAGAATAATGCACATAGTTGAGATAATGAAAAATGTATTAAATAGAAATTTAAAGTTTGAGGGTTGGGTGCAAAATTTAATAATCTTGAATCTGCCTTAAAGTAGTTTGGTTATTCATAGAGCGCAAGTGTCACGTTGGATACGTCGTTGTAGTAAAATCACTAAGCTCCCTCACTAGAGACCGCATACACGGGCACCCACTTGTGCCAAGCTTACGTAGTAATACTGCATAAGCATGTGACACGCCCCCAAACGTTGCGCTACAAGTTTGCACTCACACTGTCATGTCCAATAAAAACGCGGTCTGCCCTCCCTGGCAAATTTTGGTGGTATCGATTGCAAATAACATTTTTGTAATGCTAGTCATTGGCGTAGCTAGGGATTTTTCCTAGGGAAAGAGAAAACGAGCTATTACATATAGCTCGTTTCCACTTTAAACACTCGAACTTCAGGGCGAGCATAAAGGATTCTAGGATGGTCCTTGCCCCTTTGCTGCCCCCAGCTACGCCTATGGCTCTAGTGGCGATGTTCAGTGGGTAAAATGGTGGTTTGGAGCGCAGACACGGGGGGCTTGTTCCTGTGGGCGCAGTCGATGTTCGTGGTGGCGCAGCTGCTGACGGGCGGGCTGCTGCACGTGAACGAGCTAGACCCTATACGACGGTACCTGCCCTCGTACAACCGCCCGAGGCGCGCCGGACGGTACTCCGCCTTCCAGGTACTGTTCACTTTGTTTATCCTCGTCAGAGAGAACGTACCAATACTACGTAACCCACTATTTACATTTTCCCTAGAGCATATTGATTACGTGATGAAAACTGAACTCACCCCTCCCCTCAGTGACCAAGCGTGGTATTTTAAAGACTTCCCCTGAACGGGTCACGTAGTATGGGTACGTTCACTAGCAATAGTTTCGGTAGTAAACAGCTGTAGTGCAATTCATATTTTGTGGCTTTGTGCAGTTAGCTGCGAGCGCAAGGTGCAGGTTTAAGTTCAATGAAAACGAGTAGTAGGTATCAGTGGTATATTACCTACATGCCAATCCGACTCTAAACTGGCAGCCTTACTACTTGCATAATCGCAAGTTGAGAGTCCATTATTTGACTTACAGTCAGTTTCAAGGTGAAATAAATTTTCAGTAACTTCTAAGTCTCAACTTGAGCATATATACAGCAGTGCTCTACATGTAGGGTTACTATTTCAAAATTTGAACAAGTCCTGACAAAAAGCCGGACATTTCGATAAAAGTCCGGAAATTTAAGTCACAAAATGCAAACATCACCCACTTAGTTACAGTGATATTATACGCGTGGCAGCAGACGCTCGCATCGCGAGGGATCGCTCATTGTTGATTTTTAAAAATAATTTATATTTTGTTTTAAATTAATGAGAACTTAATAAAGATTATTTGACTTATATGATATAACTTAATTAGTATTTTTACTCATATTCCACCTAATTAAAAAAGTCCGGACAAATTAAAAAGCCGTACAAAGTCCGGATAAAACGCAAAAAGGCCGGACATATCCGGACTAATCCGGACGGATGGTAAGCCTATCTACATGCAATAAAGACATTATAACACAACGGCCAAAAAAGGAGTAGGTATAAATTTTCGAAGTTATTGTTTTTATGTGTGTTTCTATATTCCACAATAACTTTTAGGTATTTTACGTTTACTATAGTTTCCAGAGTTTGAAAGTTGTTGTCGTTGTTGTGCTGATTAATAAAGAATGAAGGTACCGCAACCTTCAATTTTTCTGATGATTATCCTAACAAAAGTACGTTCTTGTGAAATGTTTGTGGATTTATTGTTCAACTAAATTAATAATTTTCTTCAAAATTTACTAAAACTGACTAAAGATGAAGTGACAGAATCGATAGTTATTAGAAACATAATTATATGCGGAGACTAGGGTCCTGTAGTGTAGGCTAAAGGCTCAGTATAATGGCAGTATCAAAAATACTGCCATTATACTGTTATTCAATGAATATTTACACTGAAACAGTCAAAAGTTTTCTTTTTCTTTTCATTATTTAGAGATTGATTTACGTATCGCCTCCTGAAGGATTCGCGAGTGAGGACCAAAGTAATATTAAGTGAAATGGAATGAGAATTAATCGAATTTTGTCGCTTCTACTATCTCGTTATCCCGGAATGGTACTTATGTATTTTATTAAAATTTAAATGTATGATTGAACCATTTTAACACGTCTACATGAACATTCTGCAACTATACTGGATTAGATTTTAATGGTTGTTTTCCCTCTGCTAGTTAACGATCATAATTAATGCATACGTATAAATCAAAATGGGTTTCAAATGTCAACATTTGTTGTGTAAAGTAATAACTACCACCCACCACCCACTAGCCAATTATAATTTAAAAAAAACAATGATTTAATGAAATTAGTGCTATTCAACGGCGACGCGGCGTGCACTTTCCCACTGAAAGCAGTGTGAAGTAATTTTTAACTTTATTACACACTTAAAAGATTAGTATCGCTTGAAAAGCTCGAAGAAGTCGTTCGGACGCCCGCTGTCGACTTTTCAAGCTATACCGGTCTTTTAATATACTATATAATATTTAATATAAAATAAGTATTTTAATAAAGTTTAAAATTATTTTACTCGTCGCCGCCATTCCGGTGTGCATCGGCCCTTATATGTTCTAAATATTTTAATAAATAAAATGGATTGTAAACGCCCAAGTTATTTATTTAAAAAAAAAACACGGGAAAACAATTACTAAAATTTACCTTGTTTGATGTTAACACCACAATGGCAGTACAAAAACTTGGAAGAACCAAATAACCAATTTGTAATTTATTTTTAATTTCATGCTCCAATCGCAGGCCAAGCCAGCATTTGTAAGTATTGGAAATGTAGCAAGTCTTCAGCATCGCTTCAAAGTGTTACTTTCTCGACTGTTTCTAATTCAATAATTTTCTGTTTCACTTCAGCTGTAGAATGTGTTATTAATTAAACATTATTTTATGAATGTATCATTACATGAAATAATCATGACGAAACGTTGTTATGTTTTATGCTTCAAATTCTTCGTATACAGGAACGCTTAAAATCTAACAAAATATTGTTTTTGTTTCTCTAATCATTTCTCAAAAAATGTTCTTATTATTATCGTAAGATAAATGTACCATTACGTGTAGTAATCACGCCGAAACTTTGTTATGTTTTATGCTTAAAAAATATTTATCTACAGGAACGCTAAAATTCTAACAAAGTATGTTTTTGTTTCTCTAATAAATTCTCAAAATGCTGTTATTATAATAGATCGATTAATGCACCATTACATGAAGTAATCACGCCAAAACAATGTTATGTGTTATTAGACCAGGGTCGATAATTTTAAAAATGGTGAAAAGTGAAAAAAAAATATAGTAGCATGAAACCCATTAGAAAAGGTAGAGAATATAACAAAAATGAAAGGAAAAATAAATTACGGGCGATCTGAGATCGGGAAGGGGGAGGGGGTGAGTGTTTAAGGGTAAAAAATGGTTAATCTCGATTTCCGGTAAAACTGCAAGTCCTATGAAAAAAAGTTAAATGGCAAAGTTGTAGGTAATAAAAAGATCTACAACTTTTGTATCGACACTTTTTTCACATAACCTCAAAATTTATGTGAAAAATGCGAATAACCGAGTTTTTGGTTTTTGATTTTTATTTTTTGCAAAAAAAAATATTTTTTCACGAAATTTGGTGAAAACTTACCTTTGTATGTCCCAAACATACAGTAATTTTTTTGATTTAAAATATTCATTTTTTCACCTTATTTTGACTTAATATCCAAAAAGCACCCTTATTTTCAATCGAAAATTCTCACGTCAAAATATCTGCTTTTTTAAAAAAGTTGGGTTGTTTTTTGTTTGTTGAAATCTCTTCTTTCTGATGGTATAAAAAAAAATATACACTACTATGATAAATGTTCTCAGAAAATGCAAATTAATAATGAAAAAAACTCGAATCCGAAAATCCTATTTTTAATACCTACTTACAACAACTATTTTTGCTGTTTTATGGATTTGTAATTTTTCTGTTTATCAATATAACATGAAATCTTACGTTTTTCGAGTAATTAAAGTGTAAATTTTAATAAATAGTTAAAAATTATACATAATGATTCAAATCAATTTTTCGGATTGGAGTTTTTTTCATTATTAATTTGCAGTTTCTGAGAACATTTACCATAGTAGTGTATATATTTTTTATACCATCAGAAAGTTGAGATTTCAACAAACAAAAAACACCCCAACTTTTTAAAAAAAGCAGATATTTAAACGTGAGAATTTTCGATTGAAAATAAGGGTGCTTTTTCGATATTAAGTCAAAATAAGGTGAAAAAATGAATGTTTTAAATCAAAAAAATTACTGTATGTTTGGGACATACAAAGGTAAGTTTTCACCAAATTTCGTGAAAAAATAATTTTTTTTGCAAAAAATAAAAATCAAAAACCAAAAACTCGGTTATTCGCATTTTTCACATCAATTTTGAGGTTATGTGAAAAAAGTATCGCTACAAAAGTTGTAGATCTTTTTATTACCTACAACTTTGCCATATAATTTTTTTTCAGAGGACTTGCATTTTTACCGGAAATCGAGATTAACCATTTTTACCCTTAAAAACTCACCCCCTCCCCCTTCCCGATCTCAGATCGCCCGCAATTTATTTTTCCTTTCATTTTTGTTATATTCTCTACCTTTTCTAATGGGTTTCATCCTACTATAATTTTTTTTGGTCTCAAAAATTATCGACCCTGGTCTATATGCTCAAAATTCTATCTTTTTTGTTGCATAACTTGCATTGCCATTAATACAAAGGCTCTTTTTCCAGCTTTCAGCAAAATTTAATGCTAACTTTGATCATAGCACGTCTGCTAATTATATATAATAATATTTGTATTATGTTTGGTATCGGATGATTGCAGGGTATAGCCACTGACTTAGTGGTGCAAGTCGTGTTGATCGCGGAGTCGATGCGACTCCAAGCTATGATGGGAACGTATGGCATACAGACGCAGACGCCTCATGAAGTTGAACCTGTACAGGTCTGATTATATTTTACAATAGATTTCCCAAATTGCACCATCCCACCTGATGTTATGTCGAATGAAATTGAATGGAAGGACAGCTGATTCAACGGAAATACGTTGTGCACCTACTTTTTTCCTTTTTAAATGTAGATAAACACCTAGACGACATTTTTTTGTCATTACTATACATTATACGTATTCAGTTACTGAAGTCAGCTAGCTTATTCATGAAGATTTCTTAAATTAAAAAAAATCGAGTAACTATTTTTAAATTTTCCTATACTTTCTACATTGCCCCTCTTTCTTATACTTGGAACTTGGCATCAGGTGAGATGGAGTCATTTCCCAACTAGCATTTTGGTGATAAAAGAGTTATTTTGGCAAGCTAGAGTTTTACAAAGTTTTAGCAATTGGTATTAGAGCACGCTCTAACTAACCCCTTATAAACCCACGATTGGTCTTATAGCGCTCTAAGTAATATAATGGTTATAATGGTCACTCTTTTTACAATGAGAGTTACATACAACAGTTATATAGTGGCGTTTAGTGGAAAACAATTTTTTGTATCTATAATGGTGGTATATTATAAATCTTGCTTCCTCAATCACTTGTATTATGGTTATAACAAACTATAGGTAGTATACAAATTCTAAAGTTCAATTTCTTTTATCGTCTGTAACAAAAAAAAATATTAGGACTCTAAAAATAACTCCATAATAAAAATTGCTATCATATATAGGAGTTTCTTATTACTAAATTTAGTAGCTTAAATATTTTGCTAACTACATACATCAAAAAAGTCTAAGCAATACGCATCATTTACAGAAACTGTATGTTTAATTTTTTTCTTAACAGATTAGATTGCTATTCATTATTTTTTGCTCTCGAAAATATAATTAGCTAATTTTTAAAATAGAAACATTTCGATTGTGTTTATAATCTTAATATGTATGTATGTAAATAACGCGTCACGTTGTTTGTCCGGGATGGACTCCTAAACTATTTAACCGATTTTAATGAAATTTGCACACCGTGTGCAGATTTGCAAGATAGGATAGCTTACATCTCAATTTATAGTCGCAATATTATTTTATTGCATATTATTATTTTTGGCCGGTACGAAGTTCGCCGAGTCAGCTAGTAGTATAGTATAAATATATTACAATAGTAAAAATCGTTCAAAAGTTCAAAACCGTACAACATGTTGCTTAGACTTTTTTGATCAGTATATTTTCAAGAGCTCTTGTCGATAGAAAGAGTTTGAGAAACTATATTATTACTTTAAGTATTTACTCGAATTTATGAAAAGCAGGTGCTAAGATGGTTGTGACTAAACAGTTTCTACCTCCTTAAGTAATATTACGTTTCCTAGCCAAATCACTCTCAAAACACTAAGAAAGAGGGAGACTTACTAGAAAGAAACCTTAGATTCTTATTGTTACTCGAAGTTAAAATACTTAGTGTTACTGTGGTTCAACTTTTCTCTTTTATACCTACTTAAGTCATATTATGTCTTCTTGTTTCTGTTATTCATCTTAATGAGTTATTTAATTCTAGTTATGACCATTGAAGTTTTACTGGACCCTGTATACACCTGTTACACCAATACAAACGATTAGAGAGGTGGAAATCAGCACCAAAATTTTTGTTAGAACAATAGTTACAATAATTTGACAGATATAAGCTATCAAAGTAGATTTAAATAAATTTTACTTTTTTTATAGGTCTGCAGTTCAACTCAACTAGTGCACGTGTACCGAGAGTTGGGCGTTTGTCCTAAACTGAAGTTAACCGGTCGACCGATAAGACCTGTGGGTTCGCTGGGGACGAGTAAGGTAAAGACTTACATTATCATTATAACCTAATACCGAAATAGTATAAATGGGCCATAAATGCTCACCTGATTGGTGGGTGCTAACCACTACAGATGTTGCTGAGACAAAATCGGTTAGCGATTTGCGAATGATGCTAACTTCGCAGAACAATCTCGCTAACCAAATACAAAGATGGCCACTTGTCAACGGCCCCATTGGTCGGAATAAAGACGCTACGTAGTCAATGCAGCCAATTATAGAAAAGTTGTCAATCAGGTCGTTTCAAATAGAGGCAGTAAAACTTAATAGATAATCGATGCTTTACTTAATCATTTTCTCATATGCATTTCAGATATACCGAGTGTGCGGCATGACTGTTCTGTGCTATCCTCTGATATTCGAAGTTTCCGAGTTTTATCTGTATCGAGATATGGCGCTTCTCATAGATGACATTAAAACTGAACTTCAATTTGTGGGAAAGTAAGTGCAATTAGGTATTATCTTAAACACTTATCCACCGTTTTCTTTGAATCATGACGTAGGTACCATAAAAAAAGATATGTCACGGTAAATACTAAAGTATATTACATTGTTTTCAAGGTGTCGGTCTGTACTGTAAGGTCCTACATTTGAATTCTCGTATCTGTTATATAACAGTTTTAAAGCTCGCATGTTGCTTTGACAAGTATTCTCCATTTTATCTTTATGAGTGTGGGCGTAAATCCCAAAGTTGTTTATCAGGTACTGGCGTCTCTCTGGCAGACCAACTGTCTGTTTGTTAGTGCGCGAGGAGCACATGCGTGACCCACACTTCAAACAAATGTTGGATCTGTTCGCAATGCTCAAGAAGGGCCACTGCGATGGAGTCAAGGTGCGGCTCGGACGCTTACAAAATCTCATCTCTAGTTCCTGCATGGGTGAGTTTTGAAATGTATTTGTAAGTCGTGCTTTTGGATTTTTTTCTTTATTTTATAAAGTTTGCATTCCGAGACGATGCACTCTTACCTACTGACACAGTAATTTTTAAGAACAATATTTTACATTATATGGCAGTGCAATAAAGGCATTCACTTTACAGTGGTGTCAATTCTGCCGTGATTCTCTAAACTTAAAACTAAATTTAAGGTCAGTCTCACCTTTTCATTCTGTATAGAGAAAGACAAGGATGCACTGTTGTCAAATTTAAGTTTAGCTTTAGAGAATCTGCGCCTGAGCTATGGCGACATTCCAAAGTTATAAATGTGTATTTACCTGATGTTTGTATGAATCAATGATTTCCTTAGCAATAATAGGTCTATACATTCTGTAGAACGTCTAGTTTCCCTAAGCCAGAAGAACTTTCAACGAGAGCTATAAGCACTGCTCCACACTCTACATAATGGCGGCATTAACCATTTCCTTTTTTGGTATAAATATGAACTAATCAAGATCCATTATTTGTATGTGCATTTGCATTAAATAATCAATACTTTCCATAGTCGCCATAGAAATCTGGACTTCATGACCAAAAGAAGTTTCTTTCGAAAATGTTCACTCAGTTCCGCCAAGTGGAACACTAGTATATTGAATACCAATCGCTCACAGACTTACCGCGTACATTTACGTATCCCGAGGACGCGCTTTTTTGACGGTTACGAACATGCTTTAATAAATCAATCCTTTCCGTAGAACATCTGGACTTCATGAGCCAAGGGGAGTTCCCTTCGGCAATGTACACTCAGTTCCGCCAGTTGGAACACGAGTACATCAACCTCCAGTCGCTCGCAGACTTACCGCGTACGCTCACGTATCGCGAGGATATGGTGTCCTACGACCCATACAAACATGCTTTAATTAATCAATACTTTCCGTAGAACATCTGGACTTCATGAGCCAAGGGGAGTTTCCTTCGGAGATGTTCACTCAGTTCCGCCAGTTGGAACACGAGTATATCGGCTACCAGTCACTGACGGATGTGCCGCGTACGCTGACGTATCGTGAGGACGCGGTCTCCTTCGACGGCTACAAGCATCGCAGCACTCCCGACGTAGTGACAGCATTGAGAGGAACCGATAATATATTCGCTCAATGCCAGCTCTGGGGAATTTTACTGCAGCGGGAGGGACCTATGTATGAGGTGGGTTTTTAGTCATTTTTCAGCTAGTGCACGCTTAATACAAAGTTACAATCTATACTTATATTATAAAGAGAAAAGATATGATTGTTTGTTTGCATCTAATAGGCACCGAACTACTGGAACGATTTAAAAAATTAATTCACATTTCGAATCCTAAACGTATGAAAACTTCGCTGAAGTAACTCAACGTGTGACAGAAATACCAAAAAAACCTTACGACACGTACGCTGCGGATGTTCTTTTTACGAATTTTTAGAAATGTATGACATTCTCATTGCTTTTTATCAGGTGAACGGCAACACAGCGCTGGATTCTCTAAAGTCGTTGTACCATAGCGCGGGCGTACTGCGTCACTGGCGCGCGGTGCGCTACTGCTCCTCCCTACTCAACCACACCGTCGACTCCATCAGCCCGTTCATCACCACCGTGCTCGTCAACGGGAAGCAGGTGAGCGCAGTGTTGTATTTACCCTAGGGATAAGGCCATGGCCCAGGGTGGCAGGTTGCGAGGGGCGGCTGCAAGAGCTGCGACGGATGGCAGAAGCCATATAAAGGTATCCGTTACTGATCTATATTTTGATTTTATTTACTAATTATGGGGGCAATATTTTTTTAAAATACGCCTGGGTAAGCGTTGCGTCACACACACTGCAGGAATTGTACCAAATGGCGGGCATGCTACGGGATGAAATATGGGGACAGTTAACTAAGTACAGACAGTCTACTTGCAGCTCTGGGGGCCATTCGCCTAACGGAAATGCTTTGGAAAACGCTAACGCTTTCGATTTTATTTTGTTATTTCTGACCGCCGAAGGTTTTCAAATACCTCACGCTCATTTTTTTTAATATTGTTATTACCAATGCAAAAGAAAAAAAAAGAGTGCGAGGCATTTGAAAACCTCAGGCGGCTAGAAATAACAAAATGAAATTGTAAGCGTTAGCGTTTTCCAAAGCATTTCCTTTAGGCGAATGGCCCCCCGTGTTCAATCAAACTTCGAAATAAAAAAAAACTTGTTTTTTTTACTATTTCGAAGTTGGGTATCTCAAATGTTAATTGAATTCGATGCCAAAATGAACCTGAAATAAAATAATGCTAATCGTAGTTTACTTTGATAACGTCGCCGTTAAACTAAATGTACATAAAAATACATTTAATCTGTTTACTGCAACAGCTTACGGTGGGAGTTATCGGTCAGAAGGAGACGGTGTTCGACAAGCCCATGACCCCCGGAGAGATACAGTCCGTCATGTACTCTACCATACAGCCGTATGACGTCATCGGCGCAGTATTGCAACAGGTAAGCCATTCGCAGGTTAAATCTAAAGAAAGTTTTACTAGAAAAAAAACCACGCGGTCCAAGCAGCAGACGGCACTCGAACCCGCACCCTCCGTTTTTCGGGCGAATGCACTGACCAATTATGCTACAGTGACCTTGATGGCCGTGTCGGAATTTTTCTAGTATTTCTTAGGCTGCAAGGCAGCGCCATTTCTTCGCATTGTAGATAACCCTCGATGTCAAACGAAATATAATAAAAATAATATAAAAAGATGATAAACATTCACATGTTGTCATTATTTAAGAGCAAATAGATAAATTACTATAAACTTTATTATATTGATTTCAAAAGAACTTTTGCGCATTGGGAAGGTACTTAGTTCATTCGCCATTCCTCGTTGACGCAAACTGATGCTTACCAATTAAAATTATATCCTTAAGTCACCATCCCGCGATTACTTTTGAAATTCTTTACTTATTTAATAAACCCTTTCACGTGACACGTCATTGCAACCGTATTTTTTCTTAATGTGACTATGAAAGAATAAATAATAACTAATAATATTAACTGGAATCACTCATTGCAATCACAACAAAGTATTGACAAGGCTTAGGCCGATTCTTTAGGCCGTACAGGCTCACGTCGAGAAGTTCCGAGAACACCCGAGAAGCGTCAATGTGATTATTTTCTCGCCTCCTCGCTCTCCCGTTCTCCGCTCGGTGTCGGTTTTCTTCCCTGCTTAAAGAGTTTTTCAGGGTAGAAAAGAGAACCGTATCATTCACATTCTCATTCGGTCTCACTGCGACGTGGGAAGTGGTTATCAATCGCACGTGTATTTTGCATTATTGATTGAATTTGTGTCATCCACCAGCGCCTGACCCTTCCTTTTATCTTAATTTCATTTTTTATTTTAATATTTACAAGATGCACACAATACCAAAACCGCTGCACTGCACTGTCAAAGACGTCCATTTCGCATTACGATTGAGACCGCGCAGGTGAGAAGGTCGCGTGAGTTTCCTTCACATTTCTCGGGTCAAGTCTCGGCGAGAAGGCTTGGCCCATTCAGTGAATAAAAGCTTGTTTTTATAAAAGCTTTACCCCTTTTAATTTTTTATGTCTTAAATCCGCAAGCAGACTGGTGAAAAATAATATTGGGTAAAAAAGCTATTCAAATCACTAATTCCACGAGTACGAAGTCACGGGCAAAAACTAGTGTTGCCTTTATTACTTATTTCATTTGGGTAGGTCTCAACTCAAATACATGAATATTTAATAAATTCGTACCCAATTAGTGAACTCATATTTAGTAAGATCATTAGTTTTCATTCCTTTGTGTGTGTGTTTAAACAGGGTCTAGTTTAAAAGTTACCCGCGAACTCACTGGCTTGTAGCTTGAACGTGTCATCGAGGCTAAAAGCCAATGACACGGGACGAATTTACAAGCGAACTCGCTGGCTTGTAGTTTGTAAACTAGCCCCGTGTCACGAGGCTTTACTTATTAAATAAAACTAGTTTTTACGGGTTAATGCACGAAACTTTATTTATTTATTGACGTTTCGTAGCCTTTACAGGCTTCGTCGTCAGAATAAAACTTTTATTTAATTTGTCGAGCTACCTTCGAAAGACTTTTATTGAGCGTTTGGTTATTTCATTGTTCGATTTTTAAGTTTTATTGTCTATGTATGAATTTATTATTTAATTTACTTAATAAAGTATTTTATTGAGTAAATTAAATAAATTTAAAATTATTTTTTGTAATTTTGAGTTTATTTATTTGACCCTAACTACCGTAAACTACTTATGTTAATCCAGTTGTGTACATATTTGCTGTATTTACCTTTATTAATAAATAAATTAATCTTTCCGCAGGAGATAGTGCTGTACTGCGGTCGCCTGATCGGCACCAATCCGGACATGTTCCGTGGAATCTTGAAGATCCGCGTGGGCTGGGTGTTGGAAGCGATTCGCATCTATCTGGAACTGTTCCCCGGCGAGAAGCGAGCGGACGCCACGCTGGAGAGTCTGTCGCCGTACAAACTGCGCACGTTGCTGCAACACGTGCTCACTGTGTCCGACTGGGCCGAGGAAAGGGGGTGAGATTTCTGTAAACATATATGTATAGGTAACGGCAAAATGTTCTGTGGAATCTTGAAGATCCGCGTTGGCTGGGTGTTGGAAGCGATCCGCACCGGCACAAAAGGGTGAGCTTACTGTACACATATAATTATCTTTGTACTAAGGTAATCCCCGACGGGAGATACAATCCGCCGGGAATACCTCTAGAGGCAGAGATAGTGCTGTACTGCCGTCGTCTAATCGGCACCAATCCGGACATGTTTTGGGGAATCTTGAAGATCCGCGTAGGCTGGGTGTTGGAAGCGATCCACATCTACCTGGAACTGTTTCCCGGCTAGAAGAGAACGGACGCCACGTTGAAGAGTCTGTCGCCGTACAAACTGCGCACGTTGCTGCAACGCGTGCTCACTGTGTCCGTCTGGGCCGAGGAAAGGTGGTGAGATTTCTGTAAACATATATGTATGTATAAGTAACGGCAAAATCTTCTGTGGAATCTTTAAGATCTGCGTTGGTTGGGTGTTGGAAACGATCCGCAACTGTGTAAAGGGGTGAGCTAACTGTACACATATAATTATGTACTTAGGTACTGTACTAAGGTAACCCCAGAGGGGAGACAGTCCTATGGTACTGTACTAAGGTAACCCCAGAGGGGAGACACATCCGCCTGGAATACCTCTAGAGGCAGAGACAGTGCTATACTGCGGTCGCCTGATCGGCTCTAATCCGGACATGTTCTGCGGAATCTTGAAGATCCGCGTGGGCTGGGTGTTGAAAGCGATCATCGTCTACCTGGAACAGTACCCTTAGCGCGAACCAATATCGAGTTCGAATAGTTTGCGAGTGCGAAATGTCATTGCCAATTTTGTATGGAAACTTGAACAGAAGCGCCAAAAAGGACGTAACAAGAACTAAAATCAGTACACATTTGACGTATATCTACATCGAATTCGATAATGGTTCGTGCTAAAGGTACTGTACTCCAGCACGAACCATTATCGAATTAACCATTGTGTCCGAATGGGCCGATGAAAAGGAGTAAGATTACTGTGTACAATTATTGATGTGTAACATCTTTCCTCTCGCTTTCCTGCAATTTGTGGGAGTGATTTCGTGAAATGGGACGGAAGTGTGTAACAGGAAGTCGCGAAAACGCGGGCTATTTGATTTTAGAACATAATGTTCAAATGGCTTATTCCTTTTGTAGTAGGTTTTATTTCTTTTTTTACTAATATAAGGTGATGTTTCAAATGATCTTACGCGACTACTGTAAGGCTCGCTCGTTTTTTTTTATTATGTACGGTATAAGTAACGGCAAACTTCTTGAGCGAAACCACAGATCAATAAACTTGCGCAGTAGACTTTTTTAATTGTAAAATTGCTACTGCGCAGGTTTCCTTGTCCATGATCAAGAAGTTTGCCGGGGGTATATACTAAGGTAACCTCCAAGGGGAGATACCATCCGCCTGGAATACCTCTAGAGGTACTCACCAATTCTCGGCTTAAGATAACTTTAGGATCTGGCCGTACCCAAGCCAGGTGTAGCTGTAAAGGTCATCTGCTACCAACAGCATATACACTCAAAATATAAACTAAGGTAACTTACGTAAGCTTCAAGAGTTGACCGACGTCCAAACCAATATTATAATTTGTTTTTTTTTTAAATAATTCCAACTTGAAGTGAATCTTACAGTAAAATTAGGAATGTTTTTTCTACAATAGAGTGCGATTTAAACTTGAATGGTAGTTCCGTTCCGTTTTCTTCTTTGGGGAGGTTCTAGCATCTATGCTATCTCCATGGTGGCGGGGTCGCACCTCATTTTCGAAATGAGGCGATCGTTTGGGTCAAACCCTCCCTTACTCACAGCTTCATACACCGTCCACAGCGCGATCCAGCCCACCGGGTGAGACCTATGAGGGAGGCCCAGTGAGCGACCTGCGAGCAGGCGGTGGACTTAATGTGAGTGGGAGGGTAGTATCGTCAAGTTTGTGGGTAGTCAAATTGTCATCAAGTTTGGGCGGGTAGTCAGAGTCAGTGCTTGTTGTTATTGGGGGCGTGTCATCGTTGGTTTCAGTTTCAGCAGTGGCGGATTAAACGTTGAGAGCGCCGTAGGCAATCATCTCATCGGCGCCTCTATATTGAAAATTACTCGTACTATAGATTGACCGAAACCGATTCGGTCGATGCGACGAACATTGCAATCTTATCTTTCCAACTTTAAGCAGAGATCATTAACCGTCGACAAGGTTGTTTACAGGCGTAAGTATTCATCAGTTCCATCCGTTAAATTTATCTTTTGTTATAAAATTATTATAAAAGTAAATTGTGGCAAATTGAGGTTGTTAGCAAAAATAATATTTTTTATTGTGTAAGTAGGTGACTTACTTACTGGCCCAATTAATTTTATGCTATATTTTTTCTTTAATTTAAAATTCCGCCCGCGCTTCTCTTTGTACCCTCGGGCCTAGTTTGCCTTAAGGATCATCCGCCTGAGAGTTTCAGGCCCCCCTTGAGGACAGGGCCATTGTCAGTTCGGTGATTGGATTTTTTCCCTAGGTAACGGCACGGCACGGTGGAGCCCTTCGTGTTTGGGCGCGATTTTATGTAGGCGTTCATTGTCCTGTGGAGCTTTTACTATGTGGCTGAGTATCTGTTGTTGCTGTATTCTAAGACACTTCTTGTGCACTTCTTGGACCAAGGCGAACAAGGCAGGGGCCGCATAGGTGAATATGGGGCGGGGTCTTGTAAGTTTGAATTGCACTTTACTTACAAACTTGAGTACTGCTTTTAATTAAAAAAAAGTAAGAAACATGAGCATCTCGGGATTATCCGAACCATATTTGATACTTTTTGTTAAATGCCAATTGAAACTGAATTTAAGAGAAAAATTAGAGGTACCTATTACTAATAAAATACCATGAAACTAAATTAACTCAATATATTTCTCATTTAGGTTGACTCCGCTACAACGGCGTCAACTGGAAGGATGTCTTTGCCGTGTTCCAAAACATTTTTACATCCATGTTTGGGATGTATTACTAAAAACTCCGAAAGGAATAACAGTTCAAGTAAGTTTGTCAATGTCAAACTTAGACGTGAATGAATATTAATTGTTAAATCGTAAATAGTTTTCTAAATAAATATTAGGTACAGTCATGTTCTTTAGTACCCGAGAAGCGTAAAGATTTTCCCGATCAATCAACTTACTATTAAAGGAGATTGCTCAAATTGACCCAAACGTACAAAAAAAATTAACATCGACGGTAATTCTTGGAGTAATTTATACTTTATTTTACAGTCATTAGATTTTAACGGACACATTTGTATAATATATTCATTTTAAAAAGGACTTAATTTAACCGGTTTGGAAAACATACGAATAATTTTTAATGGCTATGAGTGTAGTAACATTCAGCCAAAGACTGATCGAAGTTGTTTATATAACATCAAAACAAATCTATTTTGTAAATATCGATAAAATAAAACATTTTTTATTACACTATGGTATTAATATCCACAACTATATTATCATTTTCACTATATGCGCTAAGACAATTATTATAGATGTTAGGCGACATCATAATGTGTATTGCCATACAATTTTCGCCAAACACCTCCATAAACACATTATAAGGTGTGATAAACAATAAATCTAAAATATGGTTATAATATAAACATAACAAAAATAATGAAGCTACTGAAGATGTGGCTGTATCAGTTTCTGTCACAGGGTACCTTATTATAACCGGAAATGCATAAATGATACCCAGAGATGTACAAAATAGGTTATAAAAATGTATTTGAATGCAAAATGCAAATACTTTTTGTATTTTGTTATTTCAAATACAAAATAGTTTTTCATTTTATATTTAAAATACTAAATGCAAAATACGTATTTACAAAATGCTTTATTAAAATAAAATACTTTTAGTTTTAAATTATCTTTATTTTGTTGAAAAGTTTATTTATATTCACCAGCTAACAGGCTGGTAAATTTACTTTGATAACTTACTTAAATTAAATTTACTTAACAGATTTTAATAATATAATTTGCTCAAATACACTGTGACGCATCACATAGCTAAATCGGTTTCATACATTTAGTAGTACGGTTAGAGTGAGAACGGTGTCGATACATCGCGACACACAAGTATAATTCTAAATATATGAAACCGATACCTCTCTGACGCGTCACAACACAAAACGACAAATAAGTATAGTTCTGATATAAAAAAAATAATAGAGGGGTTTGCCGAGGCCATAAATTATCGGTAATAGAGTGCTATAATGACATAAATGAAAAAGCGCCAGATTATGCGCTAGGCGCTAAAATTTTGAAATAGGCGCTAACCACACCAAAAAAGGGGTAGATCTAGCGCGCAAAGCGCTAAAATGGCAGCACTGGAACGAAAACACAGCACCGTAAGGTGACCAAATAATCCCTAATTCATTCGAAAAGAGTCGATAGTAAACGAAGCTGATCAGACCAAGTTACATATTCTTCGGTGTTTACAAAACTTAGCAAAAAGTATTTTTCATTTTGCAAATACAAAATATGTCCTAAAAGGAATTTCAAATAAAATATAAAATGCTTTTAAAAAAAAAGTATTTAAATACAAAATGGAAATAGGTATTTTCCATTTTGCATTTCAAACACTTTTATTTTAAAAATATCACATCTCTGATGATACCTGATTTTAAAAGTGCACAAGAGTATTGTGCATTAACTTTAAAAACTGGCAAATATCTGTTAATCTACATGCTCTATATACCTGAATCTAATACATAATTTCGGTACTTGGCTTGATTTCCCTAGTTTACTATATAACTTATTTCTTTTTTTTTATTTTAATACCTTTGTACCTATTTGTAAATATAACCTCAAAATCATTCAGTGTATATGGTTTATAGAAGTTCTCAGGGGTGTCCGTCAATAATATTCATTTCTACAGTAATTTTATATATAATTTCGAATCTAGGAAACAATTTTTCATGATTATTGGTCTTTAGGCCAAACATGTATGGAAGCTGAGCAATCTCCTTTGCCCTCTGTTCTTTGTGATCATGCTAATTAATATAATTTATAAAAATAAATAAATAAAAGGAATTAAGTTTGTGTGAAAATTTGGATAAGAATTTCATAAAAGATCACCATCTTTTATGAAATTCTTATCCAAATTTCTCTTTTATGAAATTGATTACATTTTCTTAGATTGTCAGTAATATGATTTTCTTGAGCTACACTGGCATAATGAAAAAAAAAACCTTATGATACCATTAGAAAACAGATTAATCGAAAAGATATTAATTTGCCGTTTCAACACTATATTCGTCTGGAGATTTCGTCTTTATTGCAAATGTTCATTTTCAACCACATTTGAAATGAAATGTAACCCAAATTAAAGCATCTGACTGTACATGAATGTCTGTTTATTCAGGGCCACTGGATTCCCGCAGAGCCGACTCTGGTGAACATGTCACGTTCGGAGTTATCGTTCGCGTTACTGGTAGAGGAAGCTCTGGTACGCGTGGCTGCGGCGCGGCGGCAACTGTGCGTGGAATTGCTGTGTGTCGCCGCCGCCGTGCTGCGTCGCAACCCCGAGCTTACCCTCTCGCACGCCCTCGACCTCGACCGCCTGCTGGACGACGCGCATCACACCTATGCCAAGGTACCGCCGCCGTGCTGCGTCGCAACCCCGAGCTCACCCTCTCGCACGCCCTCAACCTCGACCGCCTGCAGGACGACGCGCATCACACCTATGCCAAGGTACCGCCGCCGTGCTGCGTCGCAACCCCGAGCTCACCCTCGCACGCCCTCAACCTCGACCGCCTGCAGGACGCCGCGCATCAAACCTATGCCAAGGTACCGCCGCCGTGCTGCGTCGCAACCCCGAGCTCACCCTCTCGCACGCCCTCAACCTCGACCGCCTGCAGGACGACGCGCATCACACCTATGCCAAGGTACCGCCGCCGTGCTGCGTCGCAACCCCGAGCTCACCCTCTCGCACGCCCTCAACCTCGACCGCCTGCAGGACGACGCGCATCAAACCTATGCCAAGGTACCGCCGCCGTGCTGCGTCGCAACCCCGAGCTCACCCTCTCGCACGCCCTCAACCTCGACCGCCTGCAGGACGACGCGCATCACACCTATGCCAAGGTACCGCCGCCGTGCTGTGTCGCAACCCCGAGCTCACCCTCTCGCACGCCCTCAACCTCGACCGCTGCAGGACGACGCGCATCACGCCTATGCCAAGGTACCGCCGCACAGTGGTCCGGATTTTTAAAATAGTGGACTTAGGATCAAAGTTGCAAATTTCAGCTATTAAAAAATTGTAATTAATAGTAAATTAAATGGTGATTAATATTGTTTGATACTATTTTTCAAGAAAATGACTCCTTCGTACTTTAAAAAAATATTTACGAAAAAAATGTATGGGAGAAAATCTATTTAATTTTTTTCTTGGTAGGGCTAGCAAAAGGTAGCAGTCAAACCTCATATGGTGGTTAGGGGCTATTAACTTTGACCGAACAACACCAAAATTTTGTGCGTATCCTTGCGGCCTTGGGGCCAGCGAAATTTTAAAGTTATTAATTTTCATACCTGTTCTTTCTCTACTTATTTTACGCGTTTTCAATTGAAAATATTTTTGAATGTCTTATTTAACAAAACAAATCTTAATAAGTTCGCAATTAGACATATTGCTGAAGTATTTTGTACTTAAACAAATTATGTATAGTCCAGTCAATGAAGGTTTTCACCTCCGATTTCGTTGAATCTCCATCGATTTTCATGAAAATTGGTAAGTAGGTGGGGGATACCTTAAGAAACATAAGTGACATATTGCCAACTTGCGTTTATGCCCTGGGAGTAGATGCCAACCCTTCTCGGGGGTGAAAATTATTTTAATAAAAACAACTCCAGAAATCGATAGTGAGACAGATTCTAAGCAAAATTTGTTATATAAAACTGAGGAGCTCGATGGCGCAGGTGGCTAGCGCGTTCGGCTGCGATCGTTGAAGTTAAGCAACTTTCGCAGTGGTCGGTCATTGGATGGGTGACCAAAAATTTACTATCTCGAGCTCCTCCGTGCTTCGGAAGGCACGTTAAGCCGTTGGTCCCGGCTGCATTTGCAGTCGTGAGCACCCACCAATCCGCACTGGGCCCGCGTGGTGGGTCATGGCCCAATCTCCCTATTCCATCCATAGGGAAGGCCTGTGCCCCAGCAGTGGGGACATTAATAGGCTGATGATGATGATGATGAAAGTTTTTAGAATAAATCAATACTTTCTGAGTTATTAAAGATCAAAGGTTGGTAATTTTCGTGATAAAAATACATGTTTTAAAGCGGTTTTTCATAAATAACTCAAAAACTATGAGTTTTTACAAAAAAAATATTATTACCAAAATTGAAGCTAATAAAAAATTAAACAAACCCCTTCTTTGAAAAACCTTCTAAAATTCATTCAAAGTGAGCTATAGGTTATTGTATGCACATTTTTTTCGGCGAGTACTTAAATCTAAGTATTCAAACCTAAATAACGGGAAACCGATGCATTTTATGACATATACTTACTGAACATTTGTTAAGGTCCTCAAAAATACCTTTCTAATGAGCACTGTAAAAAGTTAATAGCATCAAAATTGAGCAAGTTAAGATAAAAATAAGATCACCCGTTCGATTTTTTTTGGAAAAAACGAAAAATAAAACCTTCACAATTTCCAAACAAAATCAAATTTACGGTTATCCCCAAAAGGCTTTTTTTATTCTAGCATAAGTGATGACCTCAAAAATTTTGCCTGGTTAAAAGCCCTTATTTTTTAAAAGATAATGCGTTAAAGGGGCCCCGGTTACATGGTTCTCGCAGTAAAAGTTACGCTTTGAACGTCTCTATCGCAGTTATTTTACATTCTATAAAATAAAAACCAAAATCTTTGTTAAAAAAAGAACCGACATTTCGTCACTTACCATTTTTATGAATATCCAATATTTTTGAAATTATTTTCAAAAGAAAATGAAATTTACGAAAATATGAAAAATTTCGTTTTTATTAAATCATACTTTTTTTGAAAAATAAGCATTTTAAACCGGGCAAAATTTTTGAGGTCATCACTTATGCTAAAAATTAGGGATAACCATTAATTTGATTTTTTGTGGAAATAGAAAAGGTTTTATTTTTCGTTTTTCCAAAAAAAACGAGTGTCATCTTATTTTTATCATAACTTGCTCAATTTTAATACTTTTAACTTTTTACAGTGCTCATTAGAAAGGTATTTCCAAGGCATTTAAAAAGTGTTTAGGAAGTATATGCCATAAAATGCATCGGTTTCCCGTTATTTAGGTTTGAATACTTAGATTTAAGTATTCGCCGAAAAAAATGTGCATACAATAACCTATAGCTCACTTTGAATGAATTTTAGAAGGTTTTTCAAAGTAGGGGTTTGTTTAATTTTTTATTAGCTTCAATTTTGGTAATAATATTTTTTGAAGTTATACTTCTTTAGGCGCGTTATGAAAAAATGATGAGAGTGAAATTTTAAGATGCGCGCGCATCACTGTAACACAAAATTTTAACAGTTACTTTTGTGTTTACCGCACATTAAGAAAATCTACCAACAAAATAGAATCTCTATTTAGTGGGTGCTAACGACTGCATTGTGAAGGCCTATCAAAAGTATTTATTAATCTGGAACAACGGAACCAAAGCGCGATTCAGGAGGCTACAGCGCCATCTCTTGACCATTGGTGTAGTAGAACCAAAAACCACATCTTTATTTCTTGTAATAAAGTAACAGTTATAGGTATTCACATTTATAATATCAAAAGTATTTATTAATCTGGAACAACGTAACCAAAGCGCGATTCAGGAGACTACAGCGCCATCTCTTGACCATTGGTGTAGTAGAACCAAAAACCACATCTTTATTTTTTGTAATAAAGTAACAGTTATAGGTATTCATATTTATAATATTTATCCACATGTTTCTAGTTTGTATATTCGGAATACGTGTTTGAGTTTCATACAAGTGCAAATCACATATGTTCTAATAAATTATATTCAGTAGCGATTTTAATCGATCGATTAAATGCATCGGTTTCCCGTTATTTAGGTTTGAATACTTAGATTTAAGTACTTGCCGAAAAAAATGTGCATACAATAACCTATAGCTCACTTTGAATGAATTTTAGAAGGTTTTTCAAAGTAGGGGTTTGCTTAATTTTTTATTAGCTTCAATTTTGGTAATAATATTTTTTTTTGTAATAACTCATAGTTTTTGAGTTATTTATGAAAAACCGCTTTAAAACATGTATTTTTATCACGAAAATTACCAACCTTTGATCTTTAATAACTCAGAAAGTATTGATTTATTCTAAAAACTTTATTTAACAAATTTTGCTTAGAATCTGCCTCACTATCGATTTCTGGAGTTGTTTTTATTAAAATAATTTTCACCCCCGAGAAGGGTTGGCATCTACCCCCAGGGCATAAACGCAAGTTGGCAATATGTCACTTTTGTTTCTTAAGGTATCCCCCACCTACTCACCAATTTTCATGAAAATCTATGGAGATTCAACGAAATCGGAGGTGAAAACCTTTATTGACTATACTATACATAATTTGTTTAAGTACAAATTATTTCAGCAATATGTCTAATTGCGAACTTATTAAGATTTGTTTTGTTAAATAAGACATCCAAAAATATTTTTAATTGAAAACGCGTAAAATAAGTAGAGAAAGAACAGGTATGAAAATTAATAACTTTAAAATTTTGCTGGCCCCAGGGCCGCAAGGATACGCACAAAATTTTGGTGTTGTTCGGTCAAAGTTAATAGCCCCTAACCACCATATGAGGTTTGACTGCTACCTTTTGCTACCCTACCAAGAAAAAAAAATAGATTTTCTCCCATACATTTTTTTCGTCAATATTTTTTTAAAGTATGAAGGAGTCATTTTCTTGAAAAATAGTATCAAACAATATTAATCACCATTTAATTTACTATTAATTATTTTTTTTTAATAGCTGAAATTTGCAACTTTGATCCTAAGTCCACTATTTTAAAAATCCGGACCACTGTGCGCCGCCGTGCTGCGTCGCAACCCCGAGCTTACTCTCGACCTCAAACGTCTGCTGGACGGCGCGCACCACACCTGCGACAAGATACCGCCGCCGTATTGCGCTAATTACAACCTTGGCGCTTTCCAGAACATTCGATTGCACATCAGTACGAAAATTTGATACTGTGCTCTCGTCTGTTGCTGTACAGACTGTGTGCTCTTCATTAAGTTCGATCGTCTGTTACTGTCATTAGGAAGACACGTAGAGCCTTCCTGTCTGCATTTTATACCGATGCACATTCAGCTATTGTGATTGTTGTGATAACAGGACAGCGGCCTGGCGGAGGTGTCGGACGAGGCACTGAGCAACGCGCCGCCCGCAGTGTCGGTGGGGTACCTGGCGCGCGCGGTCGTCAACAGCGTGTTGCACGCCGCCGCCGCCCCACACTTCCTGCCGGCCGCTAGCTCATCGGCGCAACCTTCCTGCCTGCTATCATAACGCGCCATCTCTCGATGCGTCAACAACGCGCCATCTCTCGATGCGTCAACAACGCGCCATCTCTCGATGCGTCAACAACGCGCCGCCCGCAGTGTCGGTGGGGTACCTGGCGCGCGCGGTCGTCAACAGCGTACTGCACGCCGCCGCCGCCCCACACTTCCTGCCGGCCACTAGCTCGCCGGCGCAACCTTCCTGCCTACTCTCATAACGCGCCTGCTCACGATGCGTCAACAACGCGCCGCCCGCAGTGTCGGTGGGGTACCGTATAAACTCACTAAACTGTCGACAACGTACCTACTCATTTTTTTTTATATAATCGGGCAATCAGTTAGCTAAAGTTCATGATATTACCGAATGCCGATATAGGGTTGCAACAGCCACCAACCTGATAAAATTATCATCAAAGGAAAGTTTATTTTTTACCACAATAACACAACACTATCTTAACCAATCTTTTAAGTGGTGTTGTCTATGACTCCATGGAGGTTGGAGAGAAGTAGAACGATCGCTACGTACTAAAGCATTAGCCCGCTGGACCCTGAAAAGTTTTAAAAGGACAATGTTAAAATTGGCCTAAGAACCAACACCAATTTGGCATTTATGATAATTCTTAATATATTTTTTGGGATAATTATCAGTATTTAGATTGTGACGGACTTAAAAAGTTAAAAAATAATCTGAGACAATAAATACCATTTTATGTGTATAATCTATTACAGCGCTGCAAACAAAACACTATTCTTCCTAATGCCGGCACTTCACTTGGCTATTCGTATTTGCTGTTTTTTAACATGACATCAGTCTGTCCTTTTCATTCCTTATTAAGCATGACAAGGACAAACTGTTGTCAAGTGAAGGGCCGGCATAAAACTCGATACTCTGTGGTTGTGGTGCAAGCAGGCAGTTTGCATTCGTAGTAATCTGTGGCATGTGTGCATTCCAAAGGGTAGATTATTATACAAGACAGTGCATTCTCGTTTCATATTACCTGTTGTGTGTGTTTATTTGCGATTGTTTTTCCTATAATTTAACTATTTTGGCTATCTAATATGCCCTCGATGTTACCAAAGAGTTAACTTATTACCAAGTGCTAGTGAACCTGTGCCACAACATCCTGAGAGGATCATACTGCCAAATTATTCAAGAACACCTGATACACCTTCACGCTGCATATTTACACAATATACACGTGATATATAAATTAATACAATATGATACAATTATATGAAAAATAGTCAATAAATAAGAAGCATAACTACAGTTTTTATTTTATTCATGATTCCTACCTATCCAAGGTTTCTAATAGTTAAATTCTTTAAAATCGCACCGGATAAAATGAATTAGTTGTAATATTAATTCACTTCATACTAAGTTCATAGGTTGACCTATGTTTCATTGAATATTAAACATAACCTCAAAAAACATTTAGTTTTCCTAATAATTTAAGTTCTCAGAAGTGTCCGTCAATAATCTTTGTTTTTACAGTCATTTACTTACGATTTCGAACCTAGAAAATAATATTTCATGGTTTGGTATTGTTGGTTCTTAGGCTAACTATGTATGGACGCTGAACAATGTCCTTTATAGTTTCAGACACCAGCCGCGCTGCCGTCGGTAAGTAGTATGTGTGAAGTTAGCTGTTTATGAGTACAAGTACATGAAGTTAGTTGAATATTGTACAAATTTTCTTCGCGGCATTGGTCATTGCAAATTATCCCGCTTTTATTGAGACAACTTAGCGATCGCGGCGCTTCACTTATTTTGTCCATATTTCTAGGACACTATTTTCTACAGCGATCGTTCTCCTTATCTCTAACCTCCATGAGTAGGGGGATCGCGTCAAGGTAGGTAACGCATGTGTGATACTTAAGTTATGTATTGCTTATGTATGCTGGCCGTTTTATGACCTGCCCTTTAGTAAACCATAGCCTAGGATGTTTGCAATGTAAGATGGATGGATGGATGACGCCTACTCTTGACTCCTTTGATTACCCTGTAAAGCTCTGGGTATGATTTTGTAAACTATCATTTTTTGTGTTATTGTAGATACATTGTTAAAGTAATTTCCATAAATATATTTGTAAAATAGTAGAAAACCTATTTTGGCCAATATAAAATATTTGTGCCATTGTATTTGTATGTTAAGGCCATTTCAAATAGATGTTCCTCTTTCGGCAAATGATTGATTTGGTCTTTATTTTTTAATAAAATGTTGATATGATAAGTATGATTTTATTTTATACAAAACAATCACAATCATCCACATGTAACTTGTAAATCCTGGAATCACACAAACATTTGTTCATATCGCATTACTCAAATTCACTACTTAAAATAAATTATCTGGCAATGTGCACTATAGTCCATTGTATATTTTATTATTTGGTGACTGTTTGAGTATTTTCCGCAATGCTGAAACAAAAAATTGTATATAAGCAATATGTTAACTTCTTATAAATTTAAAATAGTAAGTTTAGTTTAAAAATAAACTCACCTTCTTTATCTTCATCGGTAAAGTCTTGTTTAGGGAAATCAATATCAAATGTGACATATAAATTACCGTGGAGGTTATTATTTTCGAAATTAGGCATGCCTTCACCCTTCTTACGAACACGTGCACCTGCCCATGTGACTTTATCCCGAGAAACTGTTACTTTATGTCCATCTAAGTGCATCAAGTCAAGTGTGAAACCTGTCAATGCATCCTGGAAAAAAAATTATTACGTATTAATTAAGACGCAAAGCAAAAATATGCTAAAAAACCTGACATCCTTTTTTAGCTGTAGCAAAGAGCATATTGCTACAGTTAACAGAAATTTTGGAATATGAATAATTATTATTTTTATACAAACCTGTAATGATATAGTGACATTAGTATACAGATCATCACCTCTTCGTGTGAACTGTGGATGTCTTTCAGTTCTGAAAACAATGACTAGATCTCCAGGCTCTCCATCTACATGGGGTTCACCTTCCCCTCTTAACCTAGATTTGTGACCGTCGGGAGCCCCAACTTCTACCTAAAATGTAAGAAAAATTATTACAGACAATATAATAACATACATTTGCAAATTCTAGAAAATCTACCTTTAATACTATCACATTTTGATAATACATTGTAACAAATTTTCTGATTTATCCTACTAATATGCATATAGTTTATGACCTGGATTGAGACATTTTTTTCCAGAAAAATGTTCGGTTCCTGTGTGATTTTATCAAAAAACTAAAGATAATCCAGAATAACTTGTGGGTGGCCACTAGTGCCTATAACAATAGCCCAAGCAAACTGATTTTTTTCTATTTTTATTTTCAAGTAGAAAGTTGGACTGGCAGCTTTCCTATAGTTTTGTGGTAACAATATGGGTTTCAGATAGGAATATATAACTGTTAATATGGTATTGCATCTATGATCTCTGCCAATCATAAGGAAAACATTAAATGTAGTTTTTTTTAAATATAATTACCTCGATTTCTAATAATCTTTCTTCATTAACAAACTTTACGTTTGGACATTCATCACAAACAGTCTGCTGCATCATTTGAAAGCGCCCTGGTCCAAGATTGCGAGTCACCATTTCTTGTCTGCAATTACATTTTCTTGTGCCCGAAGACGGTTTGATGACTGGTTTATTGCGAGTTATCTAAAAGTTGCAGAAAGTTATACTTCAATTTTGACAAATAGTAGAAACCGTAGTATGCAATCAGAGTTTAAGGGACTCCTATTCTGTACTTCCAGGGCCCAAGAGGTTATACTTGAATTTTTTTGTAGCAGGAAAGGTGTCTATTAACTAAGTTTTTGTTCTGGCGCCTCGGCGGTCGCTGCCGCGGCACGCTCGCTTTGATCGCTCGGCGCACGCGTTATGATCACAACACTAACCTAACCTACTGTGAAGGATCGCCACTTGGGCCCTGGAAGCACAGGTTACCCAAGCACTATCATAAGGAAACTACTTACTTCTATAAAGTTACCATTATAAAGTTCTTCTAATGAAACTGTTAGTTCCATCACAACATCCGCCCCTCTTGGAGTTTCATGTTGTTGAGGTTCACCACCAAAATGAAATCCAAAATCACCAAAGAAACTTGCGAAGGGATCATTATTGTTCATCATGCCATCTTTTTTGAGACAGTCTTCACCACAACGATCATACAGCTCGCGTTTTTCAGAGTCGGAAAGAGCTTCATATGCGGCACCAAGATCTTGAAATTTCTGTGAAGCATCAGGGTCGTCTTGGTTTTTATCTGGATGTAGAGCTTTTGCTAATTTTCTGTAAGCTTTTTTAATTTCATTCGTACTTGCTGAACGCGAAACACCTAATATAAGATAAAAGTCGCGACCGGCTAGTGTTAGAACCAGGGCTGAGGTAAAGTAAATTAAACATAAGACTGCAGTATTAGAGAACATATTTTCAAAATTGTAGGAACTTATACACTGAGGAAGTATTAATTTAAATTAATAGCAAAACTGAACTCCACACATTTCAACTCGACTTTTGACGTATGAAAGATTTGTCAAAATAGGCGTATTGAAAGCAAATTCGTCACACTGCAATTGGTTCACGTTTAACTACTACACAATCTAGACGAGAAGTACATACCATACATTAATGGAAATAAAGACTAAATTTGCTTAAATAAAAAATGACCAATAAGAAACAGCCTCGTACTGCACAATGTTGCCATTACCAAAAGAAAATCCATGTCTTTGAAGGCCAGCGGCTAGCTCAAGTCTTCTACGCACTATCCATCTTACTGGATCCAGCATGTGGGAGCAGGACAGCGCACAAAGGAGAGATCGTGGTGGTTTTCCAATTACAGAGCATAATGCGACTCAGTGGCGCACAATGCCGAATTATGCTGATGCTTAATTGGAACGTAAATTAGTTTTCAAATGCACCAGCAGAGTGCGCTAAGTTCAGTGTTGAAAAAAAAAGTCCATGTTTGTACCTTCATCCATATTTATATTTAATTTTTTAACACAGTTTGAATTAACTTTGATTATTTAAAAAAAAATATAGTGAAACGAAAGTTTTAATAATTTTTCAACAATAAATAATATTACTAACGATAACAAATAAAACATTTCGATCAATGCCAACTTAAAGAAAAAAAAATGGATGCGTGTAACTTATGTACGCGCGTGAAAAGTTATACTTCTTTAGCATCATTAAAAATATTTTTTAATTGCCTGCAAATAATTAATAATTACAATAAAATAATAAAAGGACTAGAAAAGGATAGTTAACACAGTCAATTAAGTTCAGTTTTAATTTGAAAAATTAAATAAATATTCAAAATATTCAATTAAAATTACTACTGAATTTAAGTTATTAGGCCATATGTAATTAGCACTTGTAAGTAACTAAAACACGTTGTGTCTATATAGAAACTAGAAACATGTGGATAAATATTATAAATATGAAAACAGTGATCAGAGGCGACGAGTGTGCCAACATTGTTTTTGACAACGCGATCATCTTATGGAGCTCCGTGGATTCAAAGTACCTTTCGAATAGATGTCTAATAATGGTGGATTATTAACCACTTAGTGGTTAATAACATTCATAACGCGCCCGCGGCCAACTTCATGGTGTTACTATTGTGTTACAGTGATGCGCGCGCATCTCGAAATTTCACTCACATGATTTTTTCATAACGCGCCCGCGGCCAACTTCATGCTGTTACTTTTGGGTTACAGTGATGCGCGCGCATCTAAAAATTTCACTCTCATCATTTTTTCATAACGCGCCTAAAGAAGTATAACTTCAAAAACACTTGTTAATTTTCTGTCTCTGAGTTGGTACGATTGCACGCATCACACGAAAGCATTACTTTTGAGAGTGCTCGATTGTGCGAAGAGTTGCTGTAGTTGAAACACTCAACGTTAAGCATTATGCCGCATAATGCTGTAATTGGAAAGCTACCCGTGTATTTCCATCGAATTTACGCTGTCTCGCATGCTGGATTAGAAAATGCATGCAGAAAAATAAAAAATCTATAAAAGTATTTGACTACTAAAATTGCTCGTTTTTAATGAGGAAAAGTATATCTTTATATATATAATTCTTCTGTGAGTGTGTATGTCACTGAACTTCTCTTAAACGACTGGACCGATTTTGATGAAATTTTTTGTGAGTGTTCAAGGGGATCTGAGAATGGTTTAGATTCACAATTTTTGTCCACTGGACAATGTTTTTTTAATTAATTTTTTTTTATGGCGGTACGAAGTTCGCTGGGTCAGCTAGTCTATTATTAATTTCGGTAAAGTAGACGTAAGAACTTAATTGTAGTACTAACTACAAATACCTCGCATACGCATAAGAAGAATGCTGACTGTATGGCCAAATACTTCAAGAAACATAACAATGAGCCACATTCCAATGTAAAAAAATGTATTAAAACGGGGTGACATGAACTTGTATCCTTTATTTTCCATTTCACGGTGAAAAACAAAAATGTCAACTGTCAGTTAAACAAAATGTCAAACCTACTTTGAAAAGTCATCATCGAGCTTGCTATATCACGGTCGTTTGCAAATTTGTCTCTAAACCGGTAAAATATACAGAAATGGCATCAGTTTTAGCTCCAGAAATATCTGCGCCTGGATTTTCTTTTGAAAATTGCCAACGGTGAGTACTTCTTGCTATAATGTTTATATTTTTGTTTCATCTGAAAATGTTGGTCATTTGTTTAATCTCAAATTTACAGTAATGCATTCCTTGCACAAAAAGGATTTCCCGCACCTAAAGCTACAAAAACTGGCACTACAATTGTGGGCATAATTTATGCTGATGGTGTTATCTTAGGAGCCGATACCAGAGCTACCGAAAACACTGTCGTGTCGGATAAAAATTGCCAAAAGATTCATTACTTAGCCGGTAACATGTACTGCTGCGGTGCTGGTACTGCAGCCGATACAGAAATGACAACCCAAACTGTGGCATCTCAGCTGGAGCTGCAACGTCTTCATACTGGACGTACAGTACCTGTAGAGACTGCTGCCACACTGCTTAAGCGCATGTTGTTCCGCTATCAAGGTCATATTGGAGCTGCTTTAGTGTTGGGTGGAGTTGATAGAACTGGTCCACACATTTATTGTATCTACCCCCATGGATCTGTTGACAAACTGCCATATGCTACAATGGGTATGTATATTGAATGAATAACTTATGATATAAGAACACTAAGTTGAAAGTACATAATAAAATTTATTTGTTAACTTTCCAGGTTCTGGTTCACTGGCTGCTATGGCTGTATTTGAATCCGGATGGAAACCTAATATGACTGAGGAAGAAGGAAAAAAACTTGTTCGTGATGCCATTGCAGCTGGTATCTTCAATGATCTGGGCTCTGGCTCTAATGTGGACTTATGTGTTATTCGTAATTCTGGCCCTGCTCAATATTTGAGAACTTATGAGGAGGCTAATGTGAAGGTATGGTTTATTAGTTGCAGTCAGATTGACATAATTTTAAAAGTTATATGATCTATTAAATTATGGCTTTAAAACTATTCCTCATTGCTGTAGAGGCTGTTGGTAGAACATGGAACCATGAGATATACTCTAGTATAAACTTCTCTGCATACTAATGCCATAGCCATACAAAATTTGATGTTCCCTATTTTTAAATAGATTTCAAGAACTTTCATTGGAAAAAATCATCCTAATGTTGCATGTGTGAAGCCAACGTTTCCAATGAATCACACCTATATATTCTATACTCTAAACCTGAGCGCTAAATTTAAAATAAATTGTAAACTTCATATACTCTCCCAGGATGGGCTGCCATTTCATTTTATATTATTTGTTCTTGATAGTTCATCATCATCATCAACAGCCTATCCTAGTCCACTGCTGGACATAGGCCTCTCCTATTGCACGCCACTCAATAGTTCACACCTCAATAAACCTTACTCTTGATAGATTTTAACCAGACTTTTTTTATCTTTCAGGGAAAAAAACAAGGTTCTTACAGATATGCCCTTGGTACTACTGCTGTGTTAAAACAGCGGGTCATCCCCCTTGAAGTTGAGTCAGTTGCAGTACATCCAGTGCAGCCTATGGAAGTGGAACCAACATCAAGCCGCTAGCCATTGTTTATAACTCAATAAAAATAAAAAACGTTTTTTTATATAATTTCTTTTATTTATTATAAATCAGGTAGAAACATTAATGGACGGAATTGTAAAAGTGTAGAAGATATAAAAAAATATTTTATAATAATAATTTACATTAACTATAAAACTAGCTGCACAATACTTACAAGAGCAGTAGCGTAACTCAGCCGTTTTCTTGAAATAGATACCTACGACTGAGCGGAGCGCTAGGGTTGGTACCTACAAAATGTAAAACATATTTGTGTAGATTTTTATTGTATGTGAATAGTTACTATTGCCACGTTACGGAATCAGACGGCGGGGGCAGCGCGGCGCAGTTAACTTAACTCTGCCAATGACCAATCTCGGCGGCGGCGGCGGCGGCGCGCGACGTTGCACTGCGTAGATTTGTCTTGTCAAGATTGGTTAGCGGCCGTTTAAATGACTTTTGTCTGTGTGCGTGTGTCGATTCGGGCGCTAGTATGAAGTCAGAGTACTGCTCTTGTATGTATTGTGCTAGCTGAGCATAATATTTTACAAAATGAGTCTTTTCAGTTAAAGTGCTTTAGAGTATAAATAATACATTAATAAATGACAAGATCACTAAAATGGCGATTTCAGTAAGGATCAGAGAGCTAATTGTCTTCTTATGATATGTTTCATACAGCATTCTTGCATCTAATAGAACTGATACCTCATTAAAAAGATTCTTAGCCTTTTTTATGAAGAATAAAATCCCAAGTATCCTTCCATCTGAGATTCATAAGGTCATTTTCAGTCAAGTCTGTTGTACCATAATTGAGAACACTGAATTTCTTAAAAGTAAGGACAACATAAGCCATCCAAATACAAATGCTTATGATAAATAAGTTAGTGAGTGGGCGTGATTTCTTACTTAACTGTAATATATAATAAATATGATCTGCAACAAAGGCCAACAGAAGTATTTTGAATATGTAAGCTGGTAAATAGTGATGTAGGAATAGTGTGCGGTCAATAAAGAAGTATGGAAGATAATGCAGCCAGTAACCCAGAAACAGAATGTATGCTGCGTCATAGAATTTCTGTGAGGCTTTTGGTGGTAGATCTAGACAAGCACGCCTCTGACGTAAAGCGTATACGATAAGCAGACTGCTGAACAAAAACACTGAGACTGTGCCAGTGTACCATGTCACTAGATTTCCAATCAAGTGTATTTGTGCCTGTTAACAAAAAAATACATAATTTGAATTGGATAGGTATGTATTATCACCGCACACAACAACTCACATAAAAATATCGATTCCTCAATATTGTAAAGCGTGAAACCAAACTGTGTACTCATGTACTGTATAAATAAAGTCTTTATCTTTTATCCTTTTCTTTAGCTACAAAATAGCCGATTGCTAATCGCTTCCTATTCGGTGTGATGGGACAAGTGCCTTCTTCACACAGTAACCTCTGAACCGATTAAGGTGGCAGAGTTGCGGGTACCCACTAGTGTGATAATAAAGTAAATTAATCAATAAATGTAAAGAAATTTTTACTAGAAAATAATCCACATAGTCCATACATCAGATATTATTCGAACCAGCACACTATCCGAGAAGCAGAGAATTAGTTCCCTCACTCGAAAACTATAATAATCCTCATACACCTGCGCGACGATAAATGAGACATGTCTAAACCGAATTAGATGAATTTTGTTATAAAGATAGTTTGGATCCCAGGTAATTTATCCCAGAATTCATGCTTAAGGGGGTTGAAGTTTGAATGGAAAACCAATTAAACAACACAGACGAAGTCGCGGGGATACAGTAGATAGTCAAAGAATATAATAAATTACGGTTTGAAAAAAATAAACGAGTGTGCTTAATGACCACACGACTTAAGTGAAACTTCTTTAGCTCCATCTGTATGTATAATATATATATTTGTGTGTACAATATATACATGTATGTACAAATGCATATTTTATTTACTAGCTATAAGAGAAAGAAAATGTGCACGCGCACTGCTTTCTCTTGCTTATATCCCTCACTCAACTCCCGTTCGCCTGGCCCGGACACACTTTTCGTAACGCGTAACGCATTCGCCAGCTTACCCCCCCAAGTGAAGCGTGCGTAAAGAATTTTCGCTTAAAAAAACCGGCCAAGTGCGAGTCGGACTCGCGCACCGACGGTTCCGTACAAACTCAATTTAATACCTCTACACGTTCGTGAGAAAAGAGGTAGTAACTTTAAAACTTTCTAAAATATTTTTTAATGATGCAACTAAAAATTTACGGTTTTCGCATTTTTTCCTTTATCAGTAGTATAAAACGTTACTTCGTACCAAATTTCAAGATTCTAAGTTCACGGGAAGTACCCTGTAGGTTTTGATTCCCGTGCGAGTTTCGAAAATTTGCAGCATAAACGGCTGTATCTTTTGATTCCTTTGGCTTAGAAGTTTGGTTTTTTCACAGCTCCAAAGGGAAAGTAGACATGAGTATTAGATATGAATTTCAGTTTGATACCTCCACGCGTTCCTGAGAAAAACGGTCTTGACAGACGGACGGACGGACAACAAAGTGATCCTATAAGGGTTCCGTTTTTTCCTTTTGAGGTACTGAACCCTAAAAAGCTTTGTTTAGAAACCTGATATCCTTACATTCGAGTTCGGTGATAGCCAGTAAGCTATAGAGCGAACTAGCAAAGGCCATTCCGCCGGCTCACTGGCGAACATGTGGCCGTGGGGCGCGTCCGGCGCGTGCGTTATCATTTTGTACTGTAACTCTGCAAATTTCTCCCAGAACGTCAATTGAGTTACCGTCGTAGGAATCATTTCAGCTGTGACAATTTCACGTTCTCTTTCCCTTCGATCTTCAGCTGAAACAAACAAAAATTATTTTTGTTTTTAATTTTTATACATTTAACTGCTAGGTGTTTAAATGTAAAGAAAAGTTTACTTGAAAAAAATCCACGCGAACCAGGCAGCAGACGGGACTCGGACCCTCACCCTTCGCTATCCGGGCGAGTGCTAAGACCATTATGCTACAATGCTAAGAGATGGCGCTGCCTTGCAGCCTCAGGCTAGAGAAAATTCAACACGGCCGTCAGGGCCGCGGTAGCATAATGGTCAGTGCATTCGCCCGGATAGCGAAAGGTGCGGGTTCGAGTCCAGTCTGCTGCCTGGTCCGCGTGGACTTTTATCTAGTAAACTTTTCAATTTTTTTTCCAACACACCAATTAGCCTAGCCCCAAAGTAAGCACTGTACGGCTTGTGTTATGGTATACTAGGGTAACGGATAGAATACATACATTGTACTTAAATAAGTATATTTATATAGAAATACATATTAAATATCCATGACTGGAATACAAATGCTCGTATTCATCACATAAACATCTGCCCCCACCGGGATTCGAACCCGGGAACCCTCTCGAGTCGGCGACACCCTGAAACCCGAAGTACAAACCACTCGGCCACGGCGGTCGTCAAACAATGTAAAGATACAGAAAACGATGGTACCTAGGTACTCATAGGCTAAGAACTGACCTCACGACGCGGGACCGCAACCCGCATAGAATATGAAATTGCAGGTAAAACGCAAAGCAAATTTCTATTTCCCGCAATGATATTAAATACCCTAGATACACGACGTGGGCTCAAAATCTATCCCAATCAAGAAGTGCTTGAACACCACTCAAGCACTTCTTGGTTCACAGTCACGCGCGGACCGTTGAAAAGTCAAGTTGCCGCAGAGCTCCGTGAAAAAATGCGCAAAAATTCTTATAGAACGTCGTTTTTCGACAGGTATCTTATCAATGTTTAATAATTTATCGCATTTGAACTAAATTTTGTTTTAATATAGGTACATAGTATATAAACTGATTTAATAGAAAATATTAATGTGATATTCAATGGTCGCATGGTCGGTAATATAGCCGTCTCTTTTCCTCGCGGTCCGTACCTGCTATATTGCTAACAGCGCATTCAGAATAGCGCGGAGTCAAAGAAATAAGGTCTATATTCTTTCGCATATAGCAATAAGTCGTAAAATTTTACGAGCTTGCATTTCGAACTGTCATTTCTCTTTAACGCATGCGTTTTTATTAAGACCTTAAGGAGTATGCATTAAAGGTGACTTTCAATGTTAAAATAATGCCTAAATTGATTTGACAATGCGATCATTATACGGAGCCCCGTGGATCGTCCAATGTACCTCTTGGACAGGTTTCGGGCACGATTTTGTTTGTGTTGGTGTATCTAGGATTCTAGGGTATTTAATATCGTTGATTTCCCGCAGCCGCGGCGGGTTTCGCCCAATCTTGTAGTCGCGGCGGCTGTGGGATCGCAAAAACCGAGGTCTCGTGAGTTTTGAAATAAAACAGTCGCGGCAGGTGCGGTGAAAATCAATCGCTTCGCGAGTTCTTAGCTATAAAGTTAAAAGTGTACCTATTGTAACTTCGTCGTGTCATTCGTTATATCGCCTAATCTGAAGTCCTGAGGTTTGAATCCTTAAGTTATATTAGCTGTTTATATTTATTTCTACTAAAATAAACTTCTATAATGAATTTTATTATTACATATTACCCTAGTATTTTTTTATAGCGAGGTAGGCAAATGACTCTGTCCCACCTGATGTTAAGTGGTGATAAAGTCCAAACGCGAAGATAGCTGGTACAGCAGTTATAAACTGCTACACCAACCATCCTCACCTTGCCGGCCTGCAAAAATGCTTCTTCACGCCTCTCTTAGTATACTAAAACACAAGATTTACAGTGTTAACTTTGAAAAGAAAGTGAACTTTATGAGTGCTCTAGATGACGCGACAGTATCGTTCCATCGCTAGGATTTCCTGTAGTTAGTTGGGATCATGACTAATGTGTTCAATATACACTTCTGGACACATCTATTGGCCCACCTTGTATTTTCAGTTTCGTTTGGTCCTAGCTAAAATTTTATATTAGGTCGAGCAAAAAGTTTTTATGCAGTTTTGAACCTGGCACATTCACAATTTCATTCAATAGTCTTTTTTTAATTTCGAACACAGAATTTAAAGAAGCAAAAGACAATTTGGAGCCTGTTTGTTGATATCAAACAATCGAATACTAAGAAAACTTGGTTTTATTGGTTTACTAGGATTTAATTCTTGAAAAAGTGATTGATATCTTTGGTTTCGCAACAAACATTACTTATGCTTAACATTAAGGTGAGGTTCTATCAATAATCTATGAATACTTCACCTGAAGTCGCCGCCCAAGCTGTGGCACTTATTCAGGCCGGACACAGCCAAAGAAACGTGAGTGCTCAACTTAATTTAAGTCGATCTGCGGTCCGAAATGTTTATCGGAGGTACCTAGAGACTGGCGGCTTTGTTCGTCGCCAAGGAAGGCCACGATCTCGGGTCACAACTGAAAGGCAGGATCGATTCATCGTGACGACCAGCTTGAGAAATCGTCACCTTACCTCCATTGAGATACAAAAACAAATTCGCGACTTCCACGGAGTATCTGTGAGCGCTCGAACTGTTCGGAGAAGGTTAAAAGAACGCGATATGGTACCACACAAGCCAGCTAATGGGCCCAAACTAACGCGAGCCCACCGAACAGCGCGCCTTCATTTTGCACGCAGTCATTTAAATTGGACACAGCAAGATTGGAGCCGTGTACTCTTTTCTGATGAATCTAAAATTGTGTTACATGGCAATGATGGAAGGAAGTAGGTCTACCGACGTAAGGGAGAGCGTTTCGCACAATGCTGCTTTGAAGAGAGGGTTGCTTATGGCGGTGGCTCATGGACTGTCTGGGGCGGTATATCCGCGAGCGGCAAAACTCAACTGGAGGTTGTTACAGGACCACGGCTGCCAACATTAAATGCTGAAAAGTACATTCGTGAGTGCTTAGAACCTCACGTGATACCATACGCGGACTATGTGGGCCCAAATTTCCTTTTTATGCATGATAATGCAAGAGCCCATGCGGCCGGCATCGTTAGGGAATATCTTCGGGATGTGAACATCACAGTTATGGACTGGCCAGCCAGAAGCCCAGACATGAACCCCATTGAGCACATGTGGGACGAGCTAAAAAGACGTGTTAGGGCTCGTCAGCCAGTTGCCCAGACGATGCAGGAGTTGAAAACTGCCATAGAAGAGGAATGGGAGATGATCCCTCAAATTTTCATAGAGCGGTTGATAAACTCTATGCCTAATCGTATAAGAGCTGTGGTAGATGCCCATGGAGGCAACACGCGTTATTAAATTAAACCTTTATTTGATAAAACATGTTTTTTATTCAAAAATCAATTGCCTTTAACAAGGCGCATATCCGACTTGTTAGGCGTAGCTCCATGTCGTATGGTATTCTGAATTCAAATTTAAAACAATACGATCGAAAAAGATGGTAAAATGTATCAGGTTTAAAACTGCATCAACAGTTTTTGTTCAATCTAGTAATCATATTTCGGTAGGGGCCATCGAAACCTAAACTCTAAGGTGGGCCAATAGATGTGTCTATTTCTATCTACGCAGAAAGTTACTAAGTAAAATTTAAAGTTACTATCTATACGCAAAGTTGTAGCCTCAGCTATAAAGTCTACTAAAACAAACCTTTAGTGTAACGATGTTCTTCGACGTTCCAAACAGTGTCTTGATGAGTCAGGATTTTATCGGCAACAACTTCATGTTGGTGAAAGCCCCAAGACGGGAGCTGCCGTCCACTGAACTTTAGGGCTGATCCCGAGTCGACGTGCACAAGTCGGACCATGGAGCGAATGCTGTCCCATGTGGCGTCTTCGCTGTCTCTATTCACAATGTCGACTCGCCAAAGGTTCTGGGCTGGCATCGACACGTTGTAATCGATGTAGCAAGATACTTCCTGTAATAAAATATTAAGTTATTATTTTTGAAGTAAAACTTCTTTACGCACGCTTGACTTGGGGAGTAAGCTGGCGAACGCGTTACGAAAACTGTGTTCGGGCAAGGCGAACGGGAGTTGATTGGGGGATATAAGCCAGAGAAAGCAGTGCGCGCGCACATTTTCTTTCTCTTATAGCTAGTAAATTAAATATGTATATGTACATATTGTGCACTCACATATATATATACATACATACAGATGGAGCTAAAAAGTTTCACTTCAGTCGTGTGGACATAAGCACACTCGGTTCTTTTAATATCAAAGGGTGGCAAACAAGTATATGATCCGCCTAATGGTAAGCGACACCATAGCCTAGACGCTTGCGATATCATAAATATTACTCACGCCGTAGCCTACCCTGAACCAATCCCCTTCCCCGTGGAGAACAGATTAACACATTTTCTGTCCTTAATTTTAAATCACATCATCTAAAGTTTTGATTGGATATCTGGGATATACATAATTTATGTATTCAAAATCCTAAAATAGAAATATAAAATTTGTAGCAATTATCAAATGTGCAGGTGCAGTTTTACTAAGAGCCAAAATCCCTCCATTTATGCGGAGTTTCGAAAACTATTGTTTTATATCTAAAAAAATTTTTTACTAAAAGATAAACGGTAGACGATAGACTAGCGGTTAAAGGTTTAAAAGTATAATAAACTATATGTTCTGAAAAAAGGCACAGTCATAATTTTTCATTTTTCTCTGACGCGCATCTGCATCTCTGGCAACATCAAAAAACCCACCCGGTACTGGAGCGGCGACATCATGCGAGTTTAGCACCCGACTTGTGATGTTGCGTAGCTGTTCCACAACGTCACGTTGACGTACGGCGTTTGGTGGATCCGCCATGGACAATGAGATCTGGTGGGTACGCTAGACAATACTTCACACAACACCCACCTGTGACTGCGGCGATACTGGAGCGGCGACATCGTGCGAGTTGAGTGCCCGACTAGTGATGCCGTGTAGCAGTTGCACCACGTCGCCGTGACGTACGGCGTCTGGTGGATGCGCTACGGACAACGAGACCTGGTCAGGCCGCTTCACTATCCACCAGTTATTCACATCTTTGAAGCTATAGCACGTCACTTGCTGTTGGTGCGACGATCCGCGCCCATCCGTATACCGAACCGGGTACACGTGCGCGTGTGAATGTAGCCAACATGTCCGTCCGTGGGTGTGCCTGCAATACAAACAATAGGCTATTTCACAGTGTAAAAAATAATATACCTACCAATTATTCGTATATTTAATATAAATAAATATCTGCCTATATTTATATTATATAGATTTCACTATTCTGAAAAAATAAATATTCTATAAAATCATTATCATTATAGAAATGATATTTTGGCCATGGTCACGTGACCAAAAATGCCTGTTATTGGCCAATACTAAAATGACGTCACACGCTAGTAAACTTCCGGCTAAAGTGATGTCACAGTATTGTATCGTTTCACGTTTTAATGACAGTCATGTGACGTCACACACTAGTGAGACGCCATAATGTCCAGAAAAACGTTTTCGCGGCAACTTGAAAATTGAATTTAGTTTTTTTTTACCCAATTACACAACAAAATTTAAAAAAAACCCTACTCTTTAAACATTAGTAAAAACATGAGATCGTTTTCTAAAACTCTTCAAATACTCTATTCTCAAACCCCAATCAACATTTGAAATATAAAGTATCATTACAGTCATTCATCATTAAAGTATTATCACAAAGAAGGATTTATCAATAGAAGCACCATTGGCGGTCCTCAAAATAATTATTTACCTTAACGTAATTTGAGATCCATGTGCCACATGAAGAGGTTGGCCTCGTGTGATACTAGCGAGACCACCTTGTAAAGATGCCTGGAATGCGCTCGTCATCACGCTATCATGGGGACCTGCTTTAGGCAGCATGGTCAAGTGTGCATAAAATACTCCGACATATACAGACAGCGGTAAAACAAATAGTATCGCCAAACGCCACAAACTCGATAGAATTAAGAATAAACCGGACTTCGGTATACTCATCTGGCGCCATACTTGTCGGCCGACTAAAAAAAGTGCCAAAAAATATGTGTAGACGCCTGAATATTTCACTCTGTAACAAAGAATTGATAAGGTATAGTATTAAGTACTTGGAATATTATAAGATCGAATTCTATGTACCAAATAAGATAAATTAGATAATTTGTGGAACATTAAGATGAAGCAAAGCAGCAAAATTAAATAACCAACTATTAACAGCATTAATTTATTGCATCACTACACTAGTGAGTGCCTGAATAATTGTTTGAGCATCTCAAACTGACATATGGCATGAGTATCGAATTTTGTATTGCCACAAGTGGTGGTGATGTAACTAACCCAAGGATGGACCACCTGCATGTTCAGTATGATTTTAAGGCTATGGAAAAACCAGGGCTATTTTTATCTATCAAGATATATATAGTTGTATTTTATTAAGACCTATCTAGCACTTCAACAGAGTAGGTGTAAGAGTGTATAAAAGATAACAATTAATTAATTGCCGAATTCGGTCGAAACTGAAGTAAACATGCTGGCATCTAGGTAGCCTTGTATGCGAAGTGCTAGACGAATTCGTGGCTAGTCTGAATAGAGTGCAACACTACTTTTACCCTCTCAGTATGCACCCTGGAGACTTCGATTCTCCGAGTGCGTGTTATGTGACAGGTGCAAGAGTATTACCTTATTTCTAGCGCCATTCGGCCAGCCTTAGCCCTGGACGAAATGAGCAAAAGGCTCGCATAACCTCATCGCACTTCTCCCGTGGTAGGTGTCATGCCTATCCCAGACACTTTTGATGGAAGCAATAATATGTAGCGATGTTTCACTTACTATGCATGCAAAGTGTAGTGGATGCAATAATGGTCTAGATTCTAGCAAGATTCTCTAAACCTAAAATTAAATTAGACAACAGTGTATCCTTGTAATTCTCTATACAGAATGGAAAGGGGAGATTGTGTGTTACCCATAATGCGAAGAGATGGCGCTGCCTTGCAGCTTAAGAATGGCTGGAGGAATTTCGACGCGGTCCGTGAGGGCCGCGGTAGCATAATTGGAAAAGAAAGAGTTAAATTTAGTTTTAAGTTTAGTGAATCATGCTTACTATCAACACCATTGTGGCATATTTTTATTATACTTATATTATTTTTACTCTGACCACTCACCTAGACAGAGGAAATGTGTAAAGCTGATATGAATGCATGATATAATATTACTTACGAAAAACAACATCCAAGAGATAAAGCTCCAATACAAAGCCAAATCACACTAGCAGCATCAGTTTTGCGGGTACTCTTTATAACACACAAAAGCCCACACAGACCAAACAATATTTGAATGCTTTCCAGTAGCATAAATCTAGACTGTGCCAGGAAACAATTTTCTAAAAATTACACAGATCAAAAAAATTAAACAATCAAATTACAGTCAGGTACATATTAATTGGAAACACTGGTTGGCAAAAAAAAATATAAATCAAGGAGCAAAATTTTTACTATGTGATTTCTATTGGTTTTGATTTATTTTCATCACGTGTGCAATGACTTGGTGGAACCTTTCACCATGCTCTTCAGACATGACACCAATAGATTTTCTGCGGAAAAGATCTAAACGGGAATGCAAAAACTTTTTTTTTAAATTGCTTTCCATCAGGCGAGATTGTGGTCAAACGCTTTGCTTATTCAGCATGAAAAATGATGATCTTCCAAGTTGATGATATGACAAATCATGACGAAGATGATCAGCTCTGTGTCATTTTCAGACTCTTTATTGCCAAGAAAATTGCAGTCTACATTTTTCTTGGCTTCCCATGCTCTACTTCCTTAACTGTCAACTTTGATTTGAACAGTTGGTCTTTTAAGATTTGTCTTAAAATAAAAATAAATATAATTTTTTTTCCTTTGAAAATGCCTTAATTTGCTTTGAAGGTCAGTTACAGAAAATAAACCCCCCTTAACCCTATCTTTATTTGGACTTGTTTTAAAGTTTAATGTCTCAGGAAGTTTTTAAAAAGACTTTGAACTCCAAATCCCCCCATTTACATTTTTTTTGATATTTTGAAAATTTGTGTGTACTGAGCTCAAATCGTAATTTAGAACTTTCGAACAAATTCTAAGTGAATTCTGCAATGCCTAGATAAGTTTTAGGGTGCTAGGTTAGACTATGTTAGTCAATTATCACAAAAAAACTGAACCAGAAACGTCCAACAGAATGAGAAAAAAATCGAAAACTGATGTTAGGGGAAAATTACGAAAAAAATTATTATAACTCGAAAACTACGCAAAATCGTAGAACATACATGGGAGTGATTTGGATACTCCTCATCATAAGGTATCTAAATTTTACGCTTGAACGTCAACTCTCCGGCCACCCTGTATGTATTATGTAAAAAAATATTTTTTGCTTTTATTTTGATGCCAACCAGTGTAATTAATGTATTCAATGAGTACTAGTAGCAGAAGTAATTATTACTTGTCCTAAAATTAAAGTTTCTAAGCGTTAACTGGACTGTCATAGTGACCAAAACAATCATAACACTAGCTGAAAATTAAGCAAAGGCCCAGAGAAGGGGTTAGTGAAAGCAAACAGGTCAAAATTACTCTGTTTTGTTTGGTTTCAACAGTTACCAACACCAACCAACAAAACAGATGCATTTATGTTACAGCTTCTTAATTAACAAACCACATTCAGGTGCAATAGTGAAAATGTAAACTGAATTTTTCTTTTTATGACAAATAATGCTTCATCACTTTTTTTTCACAAACCAAAAATATATATAGTAGAAGTCAATTATTTACTTTATGAAATATTACAGTATGAAAGATGTAGTTCAATTATTAAATAGGTTAAATAGCTGCATGAAAAAAAATTGTTACTTCAGACATTATAACTCCAGTTTTAAAATTCATCACTTACCAAATAAAACAAGGAGTGCTGCTAGTATGGCAGTCCACTGGTAACATGATAACTCTAACATAAGTCGATATGTCACAGATACAAGTAGACTCCCCGCAACTGCTGGTATTAACCTTAAGGCCCTGATTGGCACATTCTCAGTGTATGGTGTTCCAATTCTGTCAAAAGTGAAGTTGCCATCATATCCAGCAATACGACCAGCCAAGAAGAGTAATTGCTTCCCCAGCGGTGGGTGGGCATCAAAGAAGAAAACTCCTTTTGTATATAAAGATACATAACGGCCATAATGCAACTCGTCAAAGCTGAAATTTTATGCTTCTGTAAAATACACATCTTAACATGAATAAATATTATAAAAAGTAGATAAATAATGTTCATTACTTACACAATAAAATTTGGTTCATTTAAATTATATAATCTAGTAATTAAAGCAACTATTAGTAGACTTGCACAGACTAAATCAATTTCCAGGCGTAGATATAGACTAGTTGGTGGTTTGATATTTTCTTCCATTGCATTATCTTTTTTAGAACACATATCTTTCTCTTTTGAATCTCCAATGTACTGTAATTTTAAGCATTATATTCAATATAAAAAAAAATATCCAACTTTTTTAACAGGATATAAATAGGATCGGACAGTTGTTATAACAGTTGTTATAACTGTTCTGCTTTAAATGGGTTAAAATTTAAAATTCTATAGAAAGCATTTTAAAGCCATAAGATTATAATAGACTTAAACAACAGACAGTTAAAATGCTATTAATTGTCTTAGAGAAGAAATCTTTAAGTGCTCTAGAGTTTACACCTGAAAGTTGTATCATCATTCAGGTGTGAAGAGGAAGTGGATTTATAATTGCTTACTGTCTATATGTGTCTAATTAATAATGTTCTTAAATGATGTGGAATGACAACAAGTTTGATGCCTTATATGATGATTTTGGCTTATGATAGAACTAAACCTGAGCCCTACTTTAAATTATTCTAACACAAATTAAGGTTTATAACATTATCATTATCCAGCATTTATTCAAAGATTTCAGCAGTGATTAAAAGCATAAGGATAAGTATGAATTACATGTGATTTTATCTCATGGTATTACTTTACAATGTTTAACGTTTTATTGAGAGAATTCCTGTGGTGATTGTAGTTGATCTGAACTTCTAACCTCATCAGGAGTCGTTTTGTCATTCTTAGTCAAGTATCCATCCTTGGTAACGAACTCAAAGTACATTATAGCACAGCAAAACACTTTATTTGAAAAAAATCAATGTCTTCTTCTTTCTTACTTATTCATTTGAATTCGTAAAAGTAAAAGTTTATTGACGTTTCCAAATAATAACTGTACTAGGGGCCCCATTCTAGCATTATCCATATGACCTAAAATTATTAAATTTGACAACAGTGTATCCTTATCAAGCTTTATAAAGAATGAAAAGGAGAGACTATTGTCAAATTTAGTTTTAATTTAAGAGAAATTAGTTTTTTTTTTCTTTTTGTGGCAAGCACGGTTTGTGCGTTCAGCCAGTGTCAAGTAAAAAATCAAGAAACGGTATAGGAAAAAAGGAATCGGATATATTACGAAAGGAGGATCAGGATTGTAAAAATAAATGTGTACACGAAATTTTAACGTTCATGCGTCATATTTTGATTATCTCGCCTACAGGAAGAGTGATTTTTTATTTAATTTCTTCAGGAGTCAATAGTCAATCATTTATTGCAAACTAAGTAACCAATCATGTGGAACTCCACGCACAAGACCCATTCGGGTTATGTTGAAAGAAGGAAGAAAATCTTTATAATTATTGTCATATAATCTCGTATTACTTGTCTTAAGAAATAATTAGCACCTTCAAAATTTATTAAAGGCATTCGGTTTCTTCAAATTTTTTTAACACTGCCATCTACTATGGATTGAAAGTTATGTTTTTTTAAGAAAGTAACCAAAATTCACGGGGTGTAGCTCACGCTGGATATGCACAATGTATGGAGGGAAATTATTTTTGTCATCAAATTTACTGCTATTCAAAGGAATATTCATATCAGACTGAGGCTTTTTTTTTTAAGCAGTGATAAAGTCCAAACGCGAATATAGCTTGTTCATCAGTTATAAACTGTTACACCAACCATTCTCACCTTGCCGGCTTGCAAAAATGCTTCTTCACGCCACTTTTAAAGGACCCCAGATTGTAGGAAGAAGTTAAAATGTTATTTGCTTGCCATAACCCACCACGCGGCCTAGTGCGGATTGGTGGGTGTAAACGACTGCAGACGCAGCCGGGACCCACGGATTGGGGTACAGAATTAGGGATCGTTTGTTTATTATTAATAATTGCAGACTCGATAGAACTTGTAGAATTTACACAAAGACATTCTACATTCTTTTCCCACCATTTTGTTTTTCCGCTTTTCCTTATTACAAGTTTTACATATTTTAACAGATTTACTCTTTTACCTAGTCGGCGGAGCAGTCCAATTTATAATAGTATCGACTGTTTAGTTAGTATCTACAGTCGATCCACCTTGACTCATAACAGTAACATTCTAAGCGACCGAGGGAACCGCAAATTGTTCTTTATTAGAAACGCATCCCCCTGGGTCAGGGGGTTCGTTCATTGTAAATATTATTTTATGACTTACCAGCCAATGAAGTAACTATAAATACACAATTAAATATAACTGCGCTTCTCAATAGGTTGAAGAAACTAATAAATTTTAATAAAATTAATTTCAAAAGCTAGAAACGCCCCCGCTTATTTCCCCTTTTCCCGCCTTTTTAAACCTATATTTTAATAATTTTCATCCTTAACAAGAAGACAAAGGATACTAATCCCAGACAGCCTTGTTTTTATTTTTACATTATTAGAGGGTGAAATGATTGTGATGTATTGAAAATTTTTTTTCATTGAAAATTTTCTCGGAGTGATTGACACAAAATATGACATTTTTCACGATAAGCTTTTGTGAAGAAATCAGCATTACAGTCAAGTCACGTGCACTTAAGTAAAAGAACGTATAAATATTTTTAAGATGCTACTAATACTTCATTTGCTCAGATGGTTGAAGTTGTAATCACATACATATAAAAGTATTATATGTCTGTGATTGTAATACAAATCAATTAAACATAGCATACTTTAAAGCGCAATAATATATATATATATGTAATAATATAGTCGTTAGAGGTGTCGATTCTGACATGATTCTCTAAAGCTAAACTTAAATTTAACAACAGTGTATCCTTTTCAGTTTCTAAACGGAGTGAAAAAGCGAGACTGATTTTAAATTTAGTTTTAAGTTTAGAGAATCATGCCAGAATCGACCCCAACTTAATGTCAAACATAATAACTGCACGGAGTGGAAGTTGGACTGTACCTCAATCCAATCAGTTAATGACATCAATTTCTATCAATAGTCAATACCGTAGGTCAATAGTTCAATACCTATCATCAATCATAATAAAGTAACTGTCATCAATTTAGTAATGTTGCTGTGTCCCATCCTCTCCCAAAGAATTTTTAAATTTAAATGATGGCAGATTCCAATAATTTAATAGTATGTCCAGTGTGTAATCGCGAATTCAAGAAAGAAGTTATTGAGGAACATGTGAATAAATGTTTGTTTCTAAATGCTTCGGGGCAAAGTGCCTCAAAAAGAGAGTTGGCAAACTCTGATAGTACAACTACTGTTACACTTCCAAAAAGAAGAAAATTAAATTCGACTTCAACTGGTTGCCCAATAGTAGAACAAAAAGTAAGCCAAGTACTTACTTACTTAGACAAACCGATATTTCGGTTCGGTGTGGTGTCAAATTTATTTATTCATCATAACTTACAATTTCTGATTAAACTTTTAATGAAAACCATAATATGCACCTGGGCCCTGATAAGGGCTTTTAATAGTTTGTTCTTAAAAGGTTTTTTTTTTTTACATTATTTATTATTTACAGTCACTGGTCGACTATCGGATCAGAGGGCGGGCTAATCGCCATCGCCTGCTCCGCCGGCCCCCATGTCTAATAGAGCCCTCGTGGGCTTTCGCTTCCCAGACTCTAACGGCCGCCTCCTTCTGTGTGACCACCGCCTCACAGAAGGAGGCCAGGGCCTCCCATGACCTGTCACTGCCCGGCATAGCTTTGACTATACTGGGCAGGGAGAGGTCCGATCCCACCACCCCCGTCAATCAACGGCGCTGCTCAGTCCATGCAGTGCACACCTGTAGTGTGTGCTGTGCAGTGTCCTTAGCAGCACCGCACTCAGAGCCGGACTGTGAGTTAAGGGGGCCCTGGGCTAATACTATTTAGGGGCCCACCTACTTACACAAAAAAAAATTCTTTCTTTAGTGAATCACTTGTTCAGCAAGACATCTACTTTGATTTTATAATATCTACTATATATATAGAAATTCAGCGATATTTGCCTGTCTGAATTTCCGATCTCCTTACTTTAATAAAAGTATGGATTCTTTCGCATTATCGTCTATTTTTGGCTTTGACTTGACTTAGCTGGGGGCCCCTTGAATCCACGGGGCCCTGGGCTGAAGCCCAAAAAGCCATATGGTAGATCCGGCCCTGACCTCACTCATGACATTCTGGTGTCTCCTCCCTCCTCATCCGGTTCAGGTACTTACGAAAGCACCAGCCGGAAGGTAAGTGACCCCCAATTCCTCTTCACCCAAGCCTCAGCACCGGCCTTATCGCCTCCACATTCTAATGCCCTGCTATGGGCTCTGCCAAGCGTTCCTCCCAGAGCTCCATCGTGAGCTTCTCTGCCTCCCTCCTAATCCTGGCCATTTCTTCAGCGGTGACCCTCTCCCCTCTCTCTCTTGCCGAGATCCTCTCACGTTATACAGTTGCCAGGATCTGGGCTCCCAGATCCCAGGGGGGCATCGAGGCAAGGGCTGAGCGCCATAGCACGCTGGGGCCTTCTTAGTTTTGCATTGTTGACGGTGGTCAGAGCATCTGCCCACACTGGCGCTCCATATAGAACCATGACCATGTAAAGTCTTCGGCAACTTGCGTCGGAACCGCCAATGTTTGTCATTTTGACTCTCACAGCTTTAATTGGGGACCGAAGCGCCACTTAGACGCGATCTCTAGCCCCAGATATTTTATGTGCTGTTTGCTCATCATTTGCCCGTCCACCATTATCCCAACTTCTGGCGGCGGTCTAGCCCTCCTTCCGTAAAACATTACCACTTCCGTCTTGGCCACTCCTACCTCCAGACCCAGTTAGCTAATCCTTCCAATGACCAAATTGGCCCTCACTGTAGCTAGTCGACTGTTATCCTCGTAGGATCGGCCACGGGCTGTGCACCCACATAAACCACCTTCGTCGTCGGAAGTCTCCACTATCATTTTATGGTACCCCAGTAACCGATACCGCAGGGCATCCTTGATGGCTTCGAAAGGAAAAAAAGAGGTGGGGTAAAAAGGGTGTTAAAAGCGTTTTTGACGTCAGCTGAAACCGTAATCACCCTTTCCTGCCAATGCCCTGTTCGCAACCGCAGTAAGCGGCTGGCCACACTAAGCAGCCCGCCGAGTAACACTCAGCCATATCAGGCCCCATCCTCTCCTTACTCCAGGATTCTGCTGCGTTGCCCAGGATGCACTACGAAGAGGTGTTCTGATATCACACCCCTATACGGAAGGCGTATAGGATGTGCCTTAGCAAATGGGGACAATATTAATAGGCTCATGATAATGATGTACAAAAGTCCCATTAAGTAAGACTTCATCATCATCATCATCAGCCTATTAATGACCCTACTGCTGGACCGCAGACCTTCCCTATGGATGGAATAGGGAGATTTCATTGATGGACACCTTGACATATCATTATTTTTTGAATAATTATTCTTTCATAGACTTCTTTATATCAAGTAATGTAAAATTATTTTAGGAATCTATTGAAGTTGTTAACTCTTCTCAAAAACATCATGCAACTGTAAATAGAATGAATAAAATAACAGTCCCTTTAGCTGAACAAATGAGACCACTCCTATTGGATGATATTATTGGGCATATAGATTCATTTGGAAGAGGAACAATGTTGAGGTCAATGCTAGAGCAGAGAAAAATTCCTAACATGATCTTATGGGGACCTCCTGGTTGTGGAAAGGTAGGATAATTGGATTCACAAGTTATTACCGAATTGTAATTTTATTTAAATCAATGAAAATATTTTATCTGTCATTGAATAGAATCATTACAATTTGGCATTTTCCACATAGTCAACACACTTTTCCGGCTAGCTCAAAGCACTAAGCAAAGTAAATTAAACATGTCCATGTATATTAAATAAAAACATTATGAAACTTACAGAGAAATAAATACATTTTGTTTTTAGACCTCTCTAGCCAATGTAATTGCAAACATATGCAAAGAAAGTAAAACTATGAGGTTTGTTAAGATGTCTGCTACAATGGCTGGTATTAATGATGTGAAGGAGATAGTAAAAATTGCTAAGAATGAGGCGCAATTCAAAAAGCAAACTATCCTTTTCATGGATGAAATACACAGGTAGTTATTATAAATCTAAATGTACTTCTTTCTATTATATACAGGGTGTTACAAAAATACAAATAAAGCTTGAATGGTATTGACGTACATTATATAAGGAGTTTTCTCTAATTTTCTTAAAATATTTGCGTGAAGTTTTAACTTAACTTTATATAAAAACTATTAACTTTTTATAAAAACAGTTATTTTTAATCATTAATAAAATAATCGGTCATTTTAAGACATCTCACTAGTTCGAGGATCATTAAAAATATCTGTTTTTATAAAAAGTTAAAACTTCATGCAAATATTTTAAGAAAATTAGAGAAGACTCCTTATATGATGTACTTCAACACACTTCAACCTTTATTTGTATTTTTGCAACATCCTGTATATTAAAGAATAACAACAAAAATAAACTAGCTAGTGTTATAAATGTGAAAGTGAGTTTATTTATTCCTTTTTTTTTAACTTAACTACTGAATTGATTAGGCTGAATTACTCTTATAATATTTTCAATAAGATATTTTACAAATTGTGCTGTTGTGCGTGCGGAGCTCTGTTTTCCATAGAATCAAATTAAACTTATATTTCTTTTAGGTTTAACAAATTGCAACAAGATACCTTTTTACAACATGTTGAAAATGGAACAATCACCCTCATTGGTGCTACAACTGAGAATCCTTCATTTAGTTTAAATAATGCCTTACTAAGCCGTTGCCGAATAATAACAATGCAAAAGCTGTCTGTTGCTGATGTATTGGAAATATTGAAGAGAGCGGTAAAAAAAAATTGTAACATATTAGTACAGGATTCCAGGAGTAGTTTTGATGATATGTCTAAGGAACAAATTCCAAGGTACAGTTAAACTAGTTCCTTATTTTGAGTTGCGTTGAGCAGTGTAATGAAGACTTTGTGACTGAGGCGGCATTAGAACGTGAATAATTGCAAAATTAACCCTCGTACACCAGGATATACGGGGTACACCCCGTGGATTGGTTTTGTACACTTTGAAGACCCAAATGGGCTTCCACCATCTTCCCCGACACTTAAAACCATAAAACCCATCCCAACACCATTTGTGCGCTCATCAAGCTGCTTTCCGCCAAACTGATACGCGCATACCTATGTACGCAAATTAACCTGTAATGATTATACCCGCTATCCTCTGGCACTCCTTCGTTGGCCAATATTCAATATGCCTTCATCCTGTAACGCGTGCACTGATTTACCAAGATGCAGTGGCGGCGCTAGGCGTCGGCGATGTCGGCCACCGCTGACGGCCTCGCGCCTGAGGGGGCCTCGCAAAAAATTTTTAGAAGTTACCTATTTATTTTCGTTTCTCCTGGCCTGGCTTAGTTAGCCGACCCCGAATGATTCGGAGAAAAAGCTAAGCAGATGATAATGACTTTTATTATTTTCGAACACGTGCGTGATGGAAGCGATTAGTACTTTACAGGTATTCAGAATCGTCTGTCTGGCAACACTATTTTTGTAATTAAATTTCTATGTTTATAATATTTGTTGTCATCATTTGATTATCAACAATAAAACTCGTTTAATCATACGTTATTTTATAATTTGGCTCACTTAATTTAACGGTTTTTTACTGCGAAGTAAAATAGGCCTCGCGAACTTGATGTCGCCGACGCGACGTCCACATGTGGTGTAGCGCCGCCACTGCCAAGATGCCGCAATTTATGACGTGCATTCATCGACTAATGTATAGTGTACATAAAAGGGACTTATTTTAATGAGACAAAATTCTTAAGCAACTAAATCATACAATGCTATTCGAGAAAACAAGCTGTATCTTAGAAACGATTCACATAGTACTTACTTATATATTGTGTGAGTAATAATATTTAATTCACTAACCACCTTCTAAGCTTAGCGCATCTCATCGTACCTCGCTTATGTGTTAGTATCGAGTTCCAATTACTCCAACCAACCCAATAGTGCCACGGAATCACTTCAACATACAGTGTGAACACAAATTTATAATTAATGACGTACCACTCAGCAAAACACCTTATTGTTAACGCAGCAACGACATCATCAGGATTTCGGCCGTTTTGATTTGTTTTGATACAAACTATATTAATATTTATCCATTAGATCTGAATTTAAATTAATAGGTATTTAAGTTTCTAATTTATTTCTTTTAAATAGTATTATAGTGGAAGAAGAATCATTACGATGGTTGGCGGAAATTTGTGATGGAGATGCTAGAATAGCTTTGGGAGCTCTAGAACTTGCAATTACTTCTCGGGACACAGAGAGCGACGTGTGCAAGGACGGACCCACAGTTCTATCACTTGATGATATTAAAAATGGTATAAAGGTACAACTTCTTAGCTTAACTACTACCTTCCCAAGTCTCTTGACGGTCAACTCAACTGGGTAAAGCCACATTCTTCAAAACAATTAGCCGAATCCAAAATACTACAGACATCAAATTTTGGTACCTCCAACTTCATTAATGAAGGGATACATTAATTGATCATGGTACGAAATTTCATGATGTAAGTCTATTCATGAATACCGTATAGGCTGTGGTTCTGTTTTGAGTGTATATACAGGCGTCCCACAGCATTGTCACACGGTATACAAAGTATATTAAATATTGAAGATTCTTATCTTTACATAAAGAAGACATCATTATATTTTTAATAATATGTAGAAATACATTCATAGATTTCTTATAAATCATCTGCCACAACCGGGAATCAAACTCGTGAAATGTGAAAAAAACACATGACTTATATAATGATAACAGTCAAAAGGGTAAATCATAAGTATTATTTTTTTAAATGACATATCATATTTCTTTCTTAGGTTTTCACGCACATCACTCATTAAATATAACTAGTTTTAAGGGGTTTTATGCACGAACTTTATTTACTTAAATGACATAGCAATTTAAATCATGAATGAATGAAGGAAGGTCATGAAATTAAACTTTTGTTTAGGTGAATTTCCTCTTACTTTTCCGTGCTTCCAACAGCTAACATTATCATTTCAAAGTATTTATTAACTAGTACCTGATCAATTAATAATACAAGATTTTCTTAATATAAGTTTGTGAAAAAATAAAAAAGCAGTACATACAAACTGTAGTAGGTATGCATTTCTTTGTGAGGTCATAATTACGATGTGGCTGGCTTTTTTGTGGGATTATGGAAAACATTTATTTACAAGAACCGGCACGACGCCCCAGGTTGACGCTATCTAAGAATGTTTAGTTCAATATCTTTGGTCCTATAAGAGTATTGATTATGAAATTTTGTAAAGCCAGGGCACTATTTGTGTGTCAATTTCGTTGCTTAAATATATGCCGTTCTTGAGGACGGCCATGGGTACGCTAGCTTGACGTCATGCTAGCGATAGCGCACACAGTAAAAATAGTCTTTATTTCCTAAATTAAAGGCACTATGTTTTTTATTTCTACACTAATTTGGCACTATTTACGCAATATTTAATGGCATAACGAAAACCCGTATATTGATCGTGTGAACGCTAGCATCACGGACAATATATGCCGTTCTTGGGGACGGCCATGGGTACGCTAGCTTGACGTCATGCTAGCGTACACAGTAAAAATGGTCTTTATTTCTTAAATTAAAGAGGCACTATTTTTACACTAATTTGGCACTATTAACGCAGTATTTAATGGCATAATGAAAACCCGTATATTGATCGTGTGTACACTAGCATCACGGACACTAATTTACAAAATACGTCATGTGTTTTTTTTTACATTTCACGAGTTTGATTCCCGATTGTGGCAGGCGATTTAAAAAAATGAATGCAGTTCTAGTTATTATTAAAAACCTGCTTTCAGTAAAATATCCTATCTTCAATATTTAATATACTTTCCCTCCGTGTGGCAATGCCGTGGGACGCCCTGTATATAGCAAAAATCTTTATATTGCGTTAATTTTAGATGTATTCATAGATTTAAGGCGGAATGATATTCAGCAGTATCTGATAAAAAAATGAATCGATACTAACACGGTTCTGAGATCCATTATCTCAGAACCGTGTTTGATTCCCGATTGTGGCAGGCGATTTAAAAAAATGAATGCAGTTCTAGTTATTATTAAAAATCTGCTTTCAGTAAAATATCCTATCTTCAATATTTAATATACTTTCCCTCCGTGTGGCAATGCCGTGGGACGCCCTGTATATAGCAAAAATCTTTATATTGCGTTAATTTTAGATGTATTCATAGATTTAAGGCGGAATGATATTCAGCAGTATCTGATAAAAAAATGAATCGATACTAACACGGTTCTGAGATAATGGGCCTTGACAGACACACAGAGAAATAGACGGCCAATAAAGTCCCAAAAAAACCTTTCATGATGGCTAAAGTTGTTATTATTGTTTTTTTAGAGAACCCACATGTTATACGATAAAAAAGGGGACGAACATTACAATACTATATCGGCGATACATAAGTCAATACGAGCAAGTGATGACAACGCTGCTTTATATTGGACTACCAGAGCATTGCACGGAGGGGAAGATCCGATATTCATAGCACGTCGGCTTATACGTGCAGCTTGTGAAGACATTGGTAATTTACCAAATATTTATATCAGTTTCGGGTCTGCGCTACGTTAAGCAAGAGCAGTTTCATGTCGTTTCATAGAGCAGGGCTGCGCGGGAGACCCGCCTCACGCAGCGCTACTCTATGAAATAACATGAAACAAATAAACAAATAAAAAAACAAAATTGTATATGCGAATGTGACTATTTATTCCAAGCTATATAACACCCCAACCTCTAGGTCTTAAGGTCTCACCTTAAGGTCTCTGCATAACTTTTCATATTCAGTGGGTGTCTGGAAGAAATCGCTCTTAGCGATAAGACCGCCAATTATAACGCTTTTGTTAAGTTTATTGTTTGTGAATGTTATGTAATTATGTATTTGGTGTTATAATAAAGTGTTAAGCTATGTATCTAAACACACAGAGCCGACGTCCGTTCCGTGCTCGTGCTTGACACAGCGCAGGCCCTTATTGCGTCATTCTGACTCAATAGGGTATTTGACAAGTTTTAGAAATCGATCTCACGTTATTCACTAATGTTTATAGAGTCCATAAAAAGTGGATATTTATCATTGTATTGGGTATTACGGAAAAAAAACTAATTCAAAAACTATTTTCAAGTTGCCGCGGAAAACGTATCTAAACTGAACGTAAACGTTTGACGACCTCCGTGGCCGAGTGGTTTGTGCGCCGGGTTTCATGGTGTCGCCGACTCGAGAGCTCCCGGGTTCGAATCCCGGTGAGGGCAGATGTTTGTGTAATGAATACGAGCATTTGTACTCCAGTCATAATAATAATAATGAAGTAACTAGTCAACAAAAAGTTTACGTGGTTCCTATAGTCCTCTCCACAACAGGCGTCATTCCAAATCACCTTCTCCATAGCCTTAAATTAATAAATCTAAAAGAAACCCTCTATATCACCCTCCAAAAAGCTGCAATTTTAAATACATGTCGCATTGTTAGAAAGTTCTTGCAAATAGATGAAAACGAAATAGGTTCTCATCACAACAGTACAACACATGCTGCACTTGTAATTGTAGTAAAAACCAGCCAAAGAGCTGAGAAGAAAAACACTCAACAAATAATAATAATAATAATTTATTTCCAGTAAGAGTCATGGATGTTTAATATGTATTTCTATATAAATATACTTATATATGTACTGTATATGTATTCTATCCGTTACCCTAGTATCCCATAACACAAGCCTTACAGTGCTTACTTTGGGGCTAGGCTAATTGGTGTGAGTGTTGAAAATATTTATTTATTATTTATCTCTGGACAATATGGTGGCTCACAGGTGTGTGACGTCACTCGACTGTCATTAAAACGTCAAACCATACAATTAAATGTCACTTTAACCGGAAGTTTACTTGCGTGTGACGTCATTTTAGGCTCCACCAATCCAAATCGTTTTGGGTCACGTGACAATAGACAAGAAAACTATTATCTTTATCGTGGATTTTTAGTAAAATTATGAATATTTTTTCTGTAAAAATAGTAAAAACTCCTGCCAATAATTATTCTAAATACAGATGCTAACAATTGAAATTTAATGATTAAATGCCAAATAAATGATTCTCTTAACCTAAAATTCGCATTCAGGACTGCATGCATAGTGATTAGTAAATGAAACATCAACACATATTATTGCTTTCATGAAAAGTGCCTGGGAAAGGTATGATATCTCCCACGGGAGAAGAATTATTAGTCAAAGCACCATTTTACCACCGCATTCGTCCGTCACCGAAGTCGGGTTCACCCATATTACCCAGAAACCCTGAAGTTCACAACTGTTTCTTTCCAGAGATCTTTTATTCCACGGACAGTAAAATTTGATGAGAATGATCTCGCTTGTGTTTCCTCAGTACTCATGGTCTTCTTCAACAGAGGCTTAAAAAGAGTGTTTTACGAAAAGCGTCGCAGCAGCATGGCTGTCTTACTGGCATTGATGATGTCCATGGGCGACGGTGACCTCTCAACATCAGGTGGCCCGTCTAAATGATCATAATCAATCTTAATCAAAAATCATTTATTCAGTTTAGGCTGTTACAAACACATATGAATGTCTAGAAGCTACGCCATCGGTTCGTAAATCTACGGCGGGAGACCTAATATTATAAATAGTAATCCCCCCCCGGCATTGCACGGGCGAAATTTATTTTAGCGGGATAAAAAATATAAACTATGTCACTCGGATAAAATTTAGTTATAAAAAAAGAACTAGAAAAATTTCCTCTCGAAGAAGTTGTCAGAGTGGATATTTTTCAACTAAAAGTTTTCTTAAGATTTATAAATCGAGCAGATTAATAAGTAGCTTTGTTCCTTACTTAACAGAATTATAGACTTCTGGGCTTGTTTTTTTATTTTCAGTTTTTATTTGAAGTAATATTTTAGCAGTCGGGTTTTTGATTTTTAAATTTATCATCTCTTTGTCTTTGTATTAGGGAAATTAATGACGATTTTTAATGAGGCGCTCTACAAATTTAAACAAAGTATTAGAAAGTGCTATGGGTCGGTAGCTGGATGGATCATTACCTTGTTTGCCACTTTTAAGAATAGGGATGATAATTTGAGTCTTCCATTCCTCAGGGGGGGTGCCAGATTCAAATATTACATTAACCATTTTTAAAAAGTGAAGTTTCGTCTTATTGCCGCTCTAAGTAATGAAAGAGTAAGGTAATCCGTCAGCTCCAGGGGTTTTGTAGTGGAGGTAATTTTCCACAGTCATAGCAGATGAATGAGCCTTCTCAGCTATCTTCCGATTTTTTATTCCGATTTCCTGATTGGGATACACTCATCAGTCACTGAGAGCATAGTATTCTTGAAAAGTGAATAGTGGTTGTCATTATTATCTGGAGCCTGAAGGGATGGGAGGAGTTTCATTTTATCATCTAACCTGCTACTATACTTATTCCAGTCTGCTCGGGCCAAAATATGTTTTTGCCTGGGAGTGATATGGGGGGCCTCTTTTCTTGGTGCAGGCAAGAAAACTAAAATGGGGTAGTGATCACTGCCATATGTGTTTGTAAGAATTTGCCAGTTAAGATTAGAAGCTAAGCTAGCAGAGCAAAAAGATAGGTCAACTGCACTCTTTGGGTTCTGATTTGGAGCAACACGACGTGTTGGAGAGCCGTCATTTAAAATGCAGAGATTTAGGTCATCTAGTAAAGCTAAGAATGTGGAAGAGAGGGAATCAGAAATGTGACAACCCCAAACTTCATTATGTATATTGAAGTCTCCCAGAATGATATATGGTTTTTCAATTGATTTGATAATAGAAAACACTTGGAGTAATATAGATAAATCAGGATTAGGGATATAAAAGATATGTTCATTGCTCGAATTGTAATTATATTAAACTTTTCAGTATTATGAGAGGATAGATCAATAGGATGAAAAGAATAATTTCTTAATACAAATAAGGCAGAGCCACCTTTGCCGTTATTTTTATCATCCCGGAGACATGCATAGCCCGGGATCCAGAATCTGGTTCCCGGCTTAAGCCAGGTCTCCTGAATGGCAAGAATAACTGGCTTATGATAGTTAATAATATAAATTATTTCAGATTTTTTATATTTAATACTCCGGCAGTTCCATTGGAGTATTGGAGTGAATTTTTTTACCTCAAAAGAAAAGCTCAGTCAGTTTTTGCTTGAGGTTGTTCGGTAATTCAATATCTTCAAATCGTTTAATAAAATTAATAAGTGTAGAAAGCTGAAGAAATAACATTTCAATTAAATTGACATTCAGTTCAGTAACTAAAGAGGTATTAGTAAGGGCACAACCATTTGTCTGTGTGGCGGTTGGAGTATGGGTGAGTGAATTCTGTGTTTGCCTGTCATAGCCATGACTAGAGGCTGGAGAAGGGGAATGACGGGGTACTGAAATAGTCTTTTTATATGAATATGCTATGGGAAGAGTTGGTGGCCTAGGGACAGAGCTGCACAGGTGGATTTGAGAATTTGAAGGTAAACGACTGGAGTCAGCATATGACTTTCTAACAGGGGCAAATCTTGCTGAGGCTTCCATATAGGAAACATTCTCCTGGGACATAACCAACTTAATAGACCTTTGTCTAGCATGTTCAGGACAAGAGGAATGAGTAGCTAAATGGCTTCCTAAGCATAGTATGCACTTAGGGGGAGCCTGACTTAAGCAGGATTCACCCTCATGCATTTCTCCACATACGAAGCAGCGGGGTTTGGAACGACACAGAGACTTTATATGTCCGAATCTACAGCAATTATTACACTGGATTACCGGCAGCCTGGAAATTTCCACCGGTAATGAAGTGTAATAACAATACACATGATCTGGCAACTTTTTGCCAATAAAAGTAACAACCACGGTCTGAGTAGGGATCCAGGTGGGGGCAGAGTTTGCAACAGTTACCTTTCGGTTTAATCTCGTCGCTCTAAAAACTTTCCCATGGCCATCACTCGTACATTTTGAACTAGTTCTTCCATGGACCACTCTACTGGAACATTCCTGATAATTCCCATTCTAGAAACATTGAAAGATGGGATGGACGCTAGGTAATTATTGTTAAGCAAAGCAGGGTGGTCTATAAAAGAATTAGCATCAGATGCAGATTTAAATTGTACCGAGATACGGTTTCTACCAACTTTTTTAACTCCATCTGCAACTACATTTTTTATGTTGTGTGTAAAAAGAAATTTACCAAAATGCATTGGGCGAAGGACAGTGCCCTGTGATGGTTCAGACTCTTTTTTAGATATATGTACAATAAAAGGTCCAATGTCATCAACATTATATTGGATTTTATTTTTCGCGTACTCTGGCAATATAAATGTTTTTTTTATGTTATATAAACAACTTCGATCAGTCTTTGGCTGAATGTTACTACACCCATAGCCATTAAAAATGATTCGTATGTTTTCCAAACCGGTAAAATTAAAAGTCCTTTTTAAAGTAAATATATTATACAAAGGTGTCCGTTGAAATCTAATGATTGTAAATTAAATTATAAATTACGCCAAGAATTACCGTGTATGTCAATATTTTTTGTGCATTTGGGTCAATTTGAGCAATCTCCTTTGCACTTGTATCACGCACTCTACCTATAAAATATGCTCACAAAATTTTTGGCTCCATAGGCTAGTCGCCACGTGTTAAACATATCGTATTGTTTCAAATACTTCTCGCGTCTTTGTTGAGGGAAAAAGCTCATTTGCGCATTATTAATAGTTTCAGTCAATTCTGTTGGCGTCAAATAAATTTCTTCCTCGCTAGAATCGCTCATTTTAGGTTTTTCACTTGTTTTTAACGTAAGGTTCTAACAATATGTCGAGAAAAGAAAATGACGCGCGCAAAGCAAACACCTAAAAAAAATGGTTGCCTGTAAAGTCGGTTTTACGGGCGAAGATTTTACGTGACAACGTCTTTTTCTCGGTAGAATATTTATTGATATGAATATAATTAAATTGCACAATAGGAACAAGGAATTGAATGAAAATAAGAATTGCACAAATTTTAACTATAGAAATATATTTTGTTTACTAAAACATTGTACATGTAAACTTAAACTCATCGTAACGTTACCGAGCGTTACACTTTTTCATAAGTGACTCCCAGCCGCAACCTAATTTAAGACGTTGTCACGTCAAAAAAGTACACCAAGACACCGAGTCTGAGTTTTTAACAAATTAAAAAAGGTTGCATCATAAAGTCGGCACCAAGAAGTAAATAGGTTTAAAGATGTTTTGAATTCACAAACTTGTGCACACGATGTTCGAAATTTAATTTACTTTATCCTCTAGCGGATAAAAACGGCTTTTGCACTCAGATATCGAAAATCAACAATACCTAAACTTTCTGAGATGTGGGGATGAAAATAATAATTTCAGTATCTAAAGATGTTTTGGTAATTTATCATTGACTTTTTCAGGTTTAGCTGATCAATCAGCCCTTGTGGAAGCCGTTGCGTGTTTACAGGGTTGCCAGCAAATAGGGATGCCAGAATGCGATGTATTGTTAGCACAGTGTGCTGTTAGACTGGCAAGGGCCCAAAAGAGTCAAGAGGTTTACAGAGCCATGAAAAAATGCCAAAGTCATTTAAAAGAGTCCAAAGGACCTTTACCGCCAGTACCACTTCATTTAAGAAATGCACCTACTAAACTGATGAAACAGTTAGGCATGTATTACAAGACATATTAATAGTTTAAACTTAAAAGTGTAATATGATAGTCCTACATAGCCAAGGCAGAGATCTCATTTACTTCGACATTTCAACTCGTATTCCGATCTCGTATTGCGAATGTTGCTAATCATATAGCATGAGCATGAGTACCGCGATATACAAGGCGTCCCACGGGTTTGCCACACAGAGGGAAAGTACCTATATTAAATTTTGAAGAAAGGAAATTTTACTGAAAGCAGATATCATTTTATTTTCAATTATAACGAACTGCATTCACAGATTTTTAAAAATCGCCTGCTACAACTGGGAAGAAACTCGTGAAATTTGAAAAAAAAGCGACGTATTCCATCATCATAAATCGAAAGGGTTAATTATAAGGATTATTTTTTAATAAATAACATAGCATTTTAAATGAAAGTTAGATCATGAAATTAAAATTTTGCTTAGAAAATTTTTCTCTTACTTTTCCGTGCTTCCAACAGCTACAAAGTATTAACTAACTAGTACCGGCTCACTTAATAATACAAGACTTCCTTATTATAAGTGAAAAAAATCGATACTTGCACCACTTCTTTTTTATTGTACTTTGTGTTCAATCATTAAAAAAAAAGAAAATTTTCGTGATTTTTCTTTAATTTAAAATGCTTTGTTATTCAAAATTATTATACCTACCCAAAGAAATTAAATAGGTAGGGTTTTTTCTAAAGTTTTTTTATACATATTTTTCATTTTAATTAAATACAATTCAATTAATTTAAACATCGTCAATTACTACCCCGAGTCTTTTCTGGCGTAAAGGTGCCCAGAATTGCTACGCTGGATGGCAATAGACAGTCTTTGTACCAGAAACGCCCTGAGCGAGGGTCAAAAACTTTGCTATTTAGGAAAAAATAATCCTCAACAAACCTTTTCGATGGTTATCATAAAACACATGTGTTTTTTGTTCCACATTTCACGAGTTTGATTCCCGGTTGTAGCAGGCGATTTATTAAAAACTGTAAATGCTGTTCTACTATAATGGTTAGACATTCATTTTCTCAAAAAAAATTACAAACAATCTACTTACAGAGAAAATACAAAGACATAGTTCTACTTATTATTAAAAATCTTTAAAACTTTCGCTCCGTGGGACATCTATCTATATAATGTCGTATGATGAATTGATTTAATCGAATTTTCTCGGATTTCTCAAAAGCGCGGATAATAAACCAACTATTCGCAATGTTACTGAGGCGACTCACGACCTTTTTCAGTAAGATTGAGCAATGACATTGCTATTATCTGATTATCCCCATTTTCGCGAAAATTCGATTATCAACTCATCCTACGACATACCTATAAAGTTTTGTTCAGACGACATGACACACAATGTCTCCAAAAACACGCTGTCTCAAAAATCGCTTTGTCTTATTATACAAGACGTATACGGTTACTGTAGATGGTGCATTATAAAATTACTTTTTTTATAGGTTTCGGGAGTGGGTATAACATGTTGCATAAAGATGAGTCCGGTCTCTCGTATATGCCACAAGGTATGGAGGATTACGATTTCTTCAACCCACCTGGAGTGTAATGGATCCAAAAAAAAAATCTAATAAAACACAAGATTCCTACTGTCAATGTTTTTATTTGAGATAATCTCATTTTACAATTGAATGACATCGTAAAAATTTATATTTACAAGACGCAAACTGTAATATTACAAATTTACTTAATATTGTACCTTTTGTAACATTGTGATGGCTCTTGCCAAATTTTCGATCCTAACCTTACAAAAATAAAATAACATTATCTTATTTTACAACATTTACTACTTGCACATTGTGCACAAACACGCCATAATAATTTACATCATTTCAACTACAGACTACACACTTGATTTCTTCATATTTTATATTATTTTCTAGAAACTTGACCTATCAAATTATTCTTAACTAATAATCTTAAGTAGATTAGATACATTATAGATATCGCATAAACGAGACAAAAATTACAATCCATTGAAAAGCTTTCATGGTCTTTTGACATTTTGCCTTGTTCACATGATATACGTGAACTAACATGCGCGTTGTAGACTTGGTTTTCGATCCTTCATACGTAAAATTGAAACTTGCTTAACTTTTGTAAGCCATATATTCAATACCATTTACCACATTATGGTATAATGTTGGACCTTTTGAATTTAGGCATAGGTATTTCAGAGGATGGAAAATCAAAGAACAGTTTAGAAAATCTGTACAGGAGAACTTTTAATAACTTATTCTTAAACCTTACCCTATGGTTATAAGCGAAAATTTATCTAAGTGCTCTAAATAAAAATAAATTAGAATCAGACTTCTAATTTTCGGTCCTAATGTGACAGGAACAATGTGTCGTTTGGGTCCAAATATTTAAAAATATTAGAATAGAAACAAATACCTTCGCAGTGTATCACACTTAAATTTTCATAGGTCATAAGTTCATAAAATAACTAAGTAAGTAAATGTATATAATAATATAGACATAAATTGTATAAAGTGGAACGTTTGCAAAAAACAAAATTGTATATAGAAATATAGCTCACACTAACATTGATTGAGATTGATTGGGTTTTAAAAGATGTAGTCGGGGCCCGCCATGTCGATCGCCCAGCGAAACTTGTCGCGTTGAGTTTTGTTGTAAATCTTCTCGATAGGTACGTCATGCTTTTTACACCTGAAATTAAAGTAGTATATGAAAATGTGTTCTGTATAAGTTCTTACACTTTATTTGTATTGCATTAACATAATATAACACCCACCAAGCAACAGATATACGAGGGTCGAGATAATTGAGCTTAGAAGTGCCTAAAGCAATTGTTTTGTTTTCATCACGGTCTGTTTCCTGCAATTCCAATTTCTTAAGCTGCTCTCTCAAACGCTCTAGGGCTTTCTTTTTCTTGTCACAAGCTAGCTTCTCTTTGACTGAGCCACGTTTGGCTGCCTTAGTAGCCTGCCGCAAATCTTCCTCAGCTTCATCCACTTGATCACGTTTTGCTTGAATCTTTTCTTTCAAAGCTTCCATGGACTTAGAATGCCCTGAAAAGAGAAATAAAACATAAAAAAATTAAATTTGTATAGCATTGTCTAAAAAGAGAAATTTTAGATAATGCTGTACTAAAACACACAAAAATTCCAATAGTAAAAATCGAACTTATAAGTATACCTTTTGGGACTGCTCTCTGATGGTTGCAAAGTATGGCTACAGCACGGTTAGCTCTGTTATAAGCTAGAATTTTTTCAGGTATAGAAACATCACCATCTGTAAGCTCATCTAATTGTCTTTGTAATGTAATAGAGGCATTGTAAGTACGGAAAACTTTTGCAGTTAAACCTGGCATTAGATCTTTCAAATGTTCATTTAGTGTTTGAGTATTAAGTCTATCAAACAAGTCATCACTGTCTTTCTTGTTTTCCATGAATAGTTCAAGATTTTTAAATACTCTCTTCTCCACTGGCACCTCATTGTAATATCTAATTGAATCTTTACCAAGAAAGTCGAACACAACTACATATTCTTTGCCATCCTTTTCCTTATGTAGTTCTATATGTTCAACACGCAAGGAACAGCAACCGACTGTATCTGCTTGATCATCATCTTTTTCATTACCTGCTCTTAACGCAAGACGATCAATAAAATATAAAGCAACTGCCCTTTGACGAACTCTCATTTCTTTTGCCTTCCAGTCATTGCGATAGTTTTCTCTAATAGTGTCTATACACTTGTGTAGTTTCCGCGCAGTTTCATATTTTTGCCAATCTTTTTCACCTTTAAGTTTTGAACTGGGATTTAACATAACGTATTTGGCTTGACCTTGAACATTTTCAGTCCAAGAAGCCAACCATGTAACAGTGTTGTCATGTCGAACTTCCTTCCATTTATGGCCAGATGGAGGCTTGGGCACCTTACTATCCTTGGAACAGTTAATTAGTACGTCTTCTGGCATGACACGCTTCTTGAGCATCCCCATTTTAGGGTGTTCACCTCGTCCCCTAAACAAGCCAGGAGGTTCTATTCTAAAATTACCAATTTTTTCTTTATGGCCATCTATTATGCAGAAGCCATACTCTTTTTGAATTTCTTCATTTTTAGCTTTGAGTTCAGCTTTCTCTTCCTTTGTTTTGTTTCTATTTCTTTCTGATTGATTTTGGAAAAACGCATGCATTTCTTTAAAATCACATTTTGAGAGATCTTTAATAGTTTTTGCTTCTTCATGGGTCATGACTTTACGCCAATCATTAAAGAAGTTTGTATTAAATGCAGGTTTGGTGGTATAGTCGTGATCAAGCATCCGAGCATAAAATCCAGCCACTTCCTCAGCATCTTGAGATAGTCGCATCTCTTTACCATCATAACGGAATTTCACATTCGCAGGCAACGGATCATATGGTGGAGCAAATAAAGGCCCTTTATGTTCAAGGAACTTCCACTTGGTCCCATCATCTTTCTTTTCTTCTTCCCACCTGGAATGAGAATGTGGATGTGTTAAATCATATAGGTTGATAATAACACATTTAATAATATAGGCAGTGAGAACATTCAAACCAATAACACACTTTATTCGTCGTCGTCGTATGTATCTAATGTTGAAAAAAATAGCCGATTTTTCTTTTATTAAAGAATGTAATCTCAGACTTTTTATTGTATTTGAAATAAACATAACTACATAACCTCAAACGTCACACGATGCTTAAAATAGGGATTGTACGCGATAGTACTAAATTGACTTTAGCTTGCCAAACTTGTGAAAGCGCGTGTGCAAGCAAGTTGTTCCACGTTTTAACGCTAGATGGCGTTAGACACGTCATTTTATATACATACAAAAAATGGAAGTTCATTTTTTTTGATCAAATTGGTAAATATTGGTTCAGTTATTACCCCTACACACTTCACATTATTAGTTTTTACAATTTGTGAATTTGAGAGCAGTATTCACAAATACGGAAAACGAGACTGCTGTCAATTTTACAAATAGCTTGAATAGCCATGTGAAGTACGACTTAGTTATTTAAAACTACGTATATTTTTATAATACAAAAAGCCAATAGACATTTAACAGAATTATTCACATTAATTCACATCAGTCTCACCTTTTCATTCTGTAAAGAAAATGACGAGGATACACTGTTGTCAAATTCATGTCAGAATCGACACCGATAATAATATAAACTTATTATGTTTAATGCTATGATTGCACATAATTATAAATAGAGATGCGCCAAATATTCATTTACTATCCTGTATTCAACAACTTAAATTTTTATGCCAAATTGATTGAAGTTTAAAGCTGATCTTCACCAAAAAACCTGTCCAGGTAGATGCCTACCATTGCATAGTTAATCATGATCGTTGTTTGTTAAATATGGATGCACCTAAATAGAATTTATATTAGACATTATTTTGACTTTGGATCATCGGTTAAGTTTGTGTAAAACAGTCTGCAACAAATATTAATGACTGCATTGTTCTGTTATTGCTACCTCCAGATGAATCTTGAGACGTTGTTGCTCTTTCCATTGAATGTTCTTTATTTTTAGTGTCAAGTGATTGTAGTTTTCCATCTGGGCAAAATGCATCTACAAGCGATATAAACAGTCACATATTCCCTTTTGTATCATTTTCTACTTTATTAAAAAACTCCCCAGTTGCGATCTTTTACACTTTTCAATTTGTAATCTCTTGCACTTAGTCACAAAATGAATTATTTAACGATTATTGAAACGCCATCCGTAATAATTTGTACGACTTATTACAACAAACTGATAGTAGCAGGCTACTTGTATAGAGCAAGTATAAACCTACATATAACATGTATGCATACTAAAAATGCAGATTGCTGCACCGGATAGTTATGCCGAATATTTAGTTCACTTAAAATCAAATTGAATAGTATTTGGTTCTTGGGTGAAATCACTATTTGGCACAGCTCTAATTATAAAGTATATATTATAGGGACGAAATGCACAATATTTATTGAACTCACCATTTCCAAACTTCTTGCTCATCCTCTTGCTTTTTCTTACGTTTAGTAGGGCTGGCACCATCATTTTGTTCTATTTTCACTTTGGTTGCCTTTGCCTTTTCTGCTTTCATTTTTTTCTTTTTGGGTATTTCTTCTTCCTCTTCATCGTAATCAGGTTCTAAAAACAACAAATGTTAGTTGAAATATAAGTTAATGCTATCTTGCCACAGAATATGAATGCAGTTAACAAATAATAATAATAATAAAGTACGAGGAATAGATTAACAGACAATCACAAATAAAAAGTAGACATTGGCCATGTCATGGCTACATGGCCAATTTCTACTGAAGTGCCAAAATAAAAGCAGTATTCAGGAAACAAATATACAACATTTTCTCACACATACCTTTTTTTACTTTTTTCTTTGATTTCTTGCGTTGAAGTAGTGGAATATCTTCCTTGCTTTCACTAGGCATACGTCTTTTAACAGCCTTGCGCTCCGACTTATGAAAGAAATAATAATGATAATTGTTTGGAACACAAGTTATTGAAATTAATTTTAAAATATGATGATTATCATATAATTACCAATGGTGTGTTTTCTTCACCACTTTCTTCATCATCAGGCAAGTCTGCAAGTGGTTCATCTTTGAACTGTGAAAGGGAATAATCACAAGACGAAACAGTGGTATTGGCAATACCATACCCATCCTCACTTTCTTCTTTTAATTCTGATTTCACGTTTACATCATCCACCTGTTAAGTATACATAAAAATTGTGATATTATTGATTTCTAATAAATCATGTTAAAATTGTTTTTAGATAATAATATGTATCTTTCACATTTAGACAAAAATTTCAATAAATAAAGAGTACATTTTTTCTAATTATGTATTGTGTTTGCTGAATATACATAATTAAAAGTCTATATCCTATTGCTTGGCCAGATTATAAAACTTAATAAGTAAGTATAGTACACATACAATGGCCCACTTAGGACTAAGTGCGGAAACCATATCTTTAACATAGAAGTATCATCTTATCAAGACAAAGTGCTAACCTGCATGGGTTCTTCTTTAACAGGATACTCTTGTGAACTTAATTCAGACTTGCTCTTCTCTTGTTTTTCATCTTTACTTTTATCCTTAGACTTGCTGGAGCTAAAGTACATTAAAACAGTTATATATTAAATAAAAAAGGAATGTATTTTATAAAAAATATTACCCACTGAGATCTATTATTTAGATTGAAACATAGGCTTGAAGTGATTTTCAACAATAAATTTAGTAATTGAATATATACAAATAAAACTCATCATGACTTTTTTTGACATGAAATGTCATTAAATGTGATTAAAAAAAATCATTTTGATTTGAGCAGCCAGCCTATTCGCTAACTTTTTTGACATTTACAGTGTGTTACTGAAGAGAAAATTGCATATCCATTGATGCTTTGCAGAACAGGGTTATAGCTCAGTAATTATCACTTCCATCTATCAAAAGCAGTTAGTGAATAGGCCTACTGTCAGTATCTTTATGAGCACTAAAAATTAAACTACTTTATAGTACATGAAGTATATGGTATTATATCTTAGTCTTACTATGATATATTACATAAATACCTGTGTTTGTCTTTTGAGCTGGAGTGTTTATCTTTATCACTGCGAGACTTGTCACTTTTGGAACGTTCTTTGTCATGATCACGATCTCTATCTTTTGATTTGTGTTCTTTAGAGGATGAACTCTTGTGATCTTTTTCCTTTGATGAAGATTTCTTCTCATCGCTGCTGCTGTTCTTATGCCTATCTTTGTCACGGTCACCTCTATCCTTCTCACTTCTTTCCTTATCCCTGTGCTTATCCTTTTCACTTCTATGTTTGTCCCTGTCACTACGGTCTTTGTCTTTGCTGCTGTGTTCTCTATCACTGCGATCTTTATTCTTGTCACTTCGTTCCCTATCTTTTTCACTACGCTCTTTGTCCTTGCTGGATGACTTATGTGAGCTACTATGATTTTTACTGCTTGAATGTTTATCCTTTTCTTTATCTCTGTGTAGAATAATCATAGTAATTGAGTAAGCATAGTAATCGACGGGAATTCAATGGAATATTCTGGAAAAATAACATAACTAACCTGCTGGAACTGCTATGTTTGGAAGAGCTCTTGTGGTCGCGATCTTTATCACGGTGCTTATCCTTGCTGGACGACTTATGACTGGATTTGTGCTTTTCGGAGGTGCTGTATCCGTTGTGAATACCGTTCACGTGTTCATTTTTATTGCCGTTTACCTTTCCCTGTAAAAATTATATACTTTATTTAATCTATTTAAAATCCATAATTTCACTTATGTACTAAGGTTATATCAGACAATTATTAGAAGCAATAATAGTGTCAAACCAATAAAATGAGAGGACGCTTATTTTTCAACAGAGTCCTTTGCTAGACGCCATATTGGGACTTAGAAAATTTTCGCATCGCATCGGTACACTAGTAATGCGAGATAAAGGGTTGGTATTGAAATACAGTACCAACACTAAAAGTAAAGAAATAAGCTGAAAAATCAATTTAATAACTTACAGATTCACAATCATTTTCACTGACTGGATTTTCGACACTCATTTTGCCTACGTATCACCAACGTTGTTCGAGATTACATGAGGCTCGGCGAGCGAGCGAACGAGAAAAGTGAGCAAGGCGAACGCAACGCAACGCAAAATTTCTAAGTGTTGAGAAGTGACGAATGCGCATGCGCCGAGTTTGTAACGAACTTCAAGAGCTTTGGTTCAATGGACGAATTTAAACGAACTTCACTCGTCAATTTTTTTGTTATTGAATTATGAGGTTTAGGGTGTTTTTCATCTTAATTTATTCTGCGATTGTTGTACACACAGCGTCTGGTAGCTTTATTATTTTATTATAAGGTAGCGCCAACGATATATTATAAAAGATAGCACGATAATACACACGACTCGCGCACGATACGAGGGTTTCGTACCATTATTTATACAGCATTAGACACTATTTTATAATGTTAATATAGAATATTTGAAATTTATAAATTTCTAATATTCTATGAATATTTCAAGCGTCTCAAAATTCAAAAAATTCAAAATTCAATATCGTTTATTCAGTCTAGGCTGTTACAAGCACTTGTGAATGTCGAAAAGCTACGCCATCGGTTCGCAAATCTACGGCGGGAAACCTTGTACTGAGAAGAACCGGCAAGAAACTCAGCAAGGGCTGTTTTTTTCTCCCTGTATTATATACAGAGTCGTCAATTTGAAAAATGAGTTCAATATGAGATAACCCATGAAGTCACTTTCCATTACAAATGTAAATGATAAAACAATTATGACTATAAAATAAAAAATATAAAAAACAGATTTAAAAATGAAAAAAGTTTAGGAATGCCGTGTCCCACTGTTTAGGCATAAAAACAAATGTACCATTAAAGTTAAATACAACGATTAATAGTACCCAATGTAGCAAGAGCAGACTCATCTCCGCTGGCAGCACCCGTTCACGAGCATGACGCATGAACCAGTCATCGCTTCGCTCAACCATTTTTTAGGGAACGTAACGACCCGCCTCACACGACACCGCCGAAGAGATTTTTAAGAGAGTATGACTACCCATAACCACATATGGATACTAGATAGCAAAATAGGGGGGAAAAAAAAATTAAGTACCAGTGTACATTACTATAAAAAACTATAAACACAACTGTAGGACACATGCATGTGGTTACCTAAACACTCACACACACTTGTCGACTCTGCCACTACCCTCCAAACCCAACATCAGTGCCCCCCCTTCACTCTGTATAGAGAATGACAAGGATACACCGCTGCAAAACCAAAGTTCAGGTCTAGAGAACCATGCCAGAATCCACACCACCATTAAATCTTTATCTCAGAAATAATAAATGTTCACCTAAATTTTTTGATTTTGATTGCTGTGCCATACAGTATAAATACAATTACAAATAAAATTTAAATTAAATAATTAATTAATTGTCTACCGGTTGCCGCTATTAATATAGAGCAAAAAACGTCAAAAAAACACGTTTGTGTAATGGGAATAAATATTTATTTTTAGTATTTATTGGTGGAGTGGCAACAGAAATACCTACATCATCTATGAAAATTTGAACTGTCTAGCTATCACGGTTCATGAGATACAGCCTGGTGAGAGACAGAGAGACAGGCGCAATTTGGGTACGAAACTCTAAAAATAGTAGTGTGGTATACAAACTGCCAAACATCGAGTTACCTACACACTGTCTTTTTCAATACATTATAAATTACTAGCGGCCTCCCGCGACTTTGTACGCGTGGAGTTAGTTGGAAATAAAGGTTCACTGCTCGTTCCCCGTAGGTGATAATATGTAGTCTATATGTTGACCCGATTTCTTAATAATATTCGTGCCAAATTTGAAGTATATCCATTCAGTACCTTTTGAGTTTATCTCGGACACACATACAGACAAAAAATCTTAAAACTATATTTTTGGCTTCGGTATCGATTGTAGATCACACCCCAAGTATTCTTTTAATAAAAAAATATTCAATGTACAGTTTTGACTTTCCTACCATTTTATTATATGTATATATAAACTATGCAATATGTACAGTGCCGTCTTTGACCTATTGGAGGCCCTGGGCATATTAGGATAATGGGGCCCCTATGACTTCCGTTTGGTGATTTAACAGGAACTACGAACTTTATATTTCATCTGAGGGGGCCCCCTATCGATCGCGGGGCCCTGGGCACTTGTCCAAAGTGCCCACTGAGAAAGACGGGTCTGAATATGCAAAGGGATATATTAATTAAGGAAAGTCCTATATATCTCAACCGGCAGCGATAATTAGAAAATTACTCCCAAGTGTCCACACCAGTGGGGATATGTCAGTAGGGATTTATGGAACGGGAAATAAACCGATTTTGGATTGGGGTAACTTCACCCTTGGCTGTTTTGTGCTTGCATTTCTTGCTTGGTCAGTGCCTCATATTAATAAGTAAATAATACATATTTCCAATACTCACACCAATTAAATTGCTAGTCCCAAAGTAAGCACTGTAGGCTTGTGTTACTTACGGAGTAACGGATAAGATACGTATATAACTATATTGATATAGAAATACATAAACATCCATGACTGGAGTAAAAATCCTCGTATTCATCACACAAACATCTGTTCCCACCGGGGTTCGAACACTGGACCCGATATTAAAAGTTAGTAAGGAGCTATGGCAGTGGAATTTAAAAAATTTTCACCACGGCCACTCATAAGATAGGTGACCAAAATTTTACTATCTCAGGCTCCTCTGTGCTTCGGAAGACACGTGAAGCCGTTGGTCCTGACTGCTTCTGCTGTCTTTAACATCCACTAATTTACACAGAGCATGCATAGTGCTCGATGGCGCAAGTGGTTAGCGCGTTCGGCTGCGATCGTTGAAGTTAAGCAACTTTCACAGTGGTTGGTCACTGGATGGGTGACCAAAAATTTACTATTTCGAGCTCCTACGCGCTTCGGAAGCCACGTTAAGCCGTTGGTCCCGGCTGCATCTGCAGTCGTCAGCTCGCTTATCATAATAAGGAATTGTGGAGATAAACACACTGAGTCCCTGATAAACTATTCAGAAATTATGTGCTAGATAAACTGAATTCTATCAAGTCTTAAATAGAATAGTCTGGAAACAGTACATAATATTTGCAAATTTATTTTTTTATAGGTAGTGATACCTATTAACTATCTGAAACTATCAATAAATAATGGGACTGCACTTAAAAATTATAATTTTATTAATAATTATTTGTACTGCTTAAAAACATTATTGTTTCTGAACAATAATAGCCTTAGATGCTCTAACCAAGACAACAGTCCATGTTTGCCAATGACTATAATTAAAAATTAACTGAAATAATGTTGAGAAGTTTCACACTGAACTCATGAATGATTGGTCTCGCTACAGAGACCAATCATTCATCTATGGTTTCACATATAATATGAAAGCACTTATTATAAATTAAATAATGTACAGTATATATTGAATAAAATTTTATTCAAATAAAATTTTAATACATCAAGAACTGCTATCTCTGGTGGTTTGATTCTTATCTGCAGAAGTAATGTATGATGGTTTCCCCTTGGAGTCCCAAATATGTTTTTGTTTCTTGAAAGCAAAAGCCATATATACAGCTGAAAACAAATAATACCAATTGAATTATATTAACAATAGGTACCTGGAAAAAAATTACAATCTAAATTGTATTAACATTTACAGTAGAATCATGCTAAGAGTTAGGCTTAGCTAATACAGTAGAATCTCACTATTCTGGCACTATTAACAACCAGAGGGTGCTGAATTATTAGAAAGTTCGGATTGTGTACAAAAAATCAAAATTCATAAAACAAAGCATTTTATAAAGATATTACAATGTTCACATTCTACACATTTTTAGTTTAAACTGCACTATCTAAAGACAGAGCTCACAAACAGTGTGTGGCGTAGGGAATGGTAAAGGAGGCACATGCAAAGGGAGTTAGATGATTATTATGAGATGTGTTGGTCTTTTAAAAAGGTTTTGAGATTCTACTGTACTAAATAGAATTTTTATTATCTATTTTCATTATAATATCAATTACAAATGAAAAATTATAGTTATTTTATTCAAGAATTGTAGATTTTACTTACTGGCCACTTCCCATTCACACATGCTCATAGTGCCCAAACAATCTCTCTCATTCTTTTTTTCCATTTGATCCCAAATAATTTGTGCATGTTCATATTCTGATGCTTCTCCTATTAGCTCTTTACCAGGTGGTGCTGGATAACTTTCGAAGCAAATTATTCTATTTAAAAGTTGTTTATATTTTTCTGAATGGTCTTTGTAAAAGTCTGAAAATCTTGCTTTGTACACTAGTTCTAAGCCATACTGAGCAGCCAATTTTACAAATAAATCAAAATTAAAAAGAAACTCTGGACAGTCTACTACACCTTCTAAATGAAAATCATATTTGGCACCAAAAAGTGGATAACCATCTTTTGGATCAAACAGTAATTTTATATTATAGATTCTGTTTCCAAAAGAAAAATTCTCTGATTTCTGAGCTCGAGAAACAATCTCATATGCATCAGGAATAGTCCCAAAGAAATAACCATCGGGTTTTAGGCATTCCGATATGTTGGTGAGCATCCTCCTAGCCTGGCTTAGACTTTCAAAACTATAATGCAAACCAAATTGGCAACTGACAATATCAAAATTAATTGATGGATCTGCATATTTGTCTCTTAGAGTATCTTTAGTACAATCGGCTGCAATAAACTCTGCTGAAAATAGATGCCCACATCTACGGCGGAGATCTTCATATCTTGTTTCACATTGTTGTACTGAAACTTGTGCTATATCGGCAAAAACTACACGTTCCACTCTGGCTTTCTGCCATTTGCTAAGATCACCACCTTTGCCACAACATATATCCAATACCCTCAATGGTTTACCGTAGTCTTTTTCTCGAATTTTGTCTGTGTAGTCTTGTATAAGGACACTTTTTACCCAATTGTTAAAATTTCTTAGATAAAAAATAGGAGAGTTGAATCTTTCTTTTAGACCCTTCTCTTCTAGGTGATTATAATGTGCAGCCACAACTGAAGCATGCTCTTCATTTTTTGGTTTACTATTCGAAAATGCATCTTCGCCGTCATCACTTTTTGCAGATGTGTGATCATCGAGAGGTTTGACAGGTTTACCATTGCTAGGAGACACTTCGAGGGTTTCTGTTTCATCACTCATTTTATATTAATTTAATTAAAATGAATTATTTATTGTAACAATACTAAAATTACATTACACACAAACAACCAAACAACCTGACTTACTACTTTAGGGATGTTCGATATCGATTCGATTAATCGATCAATTGTTAGTAAAATTTGGCGCATTAATCTATAAAATAATCGATGTAATCTAATATTTTACATCAATTAATCGATTCGCAATGACCTTCGTTATGTTCTTGTCAGTTCATACATAAACAATGCCTAAACATGACACACTAGACATGGGCGTTTTTGGTTTTGAACGCAAACGGATATTTATCGGATTTCAGATTTCAAAATCGATTTTAAAATCCGTTTTTAGATATCCGATTTCAGATGTGCTGAACTTAGCCAATTCACTAGTTTGTGTTATGATTTGGTTTTATTAGCTAACGACAATCACAAACAATTAATTGTAGGAAGCAAGGATACTCGTAGATATTCGCGATTTTCCTTCATGCTTTAAATCTAGGCTTAGGACTAGCAGAAAAGTTATGTTTACGGTTAAGAGTAAAACTTTTGCGGCGCATTTAAAAATCGGCTTTTATACAATGATTTCTTTTTACATATTTTTTAGTATTTTTATTTATTATTCTGTTTGTTTTTATTATTTTTCAAACCATTTACAAAATCAAACCTAATTACTTCAGGTTAGCGTCCAAAAATGTAAGTTGCTCGACTTTTGATGTTTTTAGACGACATATCTTTTCAGTGATAAATAATCCCGCCTCAGAGAACAGCAATAGATTTCCGTAAACAGCAAATCGAATTCGGAGTTCCGAGCACGAAATCTGACTTCCGAAAACGAAAGCACGAATTTCGAATCCGATTTAGATTTGGATACTTGTGGTATTTGGTTTTGGTTCGGTTAGATTTCTGAAATCGGATTTTCTTGTTGAGAAATCGTTCGGTATCGATTTGTATTTGAAATCGGATTTTGGATTCGTTTTGATATATCGGACGCATGCCTATGACACACGTCTCAAAAATCATCATAACAAGTTTCGACAGCCGACAGCTTTGTTCATACAATACTCACTAACAGTGAGTATTGTATGAACAAAGCTGTCGGCTTTAGTCTTTAAAACCATCTCTGTCTATATGTAATAATGTATAACGTTTATGCAGTTGAAGCTACGTATGTTTCTTCTAGATGTCAAACTGGAACAAAATGTTTATGGTGGCAAAAGACCATAGTCATTAGTCATTTATTCCATAAAAACAATATTACATTGAACCCGCACCCTTCGGCATCCGGGCGAATGCACTGACCAATTATCCTACCGCGGCCTTCACGGACCGCGTCGAAATTCTTCTAGCCATTCTTAAGCTGCAAGGCAGCGCCATCTCTACGTATTATAGGTAACCCACATTTGACATTGTGGGTTATATAATATAGGTATATTGGTGGTTAGTTATATTTTCTTTAGATTTAAACATCAAGCAGTTACATGCTTTAAAATAATAAAAGTTATAACTATAATTGCTACTTCTTCTTTCAAATGTTTAATACTTGTAAAAGTATTTATTTGACATTGTGGGTTACCTATAATGCGAAGAGATGGCGCCGCCTTGCAGCTTAAGAATGGCTAGAAGAATTACGACGCGGTCCGTGAGGGCCGCGGTAGCATAATTGGTCAGTGCATTCACCCGGATTGCGATTGGTGCGAGTTCGATTCCCGTCTGCTGCCTGGTCCGCGTGGATTTTTTTCTAGTTATATTTTCTTTAGATTTAAACATCAAGCAGTTACATGCTTTTAAATAATAAAAATTATAAATATTACATTGTGTCGGAAATTATGTTCAGTACCTACATAGAAATAAATCCCAAAAACAAAACCCTTACCTACATAGCGTGGGATACTATTAAAAACCAATAACCAAATATTTATAGAGTGGCAATCAGACATTTATCAATCATTTCCACGTCTGTGCCTTCTGAAAGACTATTTTCAGGAGCTGGGCAAATCGCCACCGACATGAGAAACAGATTGACTGGTTCTCACCTTTTGGTGTTAATATTTCTGTCATCCATAGATGAATCAATGGAAATGTTAGTGATTAAATAAACATTCTTATTTTAAAATTGTAATTCTTTTATTTGTTATTAATGTCTATGTATTTTTTTTTTTGTATTTAGGCGGACCATTTATTTTCTTTCAAAGTCTGGATTTTTACTTCGATTAATCGATTAATGGATATCATAAGTGCAATTAATCGATTAATTGTAATCGACACTGTAGAAATAATCAATTACTTTGCTATCGATTATCATCCCTCTACTTCGATTCGTTTTAGCCAAAGACTTTATTGGTTTTAGCAACCTGACCACTTTGTTTTAAGGTTCTCCTGTTTTAGGGAAGGCAAAGGGAACAATGTGCATACAGCCTAGTCTTTAGTTATATTAATCTTATTTTTTTTGCATTACAATGTCGGTGTGACGCATTCTAAAGTTTCTTGGAGTGTTTGGCACGACATATATTGAGTTGGCTTTTTCGATAAGCTTCTGTGAGGTTGTCAACACTACAATAAAGTTCTTACATCCATTTGACGGGAATAGCGTATATTTTAAAGATTCCACTAATTCTATAGTTGCGCAGACGGTTGTAACACAAAATCACACCAATTTTATTTCACCATATCCCACTATAAACGAATTTAAGAATAATTAAAATAAGACGCCAACCGTACTCGATGAAATCCTGCCAATAACTCAACCTGACTAGGGATGAACGATACGAGTAAATACAAGTAACTACTCGATACTTTTCTTTTGATACCAAGTACTTTTGGCATCGATACTTCAGAACTGAGTAACAAGTAGTATCGTGAACTAAGTACTTGTATCGGCACTCGGTCGGTCACTCACTGAGAAGTGTTAAAAAAACTCATAGGCACATTATGTACTCTATGGCAAGGTGTCTAGTTGGAATTTTTGTTTCGCGAATGCATCTTTTCTACTGCTCAGTTGGTAGCTTTGCGTATGATTTATTTTAATTCCAATTTATTCAGTCTTTTTGTTTTCTTTCAATTTAAACTGTGACTGAATACAAGTAAGTATCGATACTTTTCATTTGATACCGAGTAGGCATCGAAACTTTATGAGCGATACAGTATCGAGTAAAAGTATCGATACCTAGATGGTATCGTTCCATCCCTAAACCTGACCACTGAGCAACAGTGTTGCCAGAGCCTGCACGCAAAATTTGTCAATGTTGGTTTGAAATGTTGTCATCTGGAACCAAATGTTGTCCTTACAAAAAAAATCAACAAATATACCAATCACGCAAATCGTGAGTATATTACTTTGAGTATTTTATAATAAAAAAATAGCGTGTAATGTTGATATTGTTATTCGTTCCGCTTTTGTTCAATAGTTGAGCCTTTGATATGAAATAACAGAGTTAATATTTCCTGAACAAAATAAAATTGAATAAAAAAAAATATTTATCCAAACCCATGCATTATTTTTTTCAGATCTAAAAAACATGCATAAGCATAAAGTGTTTAAAAAACATTTAAATTAGGTTTTTGTTTAAGTTTGGTTCTTCTTCGTCAAACGCCAAAACCGAAAGTTTCAATGTGAAATATCCAAAAAAACAAAATTTATAAATATTATATATTATGTATATTAATATATATATATAATATATATTTCGGAATCTCATATTTTTTTTGTAGTGCTTGATAAAACCCTTAAATGGATGTTCCTAGTATAAATATTTAATTAAATTATGATAAAGACAAAATTTGTCACTATTTTCTCGGCCCAAAAAATAATAATTATAAAAAATGGAAATTAGGGGTGATTACATACAATAATAATTCATAATAATTAATTTTATTATCACGCATTCCCCAGACAAAAAAGGGGATAATTACCACCCCAATTAAAAATAATCGTAACCACTTTATGATTATAATAGTTTATGTACTTGTAATGATGCTTTATAAGTGTGAACGGTTAAAAGAGCTTATTTAAAAAAAAAAACAGTTTTAAGTGAAGAGAGCTTTCTTGCAAGTTTTCTGTCTTCAAAAATAACTCAAGAACACTAAAAAGATCCGCAAACTTATTGAAAAATAAGAACTTAAATATAAATTAGCATTCATTAGCTTACAGCTTTATGGTTTTTTGTTAAACTCGCTAGTTCAAAAACTAATGGATTTATGGTAAAAATACCCAATCTCATTTTTTACAGTTATCATAAACACGTATTTTACAGCACTGGTAGATAAAATTTCATCACCATTTTGAAATAATATAAGTATAAATTTATATGCGATTTTACAAAAATTGGATTGATTTTTGAATATTCACGTCGAAACATTCGATTTTTGATATTTGACGAAGACTAACCAATCTTTAATAAGTTGGTACTTCGTTAGTATTGGGTCTAGTGATATTTTAAAGTAGATATTTTGTTTATTTTTCATAAGCTTCTGTTTTACTTTGAATGTTTTTTCTCATAAATGCTTATTTTCAGAGGTATTCATGAAAAACCGTCAGAAATGTGTTTTTTGTGGAAAAATTGACTTTTCTACTCTCGAATAAGACAAAGAGTATTCATGTCATCATTCATCATCATTAAAAAAAACATCCATGAAGGGGTGGCGTGGTAACCCTCGGCAAATTAGCAAAATTAAAGGGTAAGTAGAACCGAAATCCATATTGTTGTGTTAATTGGTGCTGTTTGGCAGAATTTCCAGGCTTTCCCCTTTTTTCGTGCATCGACTGGAGTAGTTGTTAATTTATAGCATGGACCAATAATATTATAGTCATATAAATATCGGTCCTCGAGAATCGGGACGAGGCATTTGCATTTTCTGCTCAGATTTTCTGAGATTTTTTTCCATAGCAATGTATATTTTTTGTATATCATCATAGAGGTTTCGAAACAAATGACCTTTTAGGAAGAAAAACGGTAAATAGCAATTTTTCGGTAAATTACAACTTCTATTAAAAGAATTTCCATGGCACAATTATAGGCAATCAAAAGATTTGTATCTACACTTTTTTCACATTTCCGGTAAAATGATCCTACTTTGCTCCAATATTTGCTCCAAAAAAAGGGAATTATGAATATTGTTTACACTATTAATTATGCAATATACTGAGATGTATT